TATAATATTTATTTATACTGTTTTTAAATTTAAAAAGTTATTTAATATAAATATTTTTATTTATATTTTTATATAAAAAACGGTAATAACATTTATTTATTTTAATTTTAAGTTTAAAACTACTGTTATAATAAATATAACTTTATAATTTATAAGTTTAATTATTAATGTAAAAATATTAATATAATTTATTTTTTTAATTTATTTAAATTTTTTAATTAATTATTTAATTTTATATTAAGTAATTTTATTATTTAAATTTTTTTTAATTTTATATAATTATTTATTAAATAATAATTTACGTTTTATAAATAATTTATATAATATTTATATATAATTATTTATTAATAATTAATATTTAATATTTATAATTTTATATTATTAATATTATTTAAAATTATATTTAATTTTTTTATATAATTTAAATTTAAATTTAACAGTTATTATCATTATATTAATTAAATATATAATATATTAAAAGGTTTTATTTATTTTTAATTAATATTTATTAAATAATATAACGTTTATTTATTATTTAAAATTATATTTAAATAAATTATGTAGTAAATTATTTTTATATTAATTAAACTATTATTCTTTTTTATTTATAAAAATTTTTAAATATATATTATAATTTAAAATATTATAAAATTCTTTTATTATAAATTATATATTAAGGTTTAAACGGCATAAAATATAGTAATTAAATATAATAAAATTTATTATAAAAATAAAGTAAATATAAGGTAATTTTTAAATAAACTTAATTAATTTTAATTAATTTATTAATAAATGTAAAAATAATAATAATAATAATTTTAAATATTTTTTTAACGTTATAAAGTTTTTAATAAATATATATAAATATTTTTTTAAAATATAATATTATTAATATTAATAATTTTATTAAAGTTTATTAATAATATTTTATAAATATATATATTATTACTTTTATATTTTAATATTTTATATATTATGGTTTTATTTTAAAATATATTTGATTTTTAATTTTTTAAGTAATAATTATTCATTTTAATTGTAATTAAATAAGTTAAATTTAAAAGGTTATTATATTAAACTATATAAAAGGTTTTATTTAAAATGTTATAAAGTAATTTATTTATTAAATATATTGTTATTTATATAATAATAAACCAATATTTATTAAATATATTATTATTATATATTTATATTAACATTATTTTAATTTTATTTTTTAATTTATTTATAATGTTTTTAATAAAGTTTTTAAAATATAATTGTTTTATAATTATATATTAAATAATTATATCTTTTTATTAATAATATTATTTAAATTTATTGTTTATATATATCTTTAAAATATTTAAAATAATAATGTAATAATGGTGTTTAAGTTTTTATTATTATTTTAAAATATTTTTAAATATTAATAGTTAATTTTTAAAACTTTTTAATAATATAACTTACGTTATCTTTCCGAAAGAATATTGCGCTCAAACTTTTTTAATTGATAAGGTAATTGATAAGGTAATTGATAAGTAAATGATAAGGTAATTACGTAAAAAATACGCGGTAATTGCGCGCGCGCGCGGAGCGCGAACGCGCCTTCGGAAAGATATCACGTGCGCGCTTGCGCGCACGTAAAAACGGCCCGCGAGCTTGCGAGCGGCCGTTTTAATAAAATTTTATATAAATAATTGTATATAATAATTAATTAATTTTTATTATTATTAATGTTTATAATATTTATAAGTATATTTATTTTGTTTAAATAAAATGATTTTAATTTATAAATATTTTATTTTAACGTGTTTATATAAAGTTTTTTGTTTATTTTATTTTTTATATAAATTTTATAAAAATAGTATTTTTTTAAAAATTTAATGTTTATAAATATATTTATTAATTTTTTAAAATTTTAATTATTTAAATGATTTAATTTTTTATGTTATATTTTTAAAGTTAAATTAAAAATAAAATAAAAATAAAAAGTTATATTAAAAGTTATTATATTAAAGTTATTATTTTTTTAATTGATTATATATAAATTATTTATTTTAATTATTATTAAAAATATTTTTTTTATTTTTAATGTTATATATTAAGTTTTATTAAAAAAAAATTTAATATTTTTTTAAATAAATTATAAAACCGAAATAAAGTTATAAATAAAATTAAAATAATAAATTATATTTATAATTTTAACTTTTTTAAATTATTTGTTAATAATAATTTAAAAAGTAATGGTATTTTATAATTTAAATATAATAGTTTTTTTATTAATGTTATAAATGTAAAAGTTTTTATATAAATGTAAGTTTATAAATAAAGTTTTATTATAATAGTTTATTTAATTATAATTATTATTAATTATTATAATTTTTTTTAATTTAATAATTATTTTTTTTATTTTAAACTTATTTATTATTATAAATTGTATTATTATTAAAATATTATTAATTAATAAGTTTATAAAAATAAAATTTAATATTAAAATAATTGTAAAGTTAATAAGTTTTAATAATATATTTTATATTTTTATTATAAATATATTTTGTTATAGTTTTTTAAATAAACATTTTTAAAAATTTTTCGATAAAATATTTAACTTTAAAAGGTTAATTAATAATTTAATTGGTAATTTTTTAAACGTTATAAACGTGGTAATGGTAATAAAAGTTATTAACGTATTAATATTATTTTAATAAAATAATATAATTATTACATTGTTATTTTTATTAATTTTAAACTTTTTAAACTTATTTTTAAATCCGTTACGTTAACTTTTAAAATGTTTTTTAAAATGTTTTTAAAAATATTTTATTAAATTATAACTTATTATTTAATATTTTACAATTATATAATAAATATATATAAAATTATTTTTACATTTATTATTAAATTTATTAAAATGGTTAATAAAAACGTGTTTAATATTTTTATTTTTAATTTTTTACGTTTATTTTTTTATTATATTAATTTAATAATATTATTTATAATAATTATAGTTTTAATAATTTAATTGTTATTATTTTAAGTTAAAATAATATTATAATTTTAAAAGAAAATAATAAAAAACGTATTATATTTTAAGTTTAAAATATTAAAAAATTTATTAATTAAATGCGGTTTATTAATAATATAAATTTTATTTAACTTTTTAAAATTAAATTAAATTTAACGTAATTTTAATAATAATGTAATTATAAAGTTTTTAATGTTAAATAATATAATATTGTATTTAAACGTTAAATTTTAAAATATAACATTATTTTATAATTTATATTTTTTTTTAAAAATTTTCCAAATTTTGACTATAATTGTTTTATTTATTACTGTATTTTTAGGGTTTTTTTTTTAAACAATATTTAATGTAATTACAAGTTTTATTTTATTTATTTTATTAAATTTTAATTTTTTTACGCAGTTTAATTGGTATAAAGCTTTAATCGTTTTTTAAAATTATTTTATTTATTTTTTTTAAAAATATCTTTTTATAACTTTAAATTATTAAATAATTTAACATTTTTTATTTAAATATTAACTATTTATTTGTTAAATTTAATTAAATAATATTATTTAAAGTTAAATTACTTTTTTTTATTTTTATAATTATTATTAATAAATTAAAAGTTATTTTTTAATAATATAATAAACTTTATAAATTTTATTTTATAAATTTATTTTATTGTAAAATAATTTTTTAAACAATAATTTAAAAAACTTATAAATAAAATTAAAACTTATTTAAAATAATTAATTTATTTTTTATTTAATAATTTAAAAGTAATTATCTTTAATATAATTTTAAATTTTTTTAATAAATTAAATAAAGTAATAATTTTAAAATTAAAATAATTAACGTTTAAATTTAATAATATAAATATAAAAGATATTTTACTTAAATTTAGTAAATATAATTTAATAAATATAAGATTAAATATATAATTTATATTTTTAAAGTAAATATTTTTTAAAAAATATTTTTATTATAATCATTCGAGTTTTTTAATAAAATACAAAAAGTTTTATTTATTTAAATATTTTAAAAATAATGGCTTTTATAATGGTTTTTTTTTTTAAAATTATACCGTATTATATTATTTATTTATTAACAATAACGATTAAAATACGTTATTAAAATAATATTAATTTTATTTTATATTTATAATTTTATATTATTAATTTTAATATTATATTAAAAGTTTTAATATAATTATAATATATATTTATTAAAATAAAGTAAATTTTAATATTATTATTAATTTATTAAACGTTTTAATTTAAAGGTATTTTATAAATAATTTTATTAATATTAATAATAAAAAAAATTATATAAAAAAATTAAAAATTTTTTATTATTATAATTTTAATGTTATTAACTTTAATAGTTTATTTTTTTATATATTAAAAAAAAAATTTTAAAAAAATAAAACCGTTTTTTATTTAATTGCGTAATAAAAGTCGTAATAACTTAAATTAAATATGTTTAAATGATATAATAATTATTAAATAATTAAATAATCGTTTATATAATTTAAATTATAAATTTTTAAGTTTATAATTTATTAAAATTAAACGTAAATTATAAAATATATATATATTATATTATTATTTTATTTATTAAAAAGGTTAAATAAACATATTTATTATATATAAGCCACAGGTATAAGGCGTATTACCAGCCACTTGATTTATTAGCCCCACATATTCCAACATCCTCAAAATGCGAAAATAGAACCTAAAACAGTTACTACGCAAGTACAGACTTATCTAAGGCAGCTACCAACATTTCTAAGCCATTCAAAGGAAAGTACCTAAATCACAACCTTACCATACTTACCTACATTTAAGCACTTACCGTGTTAGGATTCTAAATGACAAATCTAGAACAAAGGCCATGTTCAGTATATATTAGGTACCTAAGTCACAGACTTCTGTAGTTAGGCTAGAGTTCCTTGTGGAACAACCAAGTTGTTTCCATGCTGTTTGGTTCTACCTCGTGACATACGGCGTCACACTATATGTAGTAGTCAAGAGGTCTAAATATCAAAGCAAAACATATTTCAACTTGACTCAGTCCACAACATCCTACCTCATAATCAATACCAGCCCATCTACTCACAGACCAATACACAGTTAATTAGTATCAATTACTCTTCATCCTCGCCATATCAATTGCAATTCGAGACTATCTATCATCCGAGGCTATGCTCTCCGAGTCCGGTGAGGAGTAAGTCTAAATTACTAACCGAAAATTCCCTATTCCCGCTTAACTACGATTCTAACTTAGATGCGACAGCCTATTAAAGTCTGGGATGTTTTCAGATGTGAGGGTGAAGTGCGGAGACCAGGTCTGGCAACTACATAAAACTATTATCTGCCCAAGATGCCCGTACTTTAATAAAGCGTTCAATGGTCCCTTTATGGTAAGTCGCCAGCCCTTGACCAAAATAGACCACTCCCACCATCACAATATATCTTGGGGCAACTAACATAAATCCCACGCTGTAGCATTCAATACGCTAATAGTTGATTATCAGGAAGCTACTACGGGTGAAATCACCATTCAGGATCAGGTCCCCGATGATATAAATCACATTATTCATTTTTTATACACTGGAAAAGGTATACACCTATTAAAGCTATAGTTTTGAATTAAACTAACATACGATGACAAACTAGTTCCGCAGAACCTAGTCCAATCCCGTCCTTGCGACCTTTTTAAACTAGCAGATTTCTTTCAAATCCGCAGTTTAGTGAAGAAGATCATATCAATAATCGACCTTAAGCTGGACGAGATGGCAGCGCGTTTGCGAGATTTGCCTCGAACACCTACAGATCTACAAAAGGTATTTAATGATGAAGAAATCGGGTATTTATTCCGAGCGATCGAGGCTTCATACGCCTCAGAATCGCCCTTCTATATACTTTTTCGGGATTTAGTCAAAGACTTCATAGTCATGAGCGGATTTCGAATCACCAAGTGTAACCGGTTTCTAACGACCTTAGAAAGTATTCCAGAGCTGGCTGTGGACATCATAAAGCTTCTCCAGCATTCAACCATCACTACCAATTTTCCTTCGGGATGCAGGAAGTGTGGGGGCAAAACAAGTTCGGATGAATCGGTATACCGTTGGGTGGGCAAAGACATTAATAAACGTCGTATTTCAGTCAAACGCACGCTTCGTAGTATATGCGGAGACTGCAAAAATTCCTACTGATCTATTCGAAGTGAATAATAAGCTCTGAGGCAGTCGTTCTGGGTTGAACCAGGTTCTTGAAGTGTAAAATACACAATAATCGCGTTAACTCATAATAGAACTCTGTATGTTCTTCTCGTTTTCCGCCATAGGGTGAAGGGGACATAGGTAAAGGCCCTGATGGGAACAGTAACTCCGTATGCATCGAATACTATAATAGTAGCTAAATTACCGTGTCCTATGCTAGTTGATATAATATCACTTGTTTAAATTCTTCGAGACGACACTTCTCATGCATAGTGATGAAATTATTTTATTAAGAGAAGCTTTATTTACATCCACTCAAAAAGAAATTACAATTTAGTTCATTGGCCTGCTAATGCCTCCATTTATGAATCCGAATAGAGAGCTTTTTCCATGTAGAACACCACAACTTCAAGCTTCAAAGACTTGCATCTACCCATCACCGTCATTTTCTGTGATAGGATCCCGTCGGAGTCTCTAGAATCCAAGCCTTAAGAGTGCTTAACTACCTACTATACAACCACTGATAACTCATCAGGAGGTACAATGGTAACATAGACCCATTCCTCAAGTTGAACCTCATCTTGCTTTAAGCCGCCAGATTCTTTATCTGGCCAATCTATCACGAGTATATTAGCTTTTAATCATAATGGGTGTATGCGGGTTGCGTATTACCGCTGGAGCAGTAGAGGACTCTCTTCAGCCGCTTGTCGTTTCGTAAGCCATCGAAGAACTTCTTCGAGGCTTTGGAGTTTCCGATTCGGCTAACCTGGAAAAGCACGGCTTATAAATGCACGTTAGCGACAGTTACTGTTAGAATAGGTGATATATATATATATAGCACTTACCCTCAGGCTCATAGCCAGCCTTGATCAGATTCTTCCCACACCCTATGATTGTATTTCTTAACGTATCTGAGGCCTCTGACTCAGAGCAACCATCGGTAATTATTGACACTAGTAAGGGACGTTTCAGTTCCTTATTATCTAGCTTGTCGTATACTAGCGGCTTAAGAATCTTCGCGATTAGGTTCGTCCCAATGTCTGTATCCCCAGTTGGTTGCATGTTGGTCATAATGGTCTCAACTTCTGCCTCGCGGAGTCTGCTTCCAGACACGGAGCTATTGATGAAACGCAACTCGACGCCATCTTCATCGGGTATAATATATGTGGCAAACTTTGTAATTCGCTTGACTAGATGTTGCTGGGCTTTGATACGGTTGCCTATGGACATAGAAGTACTGTCATCTGGAACTGCACATTAGCTTCAAGTGTTACCGCGTCAACTTATAGATAGTGTGTTCACCTACCGCAAAGTATCACCTGCTGGTATAGTGACACCTTTATAAGATCACGGATATCTTTGTCAGACTTAAGCGTCGAGTCAGGGGGGTTCGCTTTCATCTTGGCGGCCTTCTCGACAAGTGTATTGAGAAAGGGATCGTCATTCTTGAAGAAGCCATCCATGCGATTTCTTGAAATGAAGTTGATAATGTCGCTCTTATATTCCTCTGCTATCTTGCTTTCTTGGACTTCCTGTGGAGGATTAGCTAGAACACGAGGTGTGGTGATATTCAGAGTAGTAATACTAACATTAGAATGACTTAGGACCTTCATCTCGCTAGACTCATAGCCCGATTCAATAATGCCCTTCAATACACTTGATGTAACAATGTAGACCCAAACTATTAAATGAAGGATGAAGGCAAGAATCTTCCAGACGATGTCCATGAGAGTCGGACGCCCCTGAGAGCTACTATTAAGAGCATCAATCATAGCGTCTTTTTTCTTCTCAAAGGCGATCCTAGCTGCCGTCTCTCGATTAGAATTCTTCAAGGTTTTATCCGCACCGAGATTAATCAGTTGGCGAACAGTATTGACATCTTTCCACTCGGCGACAACTTTCATCAGAGGTGTATAGTTGGCATCCCCCGAAGACGGCTTATTGATGTCAGCACCGTGAGCATGGAGTAGACGGATGATCTCGGCGCGGTCCTTCTTTTTCATAGAACCCATCGCGGCGAACCACACGGGGGTGCGGTCACCTTGGGAGAGCTTAGATGCCGATGCATTATTCTGTAGGAGTAGCTTAACAACATCGGTACGACCATTCAAGGAAGCCGTAGCAAGTAGAGTCAGCCCTGTCTCGGGATCTATAGCGTTAATATCGAATGAGGAAGATTTATACTGGTCCAGTTTGTACTGATCCAAGTTTCCATCACGCGCGTCTTCGAAGATGCCCATCGTGAGTGAAGGCGGACGTGAAAATGACGAGAAGATGATGGGAGGTGTTTAGACAGGAACCGAACTGGACCACATAGAACAGAATGCTTTTACCTCTAGACTGTCTATATTAATTAGATGTAGGTATTGCTAAAGCTGAGCTTGTATTTCTAACATTATTGCTATCCCTCTCAAATGATTTCTCGCGCGATAATAAGACCAACGAAATTTCTTTCGCAATATCTGTCGGAGACAGTTGTAACCGAGCTGCATGTAGTCAAGATGGTGCATTTGGTATCTGGCACCTATTGTGTTATTATGACGTGGAAACGTGAGTACCATAGAGCCTGTCGATGAGCACAAAACTTGAAGCCTATAAGCTGGACCAATAACCAATGAACATATTGTAGCCCCAAACTCGAGTATTACGTTGACAACGAAACTTAGAACAGAACTATTGATGCGAGCTCATTAAGAGAAACCAGTATATACATGTTAATCATCGCCATTGTTGTTATCCTTAATATCGTGTGTGTATGGATGAGTGTGATGGTTGGCTAGTCTAGTATTCCCAATGCTATCTGTTAGGCATAGAATTGGAGGTAAGTGTGATTTGGCAGCCATCCTTGCGACTTTAATAGAATGTAACCAAGTAGAATACCTGCATAATAGACACTGGGAATTTTATATATTGTAGATATTATTAACCGTCGTTTTTCGGGGTCGTCTGAAGTGGCGACAGGGAAATATACGAAGAAGCGGAGGACACTAACAAGAGTGAGGATGCCTAGGTAATTATATGATAGTTCAACAAGCTCTACCTGATAGGCATCTGAAGGAAAACGGCGCTAAATATAAGCAGCTGGGCCACTATGTGAGACTTGCCTATGAACGTCGCTGGAGGGTGAAGATATATAATAACTATAGAGGATCTATCATATCTGGTGATCGTAATTCCCGAATATGTGACAATAATATAATCTTTATTCTGTCGGGACCCCTAACCTAAGCCAATAAGGCATCACGACTCTATTCCAATTCATACCCGAGCCTAAAGGGAAGCCAACCTAACGCCCGCGACCAAGTCATCTATAACAGTCGTAGTGATACCATAATAAACAATATGTGCTTAAATGATGCAGAAATCGCATGGTAGCGGGCAGGGAATACAGAAGCAGAAGCGGCCTGGACAGCACGAACTACGCTCTCCGCCGCGCAAGTTTCCGTATTCGGGTTGTTCGGGCTGAGGGCGCTGAGGATCTGTTTTAAGTGTTAGTAATATGCATATCTCATAAGTTCTCGCCTTTTCCAATGCTATAACTGAATGGCAATGGTAAATATTTGTTTGACATACCCATTGCTTGAAGTGCGACGGGTTGTATCGTCTGGACGGGCTGATGAGCCGTCGGCCCACTGGATTGCGCGGCCTGGTCGTTCGGCGATTGGGGACTAGGTTGCGATGGCGACATATTCGAGGTGTAATTGCGTTACCGTACACGGAAGAAATAATACTACCGGTTGGTTTATAGAGGTAAGTAGTACTGAGAAGTAGGTTATTTAAATAGAATTTAAATATAAGATGAGCTTAAAGCTTAAGTCTTATGTTAGTGAGCTGAGCGGTGAGTTTGTATTGTATGCATGAGTGCGTAAGGTAAAAAGGTCATGTTTGCGCGTAAGATCAAGTAAGAGGTACCTATATGACGTCACTCCTTCATTCGCTAACAACTAAGCCACCTTGAACCAAGCAGCCAAGCCAACCTCTAGCTTACGGAATATTCCCGCAGTTTTGTTGTTGCACAGCCAACTTTTTAGTCAATCAAGCTTCGTTTCCGCGTATTCTTCTTAATTCATCTACGTGGCTCCGTTTTCAGAAAACGCGAAACCATCCGATGTAGTTATTGGTACTCGCAGTGCTATTGTACAACCTGTCACCTCTATCGCAAATATCATCCTTGAACACGTACGATATTATCTAACCGGCCGGAATCTTACTACGCCAAATACTTACTCACCGTGTCTCGCACGTCCCATACCTATGTAGCATCGTCCGGATCATGTTCCTTCTCGAGGTAACCGGCTAGAAGGAGCGCCAGCGCCTCACCGTCCTCAAAGGCCTGGCTTGCGCCTTGACCACTCCTCGGTGGCAAAGCATGGGCTGCGTCGCGGACGAGGACGCACCCGTCACGACCCTAGTAGGGTAGATCTGGCACGACAAAGATGGGGTAGATATTATCGAGACTCGCTTTTTCTAGACACTGGCCGATGAGAGGGTTCGTCCAGTTTCCGTGGCGTTCACAGAGCTGCTGAAGCATCAGATCGTGGTTCAGCTTGAGGCCTTTACCTGGCAGGTCCGTCTCGTAAACGGACTAGTAAAGGAGCTTGTTTTCATCCGATTGGGTAAGTCTGGAATAGCCAAACACCCCCGCCGAGCCCATGAAGAAGAGCATACCGGGGTTATCGAGAAGGTGTTTTGGTAGTGGAACATCGAGTACACCTCCGACTGCACAGATACCACTGTACGCGGTTAGGCAAAAGGATAGGCTAGACGCTCTAGCCTTGCACGTATCGAGGACGGTGTTTCTCATCGTCACCGAATAAGTCGTGACGAACGGTGCTGCGGATCTCATCTATACCAACGACAAGGTCCGCTGTCTCATCTGCCAACCCGTCTTCGAATTGAACCACAGGCCTTCTTCCTTGGCGCGCGATCACCCTGGCTACGTGAAGCGCGTACACGGGAAACCAGCCGCGTAAACCCTCCGCCTCAGCGCCGGGTTGAGGTCTTCCAGGACACGAAGTCCATTAGCTTGGAGCCCTAACCCGGCGCTTAGCCGACTAGTGATGAACTTCGGCATGGCTTGCTCTGTAGCTTGGCCGGTAGCCCGGTTAATGTTGTCATAGATTTTGATCTCAAGTGGTTGACTGTCGGGGATAAATTTGCGGAGCGCGATGGCGGTGCTAAGGCCGCTTAGATCAGCCCCAACGATGATGACTTTCATCGCCAATAGAGACTCAACTTGGTTTAGTATGACTGGTAGAAGCTATTGCAAAGTAAGACATATAAACGACATTTCACCAAGTGTAGCGAGATCGTTCAAGTAAAATTGGAAGATTAATTCAACGAGGCCATTCTGTGACTCCTGGATCCAGCCTCGGATCGACCCACTCCCGGATGAGTTCGGAAATCCAACTTTTGAGTAGACACAGTTCTCAGCTACTGATTTCAATACTGACTAGGTACGGAATAGTAAAAATAAAGCCATGTACATATTTATAGCCTCAGTAATGAGACGAGCTCTTCGGATGCCATGGTAAGTGCTGCGATATCTTAGGGGTCCCTTCGTCTCCTTCAACCAACAGCGCCACTCTCTTTATATCTGGCACATCTTGATTATACCAATGACTCTGCTCATACCAACCCGTACGGAACGCAGTACAGAAACCCTCCCAGTTCCTAGTATCGCATAACCTGCTTCCACAGGATGTTATCCTGTTATACGATTTCTTTGTTCGTGTTATATGGCATTGCTTGTGGAAGCTAGAGAGCGTATCTACCCGCTTGTGGTGCTGGCTGTGCCAAGGTCCATCTACGATTTGATTCATCGTCCGAATCATCTCCTGATCATCATCTAGGTCAACGACAACTGGCATACGTGCAGATAACCGTTTGCAGATCAAGGCGCTCGCCTGGGCCGGAATACTCCAAGTCTCGAGCACGAAGCTGACCTGCTGCATGTTCCAACACGGACCGTAACTTGAAGCTATCTCTTCTATAATCTGAAAGCTGCCGTGGTCGGGTGTTAGGATGAGTCGTTGAACATGCCCTAGGATATCCTCAAAGCTCATTCCGATCATGAAGTTGCCGTTAATCATGACGCTGTCGCGATCTGGGTCCATATACGTCTGTACGGGGGTATGAGGCCACTCGGAGCATCGTGGGGAGGGGTACAAGAGGCTCCTCGATTCTTGACAGGCATGTGACACCCTCATACGCCTCTTATCCATCGTAACTATCGAGCGTGGCTCCGTATCAGGCACAGGACGCCGCCAGCGAATCTCGAATATCTCCATCAACTTCGGTCCTGCAGCTAGGTGCCAGATCTTGTTACGGACGTTAGGCGGGAGCTTCATCAGCGGGAAGTTTTCTATCTTCGGCGGAATACTACTAGTGTTTTTCTCAAGACGTAGGGCGCCCAGTTCGCCTCGTAGCTGTTCGTTCTCGAGCTTAAGCGAGGAAAGCTCGGTCTTGATCGATGCGAGGGCATCCTGTGTCTCCCGGAGTGTGGCAGTAAGATTGGCGACATTTTGGGTAAGACCACTAGTCACATCGATGAAGCGGCGAGTCTGCACAGTGAGCTGGTCTAGCACGACTTTGAATTTGTCATTGTCGGATGCTTCATGTGTGCTATGACTATGTCCATTATTCCGGAGCTCACCAGCCCTACTTGGTGGGATCCTCATTGCGAACTAGTCGTTGCCGATATGAATATGATCATTCAACATATGGTCCTTGGAATTGTAACTCTGTTCCAAATATGGGCATCTGCATTTATCGTACAAGTATATTACTATATATGCGACAAACTCAGGAAAGAATTGAGATAGATGTCTTCTCCAAGAGATGAGATGAATCGGAATAGTTTCAGGTGGGTACCTGATATCTACCTAACATGAGATCCTGCAAATCCCATGCAATATACGGCTGTGTGGCATAAATACGCACCACACAGCCGAACCACGTATTTACCAAGGTATACGACTCCTATTTCAATAATGAAATAGTTTGGATGATTTGGGCTTAAGAATATTGCACTTTCTTACGGTCTATTATCTAATATGAGCGGGAAAGACAGTAGTCCATATAAAATGTTATGAGGTGGCAGCATGTTGACCATAAACATGATTTCGTGGTTGTCTCCCAGTCCATACAATAGGTGAGTGCACGGGACCTCAACCACATAGCTAAGACAGGTAAATATTAACACTCAATACCTCGAGTACTTATACATTCATTCGTATGGATGTTAGCTTTAATGGACAATGCTTAACCTAGGTCGGTATGTAATAGAGATAACGTTAGACGTTGGATTATTCGTGAAGGGTTTATGATGTGGTACTCTATATGTGATATGCGGATATATCTGATATATGAATCTTAATAATCGCAATGAGCAATATTATGCTCTCTCCGGAACTCACCCCGCTAATTCCAAATCTCAAAATCCCACCGACCATTTCCCATTTCACTTCGAGCTTCCACTTCCCAATTCATGATCACAAAACAAAACATACAGGTTTGAGAAATCTTACTGATGCACATTTTTCACCGCATATGATTTACTCGTATATTCTATAAGCTACTAACAATATACAGAAATGTATTCCGATATACTCCATTATTTATATTTCTAATGACATTAAGGTTGTGCAACTTCAGCTGCCAAGATGCAAAATGAACCTACAGATGATTGGGAATCCTCGCACCAAGCTCCGTCCAAGAAACTAAGAACACCTATTAGAAACCTTAGATACTAACACGGATAGTTGTGCCCAGAACATTGGCCTTCTTACGCACCTCCAGGTGAAATTAACTACCTCCTAAGCCAACACTTTCCATCAACATCATCGCCGTAATCATTTCCTTCATATCACTTATACTTGACATCTCCTAAACAAACCCATCGGGATCATCCTAAAGTGAACTAGACACCTCATTATTGCACCATGCAGCTCGCCGTCTTCTCCGCTAAACCCTACGACAAGAAGTACCTCACAAGCACCCGAGCAACAGAACTCGACAACGCCACTAATATCGAAGTCGTCTACCACGAATTCGCCTTGTCTCTCGAAACGGTTCCTCTAGCGAAGGGTGCAAGCGCCGTCTGCGTCTTCGTGAACGATGATCTCGGCGCCGATGTCCTTAAGTCGCTACATGCGAGCGGTGTCCGTGCGATCTTATTGCGTTGCGCCGGATATAACAACGTCGACTTAGAAGCTGCCCAGCGCCTAGGTCTCTTCGTCGCCAATGTACCCTCTTACTCCCCCGAGGCCGTCGCCGAATTCGCCGTTGCGCAAATCCAGACGCTGAATCGAAATACCCATCGCGCCTACAACCGTGTCCGCGAAGGAAACTTCAGTCTCCAGGGACTACTTGGGCGCACTTTGAACGGAAAGACAGTAGGTGTTATTGGCACGGGTCGCATTGGTGTGGCATTCTCCCGAATCATGAACGGCTTCGGATGCCGACTAATAGCCTACGACGTCTTCGAAAACGACGACTTTAAAAAGTACGGCACGTACACGGACCTCGACACCTTACTCTCCGAAAGCGACTTTGTTAGTCTACACTGCCCATTGACGGAGAAGACGCGGTATATTATAAACGACGAGACGCTGGCGAAGATGAAGAGAGGGGCTATGTTAATCAACACGTCGAGGGGTGGGCTTATCAACACCAAAGCTGTCATTGCGGCCTTGAAGAGAAAGCACCTAGGTGGCCTGGCGCTAGACGTGTACGAGGGCGAAGGGGCGCTGTTCTACAATGATCACTCGGGCCATATTATCGATGACGACGAGCTTATGCGTCTGACTACCTTTCACAACGTACTTGTGTGCGGCCACCAAGCTTTCTTTACGGAGGAAGCGCTGCGTGAAATTGCAGAGGGTACTATCCATAACTTGAGCGATTTTTTGCATGGCAGGCAGTGCAAGAATGCTCTCGTTCAAGACCAAGCTGGGTTGGAACTGATTAAAAGAGTCTCCGTACCGATTCGGATCTAGAAATACAAGGGCTCATACTGTAGGTAGGCCATAGTGAGTAAGTAAGGGTGCGCGAGGAATTCAGATACAAACATGGTGGCATTCAATAGATTTTTATGAAACTCGGTATCGTATCTGAACCGCTGATAGTATTAGATAAATCGCTATGAATGTATCTATAATAGACGCTACCATGAGCCATCGGTATAAGAGGCCTTAGACTCGATGCTACCTATCCTATACTCCAACTGCTTTGGTCAATCATGATACCGAACTCCCTTGCTAGGATCCGATCCATATACTTATACTATATGTATCTAGGGCCGGCATCCTATCTCCTGTAAACCCCATTGATCGTATAATCCTTTTTGGGGCCTTTGACCGTGTACCCCAGCTTCCACTCCTTCAAGTTCACGGCTTTGAAGTTGAATTCGTAGTGCACGTCGTACAAATCATCGATGCACAGATGACTTGCCTTCGCCAGCCAGCCCCTTTTCACCTTCTTCTCCTTCTCTTCCGCCGCGGCACCCGTAGTCATAGGCGTTGTCTCGCCCTGGACTTTCATCTCCGCCTCATCAACCGGAAGCAGGAACTCCACCTCATGAAACAAGTAATCCGCGCGATCTTGGTCATCAGTCCGCGCAAACCACACGCTCAACACATCACGCGCCTCATCATATCGCCATATGTACCGTCTCGTCGCGCGGAACGATATCTGCGGGTTATCCCGCGCCGTGAACGTGCCATCCTCGATGTACAGATACTCGAGTCCGAGACCCGTGCCCGAAACCGAATTTGCCTTGGATACGAGAGACGGGGATAGCCCATCCTCGGTTCCATCTCGTAGTAGGAAACGCGCTGTGCCGGAAAACCGCCCGCTTGGATGCGACGGTAGCCGTGAAGAAAGCGTCCGCTCGAGCCGCCACTCGCCGAGCAGCGAGCGGAATATAGCGCCGGCGACGAATCGGCCGCGTGAAAGCCCGGCCAACGCTGTCTCGTGCGTCGCTAGTAGATTTGCTTTCGTTTGCTCAGCAGCCCGGGGGTTCTGAGCGGAGACTGCAGAAACAGAGGGGTATCGTGCCGGCGTCAAGATATCCATGGGCTTTCCCGTGGCAAGGGGTGGCGTATCACCTACAGGAGGGGTAATAGGGATGTCGAGAGCGCGTGAGAATTCTTGCATCAGGAAGGAGTAATCGCCCATCGGGAACTGCGAAGCACGCGGGTCGGTGCGTAAGGCCAGTGTCCGCGCGATAGTGTCGTCGTCCACGAGAGCCTGGCGAAGGGCTAAGGTTTGGGATTGCGGGTCATTTGATGCCCATAACCGTGCGACAAATCGAGCCTGCATCTCCATAACGCCCCAGTAAGGCGAACGGTACAGACCTACGAAGCCTAGAGTGGGCAGCGATGGGTGATGCGTCCCGTGGAAAGCGAGCGCGACGGGTAGGTCAGGATGCTCAGGGGAGTGTGAAATGGTCTCAAGGACAGATAATGGGAGAAAGGAGAGCGATGGAGAGGGGTCGAAACCCGTCGCTAGAACCACGGCGGCAATGTCGGAGATTTGCTCGTTTGTTGGAGAGATGATAGCAACATTCCCGTTTATAGATGCCAGTTTTCCTTTGCGGACTTTTATGACTTCGGATTGTACGAAGTTCATATAGTACGAGCTCATAGCCACGAATGGTTGATCATCAAGCAAATCGCCGTCGATCTTAGTCTTCAGCGAGAATTCAGACTGATTGGTGCCTAAGACAGATTGGTAAATCAAGTTCGAGGCCTGTGCCGCTTCGGCGCTTATATGCCCTTGGCTATTTGTTAGGGGGTGTGACCGGTTGGCTAGATTATATGAGGGTAAGTCGCATGGGAGAAACGGCGGTGCCGACGCGGCCGGCTGTTATTTGGTTACTATTCAATATTCATTCATGATAGTTCAAGGCGCAAGAACGTCTGCCTACCTTTGGAGATGTGAATAACGGGAAGACCCATGAGGGTCGGTTCGTGATGTGATGTATGGAGTAGCTCTCAGGTTCTTGGATGATCTTCTTTCCGGGTGAGTAGATAGCAGATGAGAGATGTGTCGCGATAGTCGCGGCGGTCTCAATTCCAGACATCTGTCCACCAACGACAAGTATCTTACCGCCATGATGAGTTGACTTTGCTAAGAGGCTCTTAAGATCTCGGTACTCGCTGCTATGAATAATGGGTACGTCCGCCTCTTTCGGCACATGATCCGGCCATATCGGCTTCCCAAAGAATCCTGTAGTGACGAGCAAGTAGTCGAATGTAGCTGTCTCTGATCCTTCACTTGACTCTGTCTGTACATTCCACGAGCCATCATCTTGTAAGTCGGCTTTTACAACTTTATGCCCGAGCCGTATATCAGCACCGCTGTACTCATTGATATATCGTTCTAGATATTGGCCAACTTGCCATGCCCTGGGGAATTGTGGATCAGAGTCCTGCCATGCGAAGTCGCTAAATTGAACGGTATGTTTGCTTTGGTTGGTTACCATAAGCGGATGTACAAGACCGCCAGCATCATCCTTTCTTGTGGGCCACAGTCCACCGATTCGGGACTGGGTTTCGAAGATAGTAACCTTAAATGAACATTCCGGCGTATCGTGTAGTAAGGTCTTCGCTGCTACGAGACCAGAAGGGCCAGCGCCTATATCGCATGTGAGCAAGCCGAGAACTAAAGTCCGAGAGGGAGAATGGATGAATAAGCATTCGCTGTCTTACCAACGATACAGACAGTCTTAGCCATGATCCGGACCCGAACCAGGGTCCGGGATGTGCAGTGGAATCGAGCGAGGATCGTTGGTAATCTGCTTCGGGGAAATAATCGGGATGGATAGATATAATAGATCGGACTTTGCAAAATATTAAGCTGAATATATAAACCTATTCTTATTTCTTAGAATATTTTAATAGGTTCCTCTTTTTTTTTTTTTTTTTTTTTTTTTTTTTGTAACTTGCTTCAGTCAGCACTAAACTGATCGCGATGAGATTTGGTCCAAGTCCCAACGAAAATTGATACGTTAATATGATTATTGCGTCACTTTCACTAGTCCCTGCCTTAGGTAAAGTAAACTAAAGATAGAAATAACCTACGAACAAGTAGGTACCTAGATTAGATTTCCAGATGGATTTATGTGGCGCATCAATAAAACGCCGATTGCCGGCGCAAATCTTATTAGCGCAATCAATGGAGAACTTTCACCTTGAACAAATATTCACCTCTATATCATACACATCTCATATTATGAACCGCCTTCAAATTCCTCTCCATTGAAATACCCTTTAGCTACTTATAATAATTACGATTCATCATGGGAGCAAGGGTCTCGGTTTTTATGTCTATTGCAGCTGTCCGCAACAGGTCTGTCGCGTCTTCGACTGCTACGTGTCAAAAGCCGAATATCTAGCTCAACCCGAGACATCTCGCTAAGCGTAGCAGTTATTTCCACTATCAAAGGACTTGATCCCGGTCTTAGACAGGTTTGTATTAATCGAGTCTAAACGGCCAACTACGTATCAACCCTGTCTTCTGAACAATAACGGGAGGCAACATGGGAAGAAGCAGACACCCGCCCGGCTAGAATAAGATTCTTAGATTTGAACGGTCCCGCGGGAGCTCCCGCATCTCGCAGGATCGACACGTGCTCGTCGGAACACGACCGTTCTTCTCTCTATGCGCGAAGGCAAGGCGTGCGAGCCCAAGCAAGTTGCCGCGCGCCATACTGTAGATTATCCTTCCAATTGTGATGAACCTTTCTATGAAGCTCGACATGGTCTGCTTCGCTATGTCAAGTATAACAGTATGCCGTGAGCAATCCGAAGGTTTCTAGAGATTGACCATACCTACTATATTTAGGCTTATCGTATATCTTGATTTAAAATATTCGGATATATTTACTTCCATGTAATAAACTACAACATCATCCCTTACGATAGAAGTGCTTAACCTAGGCCAATCTAATTTTAGTACATTGCTGAAAATAGGCGAAGGACCTCCCTCGGTATCCCAGAGCCGTGGTTCATCCCTTGAAATTCATAGATTGGGACTCTGAGTTTAGCGATCACAAGTCGCGAGTCTCGTATAACTATCAGAACTTTTAGTACGTGGGCACGTAGAAAGCAAACTGCATGAACTAGCTCAACGGAGAGGACCGGCGCTTTTCTTGTGGCTTAACAATCTCTCGGTCCCATACCTTGTTACAAATTGGCTTTTACTAGCCCTTGGTAAGAGGTATGTAGGCGTAGACGAATAAGTAGCCGAACGGGAAGCTGCATAAGTCCTGGTTTCTCCTACAGTACCTAATATATGCCTGAGAGCAAAGAAGCATGGTGTATCTAGGGACGTCTCGGTGCTCAATAATCAGATTAAAGAAGGACTCGTACGAGGATGCGTCAGCTGAAATTATATAAATCGTTTTACTTGTGCGACAGGAGCCTTGTGATAGGAACCATAAATCTGGGACCGGTGTCGCGACTTTCGGTGGACCAACTGTCGTATGCTATGCAGGCTTATTATTGTCATACATACAAGGCTGGGATTTTTTTATCTTGTTGTATTCGGGGGTTCCTTTGAAGCCGCTGCTCTCTAATCGTGAATGATGATTCGAAAAGTTGGATATATGCAATAATCGAGACTTTTACCCCAACTGCTCAACAAGCAGCTCGGCATAAGCTTTCGTCCGTTAGTCCCGCTGTGGATCCCGCCGGATGGGGTCAGGTGGGGACAGACTAACCCCCGCCATTCCACTGGATCCTTCAACGCGGGGAAGTTCGTCCGCCTGCTCAAGCTGGTAAAGGACAACAAGGATACAAGGTCAAAATATGTCTGGGCAGCTGGGCAAGAAAATACAAATGCGGGTTGCCAGACCCATAGAAGACGCAAAAGCCGGTGGATCCGAATGACGATGTAAATGGTCGAAAAATGCAACTTCAAGTCTTTTAGTTCGGTAAGGTCATTATTTTTCTTGCCTTCGATATTGGCTCCCGGCTTGTTCGACAGCAAGCTATTTTAGTCCCGATTGCCACCATGTTGTAACCACCGCACGCCGAATTCAATTAAAGTAATTGTCTTCCGAGGGTTGGCGGTATAAGGAAGTAAGGTCGAATCGACTTACAGTTGGCGTTGAAAAACTTCTCGAGGTCATCTTTTTAGGTAGCTCGTTGGCGGTGAACATAAGATACGCGTGACCCCGTATTATCTCCCCTTTGATTGATAGGTAGCGCAAAATGTCTACTACGACATGACCCTGTGAGACCGTGCTCTATATTATCTAACACGAGACGGCGGAAATCGTGGCTCCCATTTGACAAAAGATCCCACACGTCGGTCTAGAGTCATACAGACCAACTCGATCGGAAAGTCTATCCATGCGGCTGAAACATCCGAGACAAGATTTCCTAACAACATTATGTTGAACAACGTTGTGATATATCGCTGTCGGTAACCCTCCAGCTGGGTATTTAAGGCAGAAGAACTTCCAATGCAATGGAAGATTGTAGGACGCGATGTCTTTAGCGGTCTCACAAGCACGGAACATTTCTACCATTCTAGCTACCGTCTGATCGTGTAGCCTTTCCATAATCACGTTTAGCATGGCAGTTTGACATCACTTGGTCTTAACCAACCAAAGCTGTCTGAGGTCATGTATACGATGATCCGCTAGACTTTAACCCCTTGGCAAGCTTGGGAGTTGGTTACGGCACACCCGATCCAGTCGACCTAACCAAAACCCCATCCCTTAGTGTTCTTATCGGCGCAAGCCTTATTAGTTAACGTGCATCACAGGGGTCCTACGCCGCATCTTGGCTGTGGCCCATGGTAGCCCTTACTCGGCAGAATGTAACATGGTTACCTTTCTAGAACTAGTCGTCGTTGCACTGGAAGTAATTTCTAACCTTCTCGTCTTAGTTGTTGCTCAACTATGAGGTCCTATCGTACGAGATGGATTTCGAGTATCCCTTTATTCCAAATCCGCTTGACCGGATGGAAAAGCTTCTATTCCTGAGGTGTTGAGAATATCGCCGCCGCGATAACATGATATGGCATTCCATTGGACGAATTGTTGTGCCCGAGGTATATGACACATCCTCGTAGTCCACGTTGGTGTTATCATTCCAAGTGCGAACTATCTGATAGACTAATGGAATACCGAATCGAAAACCGACATGTGTACCTAAGTAATCAGCTGTATTAGACAATTTTCAACGCCGACGTTTCTATATGAATCAAGAATTAGATATGTCAGCCAGTTATCGCTTAGATACCCCCGAAAAAAGAATCCCCATGTCATCTCCATTTAACAGTGCCGATCCTCCTCTTTCCCCCCTAGTCATCCCCATTGCTACTTCCCATTGCTACTTCCCATTGCTACTTCCCATTTGTCAACCTACAACGCAACTTCCAAGACTACCTTAGGTACCTAACCTAGGTACATGCCCTTTGAACCTTATAACTAGGGCTAATAACGCCTCCAGCGCTGTGCTAAATACATCTTTCTTAGCGGCCTGCTTCTTTCTACCCACCTCCGTCTACACCTACATAATTCTAGGTATATTATAATACAAGGTGTTCGGTAGCCCTTCATACACCTTCATACACATATATCTCCCACTCCCTTCCTTTGCCTCATTTCATTGATATCCACTCAATTGTTTTGGGCCTCTTTAGTTTGATTATCCTCAGTCAGCATTGGTATTTGAGCTCGACTAATCGCACATACTGGTCGCGCTCGATCTCATTGTCCTAAGTTTGGTTAGAGATCAAGGAAGATATTTTGCGCCAGTTCAATATCTTCTAGAGGTGCTGCCTTATCTCACATCCTCTGTTTAACTTGACTCATTAAGTCAAATTGGCAGATCTGGACGGGGTATTTCTTATTTCAGTACGGTGGGCGACGTTAGGATACCATCATGAGCGACATTGAAAAGCATTCTTCACCCCACGATTCTCAAGATGAAGGGCAAGGCGGGGCTCTCGACGGACTTCCACCCGACCCCGATGCTCATCTCAGCCAAGAAGAGAAAGATAAGATTGTAAGTATCACCGCCGCAATACGGCGCTATTAGATCTATGCCGAGATCCGTTGGTGCTAATAAATATATTAGGACCGCAAGCTGGTTTGGAGGCTCGATTGGATACTAATACCTTGGGTATGTTAGCAATACTGTGGCGATCCGTAGGTCGCACGTAGCTAACATTAGATCCCAGCTCTGTATCCTTTATCTGCTTGCCTTCTTGGACCGGACCAACATTGGCAATGCGAAGGTTGCGCATCTTACCGACGACTTGCATTTGACAGTGCCAGAGCAGTACAATATGACTCTCACCATCTTCTTCATCTCGTACTCCGTTTTCGAGCCAGTGACAAATGTCCTGCTTAAGAAGCTGCGGCCATCCGTGTTCATCCCAATCATCATGTAAGTTGCAGCCGTGATTTCCGGATCCTAGCCGATGATAAGCTAACGCCGTGAAACCTAAGGATACTATGGGGCGCTTCTATGACTGGCATGGGCTTCGTCTACAATTATTCTGGTCTCATGGCCGCTCGGTGGTTCCTGGGTCTAGCCGAGGCCGGCCTCTTTCCCGGTATTAACTATTATCTGTCCTGCTGGTACAAACGTTCCGAGTTCGGTGTCCGTGCTGTAAGTCGAAGGTTTCGGGTCTTTCCACAGTCTTTCGTCCGTGTTGCTAAATTATTATAGGCTATATTCTTCTCAGCAGCTGCCATCTCCGGTTCGTTCGGTGGGCTGCTTGCGGCCGCGATAGAACTGATGGATGGTATTGGTGGCCGACCTGGATGGGCGTGGATATTTATTTTGGAAGGCCTGCTTACTATCGTGTTTGGCGCTGCATCTTTCTGGATGGTCCACGACTTCCCTGATCAGGCCCGGTTCCTCTCGGAAGACGACCGCACCCGTGTAGTTCGTCGACTCAAATTGGATCAACAGTCTTCAGCTGAGCACGAGGAGTGGAAAATGAGTTATCTCATCGCCGGTCTTAAGGACTGGAAGATGTGGTTGGGCATGGTTATTTATATGGGCTGCGATATGCCCCTCTATGCTTTTTCGCTCTTCTTACCCAGCATTATCCAGGAGTTAGGCTGGAGCACAGGTACTGTCCGGTCCCAGCTTCTAAGCGTTCCCCCTTACGCCGCCGCCGCCGCCCTCACCGTTGTCATTGGCTTCATCGCCGACCGAACTCGTCAGCGTGGCCTGTGCAACATTCTAGTTAGCCTCATCGGCATTGCTGGCTTCGTAATGCTTCTAGCCTCTACAGACCCTAGAGTTAAGTATGCTGGCACGTTCCTCGGAGCTCTCGGTATCTACCCTTGCATTTCGAACACTATCAGCTGGATGGCAAACAATATCGAGGGTGTATATAAGCGAGGCGTCGTATTAGGCTTTGTGATCGGTTGGGGTAACCTGAACGGTATCGTTAGCTCCAACATCTACTTTAGTCCGCCCAGGTATCTCGAGGGCCATGGAGTCATGATCGCCTACATGGCGCTGTTCCTGTTCGGTGGCAGCGTGCTGATGACGACATTACTTCGTATCGAGAACGGGAAACGACGACAAGGAAAGCGCAACTACCTAATCGAGGGAAAAAGTGCAAAGGAGATCGAGGCCTTAGGTGACAATAAGCCTGATTTCTTGTACACAGTTTGATTTGCGAATTGGGGTGGCCGGCGTATTGATACGGACAGACGTAGGATATATGGGGTGGCTCTTTGGTCATTATCTCCCTAGTACTCAGTATGTTTTGCATGGTGGCAAAACAGAAGATCACGTTTTCCTTTGATACTAGAGATTGGGGCAAGATGGATATATATAAGCAACGCTTCCCTTTGAGATACGGTTTCCACTGTCACATATTACTTCCATAGTCCAGAGAAGTGTAAGCAATATTAGAGGGCGGGGATAGGAAATGTCCACTACAATACCATATTCGTCTGGCCAATATGATTCCCAAATATCATCGTAGTTGCTCCAGTGTGACCCCTATTCTTTAGGTTCACTGTCTAAACACCTTGGATTCTCCAAATACTCAAGTCACTTAGGCTCAGAGATTAACCTAAATGGAGTTATGAGGCCTTTTCTTCTAAATGAAGCCGCCATCCAATTTTGGTCCTACTTCAGTCCTACAATGTCGCGTAGATCGATAAAAAAAGAGTAGGATTATGTATAATCATCTACCCCTATCCTCTACGAATTCCGATAACCTATCATAGGCACCCGGTCATATCGTCAGCTTCTGCTATCCTGCATGCTCCCTCAATTTAAAACGATACGGACGGTGATTATACTGACCTATCTACAGAGACTAAGTTTAGATAATCGTGTTTAAACCTCCTTGAGTTGAACTCATCTAAAAGTGATAGTGTATAGTATTAGCTCGTATAGTTGACATTATTGAAGTTCAAGTCTTCGGATTGGAAAAGTCCAATCCTGGTTTGTACAACCTTCAATTTTTTAGAAATATTCGGGCTTCGGAGATTTCGGGTGCAACGTATTCCTTTACCTGGATACGGAATACAGACACGCGAAATAGCCTGTCCATTCCAATTGGAAACACAAAGTGGAATAGTGACGCAGACTATTGACTGAAACTACATCAAATTGTACTGGATCAGGGGACCCGAGTCTTGATTCGGATAGCTTTTCTTTTGGGTTCTCTAAGGTCCCGAAACAACGTGGTTAGGATTAGGGGTCTTAGAGCCCTCGTGGAGTAAATGAAAATAGCCACGAGAAACAAACGGGCTAGCATATACTCGGATAGTCAATCTAAGCGCAACCTATAACTTGCATCAAAGGCACCTGCATGTACATACCTAGGTTAGGACAACAGTGACGATGCAAGGAATGCCGTTTAATCTAAGATGGCATTTTCAACCCCCGAAAATCAAAGAATTGGTTAGCCAATCATATCGCATAAATTAGGTACTATCCCGCCACAAACGGTAATGTCTTAGTTGCTGAATGTACATCCCCCGCGCTAATATTGGACACCCACGTTTTATTGAATCCACCTAACCGTTAGCTTTTTAGCGTCTTTCCACAGCTTTTAGAGCAGTCAAAGCATCTTTAGGGGCTCTATTGTCACGAGCAGCACGAGACAATCAAAGAACATCCACGTGTCTACATGGTTTATACCAATGGATATTAGGCACGTAAGGTACCTAGATGTACCTGTTATACCTATAAATACCTAATGTATCTATACAATCGGAAACTCGGGTCCAAGACAGTCACGGGAAGCATTCGTTTCTATCTGCAATATTCCATACATATTGAAGTAGGTAACCTTGGAAACGTAGCTGGACAACTCATTCGGTGACCGAGACTCGCCCAGTACGCTCAGTAAGAGCCTGCTCTGGTTGGTTCGACCCCCCTCGAGTCGGCAGTACTTAGCCTCGGTGCATTTCATTGAGATGTGAGAGTCGTCTGCTATTGGACTAAGACTGCAGGATGCATCATGTGGTGTAGCAAACAGCTGTCCACTGGCCCTTCTTGATTAATACTTTCGCGAGCTCCCTAGGGTTGAGGCGCTGAAAGACATTTCTCCGAGCGCATCCCTTCAACTAATTTACAAATTCTCGGAGGTCGGCTAGAAGCTTTGGAGTGATCTCAGAGCAGTCGTCGCAGAGACTGTAACTCCGGCTGGTCAACGCAAGGGGTCCCGCCTGTACAATATTAGTCACAAGGCATGAGATAAACGTTCGGGTCTCTCCAAATTCTTCCATCCATTCATCGTCTGCCAAGGTAGGCTGTTTGTCTTGTGTGGCGTTTACCTCGACTTGTGAGGAAGATAGCCACTCGTCTAATATATGAGAAGCTTGAAATCCTTTCGAGGTCCTGACTTGCACTTCTACGTACACGTTATTCCATCGGGTCACATCGTCGGTAGTCGATTTGGTCTTATTAAGTGAGGCTTAACCGTGTATCAATGCAGGCTGTGGAAGAGTGTTGCGAATGATGAATTATATACGTGTAGAGTCGCAATCTCCCTGCCTGTCTTACCATCCCTTATCGCCTAGGTAGTATTTCCTTCATTTGCGCGTAGTCCAGCTGCTTATAAGCATCTGCACTTCAGTTTGTAAGCTGATCCCCTAGAAGACTCGAATGAACGTCTCGAGCGAATCAAGCAGGCAAATTCTGAGACAACCCGGCATTTTTTAGAAGGAATACAAGATCCTTTGACAGGTACCTAGACTGGCACCTTGGGAAAGGCTTGAGATACTACTATGTACCTGTATTACTCACTTACATGTAATTACCTATGTAGGAGATAATCAATCCGTTTGCTAGATATAGGTATTCCTTGTATTCCCACCAAGATAATCGTTCAACATGCTACGTTCAAACTTTAATGTACCTTTTTTGAACTTGCCGTTTTCATGCAAATCATAATCTTCGTTTTCCTTGCTATCTCGAGCGGATACTATGGCGCATTTCCTTGTTGTGTAACAATGAGAAGGAAAGTACCTATACTTATCTATAAGAGGTATGAACTTCCTTGGAACAATGGTCCAAATATTGTATATTACGTCCATGTGGAAGGGACAGGCAGATTACCTAGGTATGTACCTCTTTCATAGTCTCGACGTATCCTCGTACCTTACTCCTACTCCTACCTCATACGTGTAGGTCTGTCTTTCACGAACTTACATGTGTACATTATGTACATATTTCCCGTCTGTTACCCGGCGTATAACCAGTTATACAAGAGGTAGCCAAGTAGCCAAATAACCAAGGCTGAGGACGCATCTCAATATGCATCCACCCAATTGATGATATCTCCTCGGATACCTATGAGCATTACATCCTCTCCTCCCTCTTCTTTACTCTTGTTATGATGCGGCACCTAGCCATAGAGCTGATTCACATTTGACCGACAAGCGAAAGCTGCGGCTACGTGCGTTCCTAAGCTTGTTCGACTTCACTTCCATTCAAACTTCTATATCCATCACGTTATACGTTCCCTAAGGGTACTCGCTTTGGATTGACTCGCTCGGCAACTCAAATCTAATTCTTAATTCGACCTACATCCTGGATCTCATCTTCTGGAGCTGGTCCCGGTTTCGAACGACTGATCTTTGCGAATTTTCATCCACTCTCCCTACTTACCTCATATTACCTACAATACGGTTCATAAGGTCACCAGCTGCAGTGATCTATCTGTTAGGTATATCAGCAAGAAATGGTGAACAACTTTTTGTTGTTCATCGAAGTCGATATCCCTACTTAACAACGTTGTTGGTGGTCTTGTTCTACATACATACTGGCTTACACTTCTATTTATACACTTCTCCTTTACCTAGAGTCTATTACACCATACTTGACGTCTTCACGCCTGTGTCGAATCAAGTCTCTCCACCATTGCGTAGTAGAAACAACATAAGCCGCCTAACTCATCGAGATATAGGACGATCTTCCGTGCGCGGCCGCAGTATTGACCCTACATCATTGAACTCCAACATCCAGCTCGCTTCGTATATGGCGGGGGCACTGTGATCCCCAATAGGTTTTGCGCAGAAGTTGGATACATATCTATCCTCGAACCTATACGAAGAGCAGCGCTGTATAGACAAATCTCTACTCTACCCCGGTGTGCAACATATGTAACTGGAACCCCCCTTATGCTGACACACGTACTCCAAGCGCGTTACGACAGCTGTGATGGAAGAAACGGTACACAGTGACCCCGATGGAACTGGCCGAAGTATTTCCCCCGGGGAACTTACAAGAAGTCATATCGAAACTATTGTGATATTTGAGAGACTGGGTGCCGCATTATCTGTCACTGGGGTCCTTCTTATTTTCATTGCTTATGCAATCTTCAAAAGACTTCGCACCGTACCAAATACCTTCATTCTATTTGCGTCTTTTGCGAACTTGGGGGCGAGCATCGCCTGTTTGATAGGGTACTCAGGGGTGCTGGCAGGATCAACCAGTCACCTATGCCAGGCTCAGGCTTTCATGTTTGAACTGTGAGTCCATTAAGAACATTTCTCTCTTCTACGACCCCTTAGAGTAGAGGGCACTATACTAGTGAATTACGATTAACGTATGCTAGATTTATGCAATCAGATCCATGGTGGTCCTTTGCCATGGCTGTCAATGTGTACATGGTATTTTTCTTCTCTGCAAATCCCAAAAGCTTTCTCCGATACTGGTGGGCGTATTTCCTCGTTTGTTATGGGATACCCTTCATACCGTCGTTATGGCTACTCATTGTCCGCGGAAGTGATGGGCAGATTGTATACGGCAATGCGACAGTATGTCACTGTCCAGCATAGAACCCCTTATGATCGTTTATGATCATCTATACTAACGCTAGATTTAGATATGGTGTTGGATAGATAAGGACTGGTCCAACCTGCGCATCTACACGTACTACCTCCCGATTTGGGTCTGCATTATCCTCTCCACTTTCATATACGTAGCTGTTGGCTACTACGTCTTTAAACAGCGTAATCAACTGCGGAACCTGTCTCTTAGCAATCCCGCTCACGACCCCCCAGCGCCGCGGGACTCGGGGGAGAAGGTAAGTAGTTTAATCGCTATATGAAATTTTAAATAGTATGGATAAGATTAACTAAAGGGTTAGCAGACGCTCTTCACGAACGCTGCTGTTATGGGCAGTATCAATCGAGAGGTCGTACAGGTGACAACGGTAAACTCAACTACCGCATACTCTGTTAGTGGGCCATCGTTGACCGGTGCTACGCCTACTAATTGGTTTGACGGACCACTCGACGACAAGAATAATATGGATAGCCCTCTGACACCTATATCGTCGCAAAATCCATACCATACCACGATCACACGCATCACCGCGGACCCGGCGCCGCGAGAAGGCCTCTGGGCGCGTGCCCGGGGAAATTTCCAGCGCTGGCGCAACCGATTTAATCATATGGATCCGGTGAAATTGGCGTACCTACGTACATCGTTCGTCTTCGCGATCAGCGTGTTCGTGACATGGACACCGAGCAGTATCAACCGCGTGCATGACCTTGTCTACGCTGAGAGCGCTAGCTTCGCACTGAACCTGGCCAGCGCCGTCGTGCTACCTCTCCAAGGTGTTTGGAACGCCGTTATTTTCTTCTCAACTACTTGGTCCTCTTTACGTCAGGAAGTCCGTGCTCGCCTCGATTCGCGTAAGGGATTACCCCGCGGACACCATGACGCGGCGGCCGTGCGCAATGAGCGCGAACGCGAACGTGCCTTGGAGCTGTCGAGACGAAAGACTCGGGGACACACTGATGATGCTGGAAGTGATCTCAGCGCCTCGGGCTCGCTCGGTGGTAACGCTGCGAGCGGCGGCACTGTTAGAGTCATGCGCGGCGGATCGCTAACTAGTATATAACCCTAGATATAAGACAAGGAGTACCTAAGTCATACTTGCAGGGATTCGACGGGCTGGTGCGAAAAGGCGAATATCTACTGTGCTTATTTAGGTACGGCAGGTGGATGGGCGGTCTTGAGGATTAGTTGGTTTATTGGTTAAGAAGTGCGTACATATGTCGGTCAGCTCGTCTTCGACAGTCATTTTCGCTTCTCGGTCTGGTCTGGAACTTGAAGGTTTGGATAAAGGTACTTGGTTAAGCCAGGTCTACATGGAAGCTCACTTGAGTATAGGGTATACTATTCTATACGTGACTCTTGCGAGAGTGGTTGAATACTACTAGCCAATCCCGAGTTGTGATCATATGTACGAAGTATGCGTTGTTCAGTTATCGCAAAGACTATTTGGTTTATGGCCAAGTGTTATTGAATAGGTACCTAGATGAAGAGATTCCGATATTTTATCACTTATCAATATTACGAGTCTCATAGTCTGCCCAAATCTGATAAGTTCTCAACTCACTGAGTTGATTATGCCTACAGTAAACCGCATGTACTAATCGACGAAAGTATGGTTGTACAATAACGGATGAATACCTAAACCACGACTAGCTGCTTGGTACTACTCTCGTAATGGGCAGCATGTGTAACTAGTCTCTATCATATTTAAATGTGATAGGCAAAGAATGCGTGACGAGTCGTAGCTTGTTCTTATGCCAATCAACATAGTATTTGAAGAAGTGGTTGTAGATGGTGACCGCCAAGCCGTAGCGGTATTTTAACCCCTAACGTCTTCCCCTGGAAATCGGAGGCCCGTGTCTTGGGGTAGTTTCTGCTCGATGCGATGGTAACTTAACGTCTGTCAGAAGAGGTACCTACTAAGAGATTTTCATACATATTTTAAGACTCAGAGAGACCTCGGCAAGGGAGCAACGTGCTACTTATCACTTCCGTAGTCGGGGTTAATTCCTTACGCACCGTCGTAAACTAGAAGGCTTTGAACATCGACTGTTCCAAACCCACGCCGGCGTAACAATTCCCGGCCACGATGAACGGGGAACTCGGCCACGACCATGACGCTGACATCTTCAGCTCTAATGCCGGCCTCATCTAACAGCTGTAACATCGCGCAAAGCGTTTCCCCCGTGGCAAGCACGTCATCTACTATCACTACTGACACGCCCCTGGGGATCACATCCCGCTCCATCTCGATTCTTTTCTCGCCCGAACTGTTGGACGTTGAAGACGAAATATGCGATGAGGACTTGACGATGGAGATGGTGGGCGGGGGAAGCTTCCCGGCTTCGCGGATTAGCGCCAAGGGCACATTGATCTGCGCAGCCAACGCCGACGCGAAGATAAAGCCGCCAGCCTCGCAACTCACCACCGCAGAAACGTTGGCCCAGTCGCCAGTGAAGTGCGTTTGTAACAGAGATATGCATAGAGCCAGACCACCGGGCTGCTGGGAAATGTCTAGCACATGACGGAACTTGATATCTCGGCGTGGAAAGTCGGGTACCGGGCGCACCATATCGGCTAGACGCCGTAGGTCTTCGTGAAAGAACGGAAGTAGGGAGTATTCTACAAATTCTTTTATAGCCTCATCTCCGGTTTTGCTATTGTTGAAGATGAAGTTAGGACGGTAGTTACTGTTCTTTTCGTCGCTGCTACCGCCTTGACTCCCTCCGCGAGCCCTCCGCATCTCTTCGCTGGCTTGGACACGAACCTCGAGTAACCTGCTGTGCGGCACCAAATATGAAAAGGCTGCAACAGGCGCCTCATCCCTCATCCCAGTGATTAGTAGTACCTCAATTTCTTCCGCGCCGTGTACTACGTTTAAAAAATGTTCCTCTGGCAGCCGAGGCCGCTGCCGTGCCTGATCTTTCCAAAACGCCGTCAATGCTGACCGGTGCTGCTCCTTGTAAACACGATCTAGAAGTAGACGGTTTAGGTTGGCGCCACTCGCCGCGGCGTATTCTCGCTTGGTCACATCGCTGATGCTAACTGCGCACGCTGCTAAGCCTTTGTTGTTAAGTTCCGAGACCCAGATGTCGGCGCAATAGTCCTTGCCAGCACAGCTTTCGCCTGTCACAAGGATGATAAGCCGGGGTTCCCTCGGTGCTTTCGGGAGCGGACAGGCATAAGCTAACACATTATGCGGATCCAATTTGCGCTTGAGGTGGGCTAGGCGCGACCGGTTCGGCCCAAATGCCTTGGTAGCAAGGGCGGCGTCCCGGGGGTCCGGTCCGAGGTCAGCACCGTAGACTCCACTACTCAACGGTAGTAGGCTGTCGGCGACGCTGTAAACCCACCGCACGGCAGCTCGGGCTGTTTCTGTTCCATCTTGATCGCGGGGCCAGACTCCAGTTACCACACAGGCGAAGCTCCAGTCTCGACAGCCGAAAGCGGTGGCATCGCTCCTAATGTCGCTAACAGCTCCACCGCCGTGTAGTAGATGGAGATAGCAAAGTGGGGAGGGACGGGTTTCAATAGCCCTTAATAAGATACCAGCGACGTCCACTGCTCCGATATCATTTAAGAATAAGCATCGCTTGAACGAGGAGGTCTTGCCACCGCCGTGCCCGCCGTGCATCCCGGACATGTACATCTCCGTCTCGAACAGACCAACGCCGTCCACTATCTTTGAATTTTCCTCCGGCCCTAATATTTCCCTAACGCACTTGAGCGTGGGCGTAGGTATTTCTAAGCCGACCATAGTCATCGAAGATTCGAATATAGTTACACCAAGATGTAGTTGGCTAGCATCCCAGTACAGATACGCGTCCGCCGAAAAGTTCCGAGGAAGATCTCTAGCGACAAGCTTGTCAAAATCGCTAAGCTTTCGTCGCGCCTCGAGATTATCTTTCACCGGGAAAACCCAGTTTCTAGTCAAGTAGGTTGGAGCTGCGTGGGCCCTAAAAGTCACACTGATAACGATGCCGAAGTTGGTGCCGGCGCCTTTTATCGCCCATAGCAAGTCGGCCTCGTTCTCCGGGCGCACTGCATCAGCCGGCCGGTATTGGCTTGGCACTTGGCCAACGTAGAGCACTTGGCCAGAATCGACGCTGACTACTACGGCACCGATAATGGCATCGCACGCGAGCCCATGTAGCCTAGATAGGTGCCCGATGCCACCTTGTAACCACAGCCCTGCGCCTACGCTTGGGCGGGCTCCCAAGGGCACTGTTAGGCCCGCCTCCATGGATTTGGTGATAATATCCCCCGTTTTGCAGCCCGCTTCGGCAACAACGAAGGTACCAGAATCGGAATCCTCGCCCCCTTTATCCTCCCCAGTCGCGTGAATGTGAACTTGGTCAAAGGCGCCCATGTCTACCGAGACTACATTAAACTGGAGACAGTGACCACTATGACCCCCGCCAAGAACGGTCAGACCGACTCCATGCTTCAGCGCCCATCGAACGCAGTGCTGAACGTGTTGGATCTCTGTCGGTCGGATAATCGAAGCGGGGTGATGGAAGTTAGCCTCTCGGTTCTTAACTATCTTATCCCCCTTTACTAATGGCACATGCGCTGTCAATTCTGCTAAAGCGGTCCCATGTTGGTTAAAGGCCACCATGACGTCGGGAGAGCTGAACAAGAGATGTCCTGCGTGGGCTTCGTCGCGACGGCCTAACATACGACACACCTTACGCCACTCGGCTCTGGCAGCCATATCCACATCTTGAATAACAAACCCAGCGATGAAAGCAGCGAAAATGTCCACTGCTTCGTCATCGTCGGGCACACTGACGACCCCAGCAGGGTAAGAAGCCGTCCGATGGCATACCAAGCCGGCGAGGTCGAGGGTCTCGTCGTGGTGGAAAACTACTACCATTGCTCCTTCTTGCTGCTTATCCAACATTCTGAGCCCCTTTTCAATGAACTTATGATGAGGCTTCATGCCGTACATGCTATGACAAAAAAGGACGATATCGTATTTGCTATCATCATCCGTATCCGCGCAATTATCTAGAACGAATGGGACTCTATGGATGTTAGGTAGACTTTCAAGGTAGGGTAATGGGGACTCCGTCTTCGCGGGAGAATTAAACCATTCTTCTAAACTGGTCGCGAACAAGCTGTTAGGCTCAAAGGCATCGTATTTTTTTACTTTCCGTCTCATAGGGCCAGGTAAATATCCAAGTATACTCTTCGGCCCGGGTCCGATTTCTAACACTGAAATACGGGCACGCGAGTTGAAGAGTGGAGTTAGTAGCCGAGACAGTCGGGGGATAATAAAGTCTTCGTACGTCGTCCACCCCAAGCCTTGCATCATAATGTCGAAGGCAGTACCGTACTGCGCGTCAGATAACGGCTGCGTCGGATATGAAGCCATTTCCGTCGCTCTCTGTCTAAGGGCCCCCTTGAGGGCGCTGATAGTAGCCATATCGGTTTAGCATGAGTGTACTTTGTGGCTGAATGACGGTACTTTAGGTAGTGATGGGTGTTAGAAACAAGGATTCACACAATTATATATCAGAAATATGTCATGGTACAGAAGGTGAGCCCCGCACTCTGGTTTCTGTTTGATTATAGTTGTGTTCTATCACATTTAGTAAAATATTGATATTTGTTCTAATGTTTGACTACTTCACTATCACCTTCGCAGATCTGCAGTGGGGGGGAATCAGTAGAAGCAAGCTCCCAGCGTGCGGTGCCTTTAAACGGTACTATCGATGCAAAGTTGACGTAGAAGATAGGGGTCTCACATATGGAGGTCCAGGAATGATATGCGTACCTTAAAAATCTACTTAGTAATAGTATGTACATAAATGTATAATGCGAAACTATCATAGAGTTGCAATATGCACTTAGTACTATACTGTTATTCAGAAGTGAGCGCTGTGGATTGTATACAAGATCTCCCATCGTGATGTTTGCTTATCTCATTGCTGCCCGCGCTCAAGCCTCTAACCTTACGTTCTTACAAGCCGAAGGGTAGGTGCAGAAGTTGATTAAAAAAGTGACTGGCCTAGTGATTGATTGCGTCATCCGCCAAACACATTCGTGAGCCTAGCAGAGAAATATGTTGATAGGGATGTTATAAATTATCAAGTAGTTGACCCTAGGTAGTAACACCTAAATCAGCTAAGCTATTATATAGGTGTCGAGCAAGGCCACTAGACATCAACTAAATAATACGAATATCTACCTAGGTGAGATAAACTGGTGCGTATATTACTAGTTAAGTCTCGAATTAATCTTTCTAGACTTTAGTTTAGGTATTCATAAGGTAGTTAGGCACTTAATCTTAAGTTGGCTTCATGATTCCGCGTATAATTCGGGCATTAACTCCTATCCTCAACTGAAGGTTATATCCACCAATTCATTCATTGTTATAAGTGGCGGGCAGGCCAAGTTCTTTTCCTAAACCTCAGATATCAGGGCCTAGTTCCTGGGTCATCTATCCGGACCACTACCTGCTCGTTGTCAGCAGTATAAGCAAGCCAACTGAAGCGCGTCCCGGTACGATTGACATATTCTTGCCACGCACGATGTTCGTCGTGTTCCCAACCCGGGAAGTTAAAATATTCGTCGAATATTACAATTGACCCGGCCACTAGACGTGGTCCACAGTGCTCTAATACAGTCACTGCTGAGGAGTATAGGTCGCTGTCGATGTGGAGCAGGGCGATGGGTCCGGGATGCTCAGCAAGGAAGGGCGCTAAGGTCTTGTCGAACCATCCGACCACTAATTCGGCGCCGGGCACCTCAGGTGGGGCTTCGACGGCAAAGGCCCCGGGACGGATCACCCAACGCCAAGCCTCTGGAAGACCTTCAAAGGAGTCGAACCCGTAGACTCCACCAGACCGCCTGGCCGCAATTTTCCGGAGAGTGGAGCCTTGATAGACCCCAAATTCAAGGGCCATGCCCTCTTTCGGGGCCTCATCGAGAGCATGTCGCAGAGTCTCGTATTTGTCGTAGTAAGGCATCGCATCGGGAAAGTTCTCGTTGACGAACCGCGCACTCGAGCTTGCTGCATCGCGCCATGCAGCCTCGTATATGTCTCGCCTGTTACGATGATCGGCCTTGTTCCGGCTCTCAAGTATATTGTCAAGGCGTGCGGCAAGCCACTCTTCGTGTTTCTCGAACCGTGCGTCAATACGGTTCTGGACAGTTTCATCGACCACCGTGGTTACGTATGTGCGTAGACGCGACCATATCCTAGTTCCGAGTGATATCCGGACACGAGGAGGGGTGACTAGAATGTCATGCTGCTTCGTGGATGTGGTAGGATTTGCTGTATTTTCTTAGCAACAGGACAACTGGCTGGAAACAATATGGTCACTGGCTAATACCACAGCTCCTTTCGTCTCGCAGTTTAGGATACCCTATTGTGTACCTAGGTAGGTAGTATTTTGAACATCCATCCAAGCAAAAACTCACTTACCAGCCATTAAACTACTGGATCGAGATGCATCGGCTGCGACCGTCTGCTGTGCTACCGGAGGACGCATTGTGTCGAGTAGTACATGCAAGCGTAGTTCCTATAGACTACGGTTTAAAGTGTTCGCGTTGGGAGGAAGGTTACAAAATAAGTCAGTGTGATTGATCACCTTAGAAATCATTTTGCTACGGCTTTCAGCCCTAATATAAGTCCTCATACGGTCGCGTAATACCTTAGCCTATCCTACAGTACTTTCTCATTCTTAATTAGTCCGAGTTACGACCGTGCTATCTGATGAAGGTGCAGAATACAGTCGTTGATGATGAACGGTACGGCAGCTGGATTAGGAGTCATACAACGGCAATCTACTATAACAATAACTATACAGAGCCAAATACACCGGAGAAAACATGTAAGGAAGTAGGCTGTGGTTTGTATTGCCGATCCATATACGACGTGATAACCGGCGTGGGGGTAAAAGAATACTGATGGCGTAAAAGAAGGTAGACATAGTCCGTAACATGAACTCGCTCCCCGAATGCGACTCACACGAAGGAGTAACAGGAGCGGTTAGATAGATTAACACTTATGTTATTGGATGGGAATTACGAGTTACCAATCGGAATTCACCCCGTAGTTCAGCATGACGCCCGCCGCCCGCCGCATACTACATTCTTCAGCGGAACGTTTGCAACGCAGTTGATTTCTGCTGCCTGGAGAATAATATATACCTTTCCTCATATCATCAACCTTATTCGATGAATGCAAGCTGAGTTAGATCGTCAGTGGTACGATTGAAGTGTGTATGGTTTTGTTATTTAGGATAAAGTCATCTTCATGTTCGATAGGCAGGCTTGGCGAATGCGATGCAACTCTTGTTCCATACGATGCATAGCCTATTGATAATCAGAGAACTTAGAAACTTGTAACTAAACTACTGACATCTTAATATTTTCTTGCAGAACATGTCCCAGATATGTTTGGTTTTAATTTCGAAATAAACTGGCGCTCGAAACAAGAAGCAAGAAGACATCTACCGATATAATACTTCCAAGACATGTTCGAGCGAATGTACGGCATGAAAGTGATATGACCCAAATATCCAACTATATTGATAGGACCTTTACTTTAAAGATAATCCTTATATTGATATATAGGTAATACCTGAAGTTTAACAGTTATTAGTGAGTTACAGTTTATGTTCTAAGTACGACACTCCTTATACCGACATGATGTCGAATAGAAAAGGCCTGGTTTGGATTATTAACTTGAACGTATTCCAGTGCAATTTTATTCCCCAGTTTCCTTTCAAGTGCACTCAATCTTAGTTCGAAAGACTTGCGTCCCAAACATCCTTAAGAGGTAGTTTTAGTATACGATACATCCCATCGTAAATAAGAATACGCGGATTATAAGTTAAGGCAGTACCAACATCTAGACAACTATAGATGGGGACGGGGAAACCTTTCTGACAGGAGCGTTGGTGGGAAGACTACCATACATAAAGACCTGCATGGAATCCTACTTGAAAATTATTGGTACCGTAGCTTCTAACCGGGATATAATTGAACCAAACAGCGGAGATAGCACCACATGTAGCATCATCGGTAACTCGCGTATGAGTTGGTGTGTACATCGTGCGTCGCTTACTAGGAGACTTTTGCCATGAGGCTCTCGGCAACTGAACGCACGTATAGCATCTCGCCAATTCTGTTACATGCCCTTTATTTTAATTATGTATTGCTTCATAGCATGATGACGATAGATACCTTACTTACCAAGTAAGGATAAACTTTGCGATCTTAACATTAGGTGCGCATATTGCTCTAGCTGTGACTCATAATTTCCCATATTTGATAACTGCGAGAAGGATGACTTTGACACAAAGGGGTGAAGAAAATCCCGGTAAACTACCTAGAGGTATGTATGCAATCCATCACCCGATTTCGCCATAGACCGACCGTAGTATAACCTGATTGAGGCAACTGTGTTCGCACATGGATTTTTTAATATCGATCGAGTACCTAAGGAACTCCTACTTTCACCCGAAATTGCTTTCTTCAACTTTCGACTAGCCCTCAAGTCGAAAAGATTTCGAGAAAAGATATATCCCTATGAACGCCTAGAAAGAGGTTATAGAACCCACAATCAAAGACTTAGCTAAGGTACCTAAACCATCACCTCCTGCAAAGGCCATTTCGAGGTATAATTTACAGATTTTATGATTGCGATGGTGCGAACGAATAACGGTTAACGTTTCTGCATATTGTTACTGTATCGATCCAATATTCCGCCTCATCCTTAGTCGCGCAGGTGACGGATGCATCGACCACCAGATCTCATCTAACTTTCTAATCTCCTCCACCGACTGTTGCTGACGTTGTTCGACCGATTGATCAAGTTCGGTCGCTTGAAGAACACTCCGCGTAATACGTCGCAGCGGTGTCCCTATATTAAGTATGGTGAATAGTGACTCTACCAGCACCTCAGCTGCAATCTTAAAAACAGGCTTGAACCATGCAGTCTCTTCGTGATCCTCCTCTAGCCCGGAATCACTGTGAGCTGAGACTGCTAAGAGGAACGGCGCCCGGTCTCTCCAAAAACTACTCGTCTCATCGGTAGTTGACGCCTCATTCTCGAAAGACTCGACTGCCTCAGGTGACGCGCAGAGGAAAACGTCCCAACACAGCCCAGGATCTAAATTAGGTCTCAGAGCGGCGTACTTGGCTCGGAGTGAATCCGCATCGGCAATCATGGTAAGAGTCTCACCGTTAACGGGAACAACTTCTACCCATTGAATCTCAAATTTGGCTCTAGCCTCGTCGAAATCGTCCGGGAGTGAAACACCTTCTTCTTGCGCTTGGGTAACAGCACGTGCAAAAGGTATTTCGATGATTCGTTTAAACTGTTCCTGAAACCTAGTCCAGCGATCGTTGTCATTATCGCCGCCAAAGCAGGCGGCGCGGAAAGCGACAAAACCCCATCGCTGACCGTGGAAATGCTTCCTCCAGATTCTAAGCCAATCCGGTGGAGAGAGGACAGCTTTCTGAGCATTGGCCTTGGTCGTGTTAAAAGAAATACTTGCTTCTGCCATTTTCCAACCTGAGCTTTCCCCTTATTCGGCTTCTTCTAAATGTCCAGTTGTAAAGTACAACACAAATACGGTAACTACCCCTTTTTATTGAGTTGAATGGGGAACATAGCGGGGCTTCAAGTGGGTTGGCTGTTTGTATTGCAAGGAGGTACCTAACCTAGGTCCCTCCTTAGGAGGTAGTAATCAGCTGCTTGTTTATTTAGGTAGGTACCTAACTTGGTAAGGTGATCTCAATAATTCTCTTAGACGCCGACAACTTCATGTAACTTAGCGTCTCATATTTCAGTCTTTCTTAAGAGTTCCTATCTACAAGGTACTTGAGTAGGTATGGTGGACGGTTAAGACATTTGTGCCAAAATCGAAAAAGTCGGTAACACTATGTCTAATACGGTAATAGTAACGCTAGGGGTACAGTATAAACTCGATTATTTACCCTATATACATAATTACTTAAGGTAATACATATCTTTTTTTAACTTTATACCATAATAGCTTTACGAATATTTATTTAAATATTTTTTAAAAAATATTGCTATTTTAATTAAAAAATAATAAAATTTATAATTTAAATTGTATATAATTTAACTTAAAATTAATAAAAGTATTAAAAGGTTATGTAATTATATATATATAATTATATAAGTTTTATTATCCGGGCCATTTTTATTATTAATTTTTAAATTTAACCAATTAAATTAAAAGATTTTATTTAATTGTTTTATATATTTATATATATAATATATTTAAATAACTTTTTAAAAACAATAATTTAAACGTTATAATTGGTATTATTTTATAATTTTAATTAATGTAAAAATAATGGATTAAATTGCATGTTTATGCAATATATATTAAATATTATATTGTTATTAAAATATTTAGAGTTTATTTAAAATGATTTTATCAAGGTATTTTTAAAGGGTATTACGTGTTTGCTTTTTTAAACAAACGCTATTTGATTTTATTATAATATAATAGTTAAAAAGCCGATTTAAATGTAATTTAAATCATTATTTTCGCATTAATTAAAACTATAAAATAATACCAATTATAATGTTTAAATTGTTGTTATTATAAAGTTATTTAAATGTATTATGTGTATAAAGTAATTAAAGATTAAAATTAATCTTTTATATTTTATTTTGTATATACCCCGCATAATATATTATGCACTTGCTATATTACCCTTTTTGGAAAGCCCCGACCTATTTTCCTGATTTTGGCACAAATGTCCTAACCGTCCACCATAGTAGGCTAACCCCTCGCTTGATGAATCAAGTAAACAATTTGCGATAACTGATCTGATGGTATTACTACAACTTCCCAGAATTTATCTCTTCAGTTAAGATCTCATTGAACAATGCATAAACTGACTCTTCCTGCAGCAAGTTATGAATTTAGTGCTCCTTTAGTTTATCGATCCTCTGAATACGGCCTCCGCACTTAATGGCGCCCACGAGGCCAAGACGGTAGGCCCTCAAAGAACCTTTTGACTGTCGACCCGGGCTTGCGTCGATTCTTTGGCGGTGATGCTAGTGCCTGTGGGGCCATCGTCATATTATGGCGGTCCCCGGTAGCCCTACGTGCATGTCTAGATATCATAGACGTCCATCCCCGATTTACCCGGAATGGGCGTTCTCGGTTCGTGGCTTGATGCGCTGTTGAGATGGTATTTCTGATCGTCTCAAGGTTTTTGCCGAAATGCTTTAAATCGTACAGCTGAGAGACAAGATTCTCCACGCCGGCTTCATTAAGGACTTGATACTGCAATTGGTACTTGTTGTCCATATTGCGCGTTAGGATGTCCACGAGCTCCTCATGCGACCGGCGATCGTCCAATAGATCATTGAGGCGCTTTCTGCTTCCACCGACCTGGACCTTCATTTCTTCATCCCTAATAAGCATGTCCAGATACTCGAGCGTCGCATCATTGTAGGCGGTGATAGAATATTTCTTCAAGAAAACACCGAACCTGGCGGACGCCTTCTGAACTGTCGCATGCTCCTCCTTATATTCGGCGATGAGATTATTCAGGCCTTGAATTGCTGCTTCTCTTAGTATTACGTCGTCAGAGTTTGCTTGGATCTGTCGTTCGACTTCGGTATCTGTCACCGTAGCCATGTATTCCTCTAGTTCAAATAGGACGTGGAGGTGCGATTGCCAGTGATGGGTGCATCTCGCACAGTAATTTCTGCCACCAAACGCGGCACACCCGATGAGACTAGGATGAGCTACTTGATCAATCTTAACGTCGTTGAGAAAGCAGACAGGATGGCAGTGTGTCTTGTATACAGTGACAACCACGCCTCCCCCATCATCTCTGAGCTCGATGCAGTCCTTGTCCTTACAGACGGTTCGTGGCATATCGAGTTGTTTAGAGCGTAGATGCATCTTCTCTATATGAAGCCGATCTCTAAGCTTTTCCCCCGTGACACGGGTGTCCGTCACTGTACAAGTTCGAGTTAGCGAATATTTCAATTAAAACTTCCAATCGTTCACATTACAAGGGGTACGAAGTAATAAGGTATTCCAAAAGAGTAACAAAATTTCCACCCGACAAGTAACAAATGTTACGCACTTTCCTTGATTTTATCTTCCGACATAGCAATATTGGCCTTGATGAGCGCCGAAATCTCGGCCATTGGCTTAGTCAAGCTCGCTATCAGCTGTCTTGCGCCGTTGAGACTTATGGTACTTTGAACTTTATGCGGGGTCTTGGACTTGAAATAATCAACAAGGCGCAGTGACTCCATCCTCGAATGCTTCCAACTACGTCGAAAGTCTTCCTCATTCTCCATCACAGTCCCGTTCTTGAATGCAGCAAGATAACGGAAGCTCTCTGAGTCGAAGCAATAGGTTGTATGAGTTGTCAGAGATAGACCAATATCAGCGTGCTTCTGTATCAAAGTGCTAAGCGGCCCAAATGTATCACCAGGAGTGTAGTTTGAGATCCGTGTGTTAGTGAAGCCAAACGCCATGTTGTTTGCCGCCGAGCGGTGGAGATGTGTTAGCAGCTCTTTCATGCAAAAGTTGAAGGTGACGGTCAATCTCGCATTGTTCGACTTTACCAGGATGAGTATGCCGTGTAAGTCATCATAACTACTTAAAGTTGATAGTATATCGGCCATGTTCTTCTTGTCGTACTGAATCCCCCGTGTATCCCCGATACCAGGTGTGTCAATTAGTCGAATTGTACGGTTGCCAATAGTGACAGGATAGACGGTGGTTCGCTGTGTAGCTGACGCTCCTTTACTGCCATCATGTTCATCATCCCTCGTACCGACCTGGATTTTGATCTGCTCGATAGCTCCATCTGCTCGATTTCTGTCCATGATCTGTGTGGAGAATGAGCATGGTATAACCCAATTGAGTCCCTCTTCTGCTTTGGCTTCGTCTAGTGTCTTGAACGTCAAGTAATTGACGAAGGCGTTGATGAATGTCGATTTTCCCACACCAGTCTCGCCTAAAATCAGAATATTTACATTTTCCGAGTCTCCGAGATTCTTCAGCTGCGATAAAACGTACTGAGACTGGCACTTTTCGTATGTCCCACCATGACTTGGGTGATCACACTTGAAGCTGAAGTTTTCATACAAACTGCGTCCGCAATCGCAGTATATGTACTTATCAGTGAACCCGAACTCAACAGGGGTACGGCACTTAGAACATTTCCATTCACAGATGCGGCTTCGACTGCAACTTTGGCTTGGACAAGGCATAGTAATGAGTCGTCTTTTCAGTGGTCTCTGTATATCCCGGCTATCAAGGGTTTCCGCCGTGTACTGAACAAAGCACTGTTTCGCGAGCCAATTTTGTTCCTCAAGAACATCCTCAGAGACCAAATCTCCTTTCTCGTAATATGAGATATACGCAGAAGGTGAAACACGTCCTACTGCATCATCGTCGGATACGATATAGAGGGTATCGGGGTTTTGATGACCCAATAAATCTTGGAATAGGGCTGTATTGTCATTCCAAGACTTACTATCGTTCAAAGCCGTATCGCTAAGCGAGAATACGTAGGCCTCCTTATTTCCTATGGAATCGATGATTGGGTCTTCAGTGTTGGTGTAGGTCGCACCCATACGAGTAGCTTCAAGTATAAATTTGATCTTGGTGACATGTCGGTCAGTCGTGTTGGCTAGAATAGCGGGTGCTGTTTCATCGCGAGTGTAGGCGGCATGTAGATTCTGGAGAAGAATTTCTTTGTCCTTCCCACTGCGTATACTTACGAGAGCCTCCGCGTACTCTTGCTCGAAGCTCTGCAACGCGCGTTTTAGCTCGGATATCTTCGATTCTACTTCCTTGCGAAGACGTTCGGAACAATACTTCTGATGCTGTGAAATGTATTCATAGTTCTTGTGGAGTTTCTGATAAGACCGAGAAAACTCGTCGAATAGGTGAACTAAGTGATTCTCAGTCTCCAAGCTGATAGGAGTCATGGCTGCACCAAGACTTTCTTCGTATTCCATGATCATTCCGAGAACGCCAATTGGAAATAGAGTATATGTGATCGGTCGACCCCTATTGGAATATTCCTTTTCAATACGTATGGGAATAAGGCTCAGTTCAGAGCGTGCCTTCTCTAAAGTTTCCACCACGACACCACATTCAGCAGCTATGTCGCTGTATGTTGTGATTTCCAGTGGCATATCTGTATCTGCTGGACCATGGAGGGAGCTCTCCGGAGCTATCGGTGCATTGGTTTCAATGGCTGATTTGAAATTGGAAATCTCGGTCTGAAATTGAGCCTCAACTACCGTGTGGGCTGCAGAGCTGCTAACTGCATGTTGTATTGAGACAATGCTTTGGATACCCCATTCGATTCCGACGACAAAATGTGTAGCCTCTAAGTTGATCAAGGCCTCCCAGTCTATAGCTGCTTGATTCCGAGGGTGCATTACATTGAACTTCTCCCGTGCTGAGATAACTTTGTGATGAATAGCGGCATGCAGCATACCATCTCTTTGCTGTGGGACATCGAGATACATGCTAGCTCCTTTCGGCTTTATGAGCTTGGCAAGAATACTCGCACCTAGGTCAGGGTCTATGTTCATGAGATCGAACTTGGCCTGATAGGAATCATCAAAGATAACGTTGACTTCGGGTAATTGACCCGTGGGAACTGCAGATGACGCCTGGAATATTTGGCCATCTCCTCTCAGTAAGGACTGAGAGAGAAATTGGTCGGTTCTGGCATCATAGAGTCTACCAAAAGGTACTTGCTCCCCTAAGGCAGGTCGTGATAGCTGTCCGTTGTTGTTCGTATTTATGATGTACATATTTCTCGTCTTGGCCCTGAGTAGACCATCTAGTTGCGACTAGAATAAAGTAATGATAGATGAGATTGTGAGAGGGATTTCTTGATGTTTTAAATTTAAGGTATCAAGGTAGAATGTGTGACTTTAAATTTACATCTGTGGTTGTTCAACTGGTTGGCGAGGTAAATGCGAAACGGTGTTGTCACTGATCTCGTGCGAAGCCTACCCTAGCTAGAACTTTCTAACAACTAGGTATCATTTCAAATCTCAAATCTGCAGGCTTTCATGACACAGGTAAGTAAGGTAGGTATGTATGTTGGTGCCTACGAAGTTGTTTCCGCACCAACACGATCCACCTTGTGATGGCTATAATACGACAGCAGCCTGACAGTTCACTTACTTAGGTGCCTAGTATAGTTAATACTACCCTTTATTCGTTGGGGGCCAAATACCAATAATACAAGCTACCTCCCATGTAAGTCGAGATCCAAGGTAACATAGTACACGCGCCAAATATAAATTAGTTATTCGCTGTCTTTACCAATTTTCTACCACAGATGGCGCCATAAATGTTGACAATGATAGCGGATTGGAACAGGGGAATTGATATCAGGCTTTCGTAAACGCGGGGAAATTGGAGTTGATGTCCAAGTGGTTCAAGACTTTGCAGTCCACGTCGACAATAATATTACCTATATATTGACAAAATGATTAATCAAATTAGGCTTTGGTGGCAATGCATGACATGCCATTTCACAATATCAATATGACTACTCACTTATGTGCCTCAGTTCGGTTCTTGATCTTATTGAACTATAGAACGGTGCAAGCAATACCTACCTACCTAAAGTAACAGGTAAGCATATTTAACTGTAAGGAAGACGGAAATTAGATTTAAAGGTAGGACGGTGCAAGCTCAACATCGTTCGTCAATACGCTTCTACCAATACAATAATTGCAGTATACTGTAAACAGAGATGACACTTCCGTATCCATACGCTCCATGGTTTTTTAACTTATCTACTTCGGCATATGGAGTTATTGTTCCACCATTTTACTGTCGTTATCTACTTAACGGACCAATGCAATTCGGCATCCGTAAATTCATCGTGCTCCTTCATAAACCTTGCTATTGCTGTAATAGTCAACACTAGAAAACCCGCAAGTTTATATTTAAATTTCATGATAAGTTATACTAGATCTAAACGGGATATTCAACTCGTGGGAGTCGTAATGGCATAAAGTGTAATCAGTCCGTTACTTCATAGCGATATCATCTCCTCCATATCTACGTCACCCCAAGCCGAATAACGCCGTAAAGCCAACCGTTTCTCGTGCAGCATCTAATCAGAAACACATTATCTCCCCACTATTGTCCGTGTAATTCCGTCATCGCTGCGAGGCTTTCGGGTATGGGGGCAGTCTCTAAGATAGTAGGGTCCTCACGAAATTGCGGACTTTGAACGACCCCTTTTATGATAGATAGTACATTCCGTTCGATAACACTCACCGGGCCATCAGGCTTATCAGGAGCAGACATAACTCTGCATAGGTAGTGGAGCGCACTTCGTAACGCACGTCCCTTCTCCTCAGGGGTCGAAGGGCCACTAATATCAACCGCTTGGGTGATAAGTGCCGGTATATACGTGACTTGAACTGCTGGCTGAGATATAGAGCCGTCGATGTTGAGATGCTCTCGCAAAGATTTCCTGACCTGCCCCTCAAGGGACGACCATACTTGGCTGTATAATTCAGCAGTCGCCAGGTCAGCAACACTGCTCATACATAAGAGCCTAGCGAAAGCACGATCATCTTCAACATTGAGATCAAGCAGCCGAAAGCCCTTCTCATGAAGTAAGTTTAGGCGACGCGCTAAAACCATATCGTATCCCGCGCGTAGACTTAAACCACCCTCGATTATACCCATTCCAACGTCGTATACAGTATGGTAAGCATCGAAATTGGATTGGGTTAGTTTCTTTGCGCAAGTCCAATCCAGGTGGCCCGCTGCGCCCGCAATATCGAGCAGCTGCTCCTGAAATCGGAGTCGAAAGCTACGGGCGTGGCCCTTCATCTTCTCAAGACTAATCAGGCAAGCTGGTGCGTTCTCCGCCTGGGCAAGTTGCCCAAAGTTAAATTCTGCACCCAATTCCATGCCGCGGATAATATCAGCCCTGTCTTCTCCAGAAAGACGATCTAAGCAACGCAAGACGCCAGCTTCAACCGCCTTAAGGAGGATCATATCATGATTCATGGAGGCGATATTCTCTCCGGTTTTCTTTTGGTAATCGGAGGCGAGCTGTTCATCCTTTCCTATATCATTCACCACTATGGAAGTAATGAGAGCGTATAACTCATTCGGATTCGCAATTGAATCAGCATAGAAGTTATGTATCCATTCGAACGATTGGCGAGAAAGTTTAAGAGCTTCAGCTTGATTTGCAACAAGGGTATCGTATTCTCCATTGTAAATCCATTTCAAGGTTAACACCCCAACAAGCGTACGATTGACTTCATCATAGTCTTCTCCGTATAAAATCGCAGATGGCGAGTTCGGGAGTAGGTTGACTTCCCTTCTACCGCCGACGGAGTACGCACTCTTCAACCGGCAGAGCTCATCTTCGAATTCATCGCGAATAAGCCTAAGAAGCTTCTCGTCAGGAAGTTTAAAAAGAACAGCTGGCTCTGTCGTGTATTCGCGGAGAGTACGAGGGGGGGACATGGCGATAATCGGTGTATGGAAGGCAAGGGAGATGAGGAGTTTGAAGGTATCCAGAGCCTGATAATATATGTATTGTGCTACACGGATGGGGGCTGTGCAAAATACAGATTAGGTTGTTTGCTCGAGGCCCTCAGATAGTGGCAGGGGGTATGTGTGGCTTAATCGTACTAAGATAATAAGACCAGGGATGCTAGGGGAGGTTTCATGGATGCCGAGAGGAAGATGTAAAATCGGCCTTGTCAACTTCCAATTAAATACACTTTAACCATCGGTGCACTGGCCACCTTGATCCGTCACCGTCATACAAATAGGTGTAAGAAAGTAGTAACTCACGAGTCACGATAGATTGATTTAGCTTATTGATCTGATGTAGGTTCCTTTTGACTAGCAGTGAATCATATTTTGAATTGAAACGTCGGAAGATGATTTTAACAATCAAATTGATTGCATGACAAGGTTCTTTATGACATGTGACATGCGAATTCTGTGCCCCCTTTCGGATAGTCGACCTAGGTAGGCCATAGGCCAAGGCATATTATTACATATCTTCCTGCTTATGAATAGCCAAGTGACTAGGACTCGTGACATAGTTATTACTGCATGGCGAAGCACGTAAGTACCTAATCTATATGGCGTTTATCATCCCATGTTACCAACGATAATATATATTGGGTGGGTAGACAGACGTCCGGGAAGGCAACAGGTTTACCTAGGTACTTAGAAAACCCGCATATTCTGTTTTAAGGAAGTTACTCTAAAGTTTTCATGATAGCCGCTTTGGATGCATACCGGTTTGATATTTGAGTAGACTACTTACTACCTACCTAGGTATTAAGTAGCTTAGATCTGTGAATGTCTCCTTGATTTCTTAATCCCTGGGATCTTGGTATAGATAATAGCTAAAATGAGTATTAGAACATAGGTAGACCATTGATAAAGATTTCCACATACAAAGGCACCTTAGGTATTTAATTAGTACTCCAATATACTGCTACTCACTCATTTAACTTACAATTACTTGGTCGATATCTAATATCACGAATAGCGACATGTTGCAAAAAGATCTCATTTTTCTACTTATAAAATGAAACCTTTCTCTACGATCTCAATATTTTCTTTCTCTAAATCCCACTATCTCAACCATCTTCCTATGTAAACCGGATCATCTTTTGGAAAGTAAGACCACCCCAGTTAACCTTTGGTAAGTGGCATTTAGTGTTCTAAAAACCTTATTGAATATACCATCAAAAATAGCTACACTAGGTACTCGAGTGTCTGGATTTTCCACTCTGCTTCTTTCTACTCCTGATATATCCCATATTTATTCTTGTTACTCTTTAGTATCACATAGCTTACTAATCAAACGTCGAATACAGCAATATCTAGTCAAGAAAGATGGCGTCTCCTGACAATGACCAATCTCTACCACAACAATCACATCACTGGTCGGCTAATTACCATGGCTCCCGAGCTTCAAAGCGAAATTATTCGGAAGAAATTGCCGAAGAGCAAAATTGTTCTGTATGGATAACTTATCTTCCAGCGGGGTGCGATTCCACGATGCTTTGCCACTCTCTTAGAGGCACAGGGAAAATCTACTCGATGTTCATAAACCCTCCGAACGACCAACATCGTACTTCAGCTGCAAAAGTAGTCTTCTGGGACCATCGAGGAGTAGACAAACTGATACAGATGGCCGAGTCGAGGCAGTTCAGAGTAGGCCCTAACCGACCCCGAGTGACACCGCACCGAATAAAAGTTAGCGCACAAGTCCCGTCAAGAAGGTCCCGCGTCATAGAGATCAGTGGACCGATGGAAATTGTGAACCGAGATTTCTTAAGCGCTTTCTTTCTTGAAAGGTTCTGGTTTGATATCGAGAGTGTTCAGACGATAGGGATTTACGGGGGGATATCAACAATGAAGTGGAGCTTCTGCTGCTACCGCTGCCAAAGCCAATCCGCGGTTTGGTGTATATTCGACCAAAAGCATCGTCAAACTCTGACTGATAGCGAGCGGCGTTCTTGGTCTCAGGTTTATGTACGATGGTTGGAGGACCCATGTGCTTAATCTTGACCAGGTCAATCAAGGGTTGAATAAAGCCCTCGAAGGTAAATAGTACTTGAATAAGTTATTCAGCGATGATTTCCGCACGAATTATTACATTATTTCACTGTCAAATCCTAGAGTTACCTATTTCGAGATGATCTTCAATAATTAATGCGAGCTTTAGTTGTTGGTAATATAGTATATGAATGGGCACCAAACTCTTAGCCTTACCCCTTAAAGGTAGGTACCTAATATGACGAGGCGCATGCCATGTGGTACTCCATATACGTTAAGGATAGGGATGATAAAAAGGCATATCTAGCCTGATAAAATATTCTCAGTATACGTCTTAAAGAGCATTAAATATGCATTGCTGCACGATATTATAGATCGTCTCGTTGCTTTCCCATGTTGCGCCACCGGGATTAATACCATAATATGCGGGTTGCGTGTTACTAACCTCGCTATAAATCCATCGCTCAAGGTCAAAAATCTCGGGACGGTCTTGAGGGTTGCTCGCCATACATGCCGCGATAATAAGGCGCATGTCGCGATCAATGTACGGAAGCGGGTCTGGTTCATCATATTCGGGATTGCCGAATATACCAGAGGCCGGCGATAGTACGACAGAAGAATAACCAAGCCTGCTTAAATCAACTTCTATTTCTGCTCCCGTATACTTCCAGTCAGTTTGGAGGGTTAGAACGCCAGCCATCATCTATTTAACCATGAATCAGTAAATGAACTATAAAGAGGTAGTATAAGTTGAAAGTAGCCACCACGTACTATTCCTATATCTTCTATATTCCGTTGCTCTCCAGTTGCAGCTGAAGCAAAGTCACGCGAATGACTTAAAAGAGCGGAATGTAAGTAACATCAACTTAAACTTCGTCCTTACTATATGGGCATAGACTCACATTACTTGGGCAATGCCAAAATCTAAAAGCTTTAGTATAGGTGAAACAGCGTGCTCAAGGCCATCCGCGGGTGGTCCGAACATGAGGTTGCCACCATGTATATCATTACTAGAAATCCAGGTGAGCTTACTAATCGACCATTGGAGTATTGGCAACGAAATGAACCGGTAATTTATTTTGAAGCTGAGACAACAAGACGAACAGAGACTCGAGAAACATATACATACTGTGCCAATCCTGTTGGTTCATCAAGAAATTGCATAGTTTGCTCATCACTATCTGATGAACTTGAAGGCCATGCCATGTCAATACAAGCCCGAATCACTATCAAGTAGATATTAGCTTAATTGCATAGGTACCTAAGGTAGGTAGTTTATCAAGCCAATGTAGCATGGTGTGCAAACTCACTACAGAGAAATATCCGCCAAAGCATACGATTTGGTAGACTTGCAAACCCCGCCCCTTTGGCCCTTTGCATAAAGGAAGTTAGAGTACCATTCTCCATTTCCTCTAGAAAAATCCATGCCCAGCCGAGATATTGAGCAGATGCTAATGGATCATCTGGACTATCTATCGTGCTCACAATATGTTGACAATAACGCAACGCCTACCGATACCGAATAAAGTCAGTATTTTCACTTTTCTAATAATTATCATGTAGTACCTCTAAAATCATTTTCTCTTTTGTCACTCCCTCAACATCTGATCCTCTAAATGGATCCGCCACTTTGACCACCAATCTCCGAGATAGAGAATTGTTTTTATTTAGTTCCACATATTGGATTTTGTAAATGGATCCTTGGCCTCCATTTCCAAGCAGCCCTCTGAAGTGAAACTTATTACTCGAGTCGAAAAAGGCCTTTAATGGAGCTAATCGATCTGTGGGCACCCTCCGTGCCCGCCGACGACGGCGACGTTGGGAAAGGTTCATGCTACCGAGTGAAAATTAAGTTAGGCTTAATGGCCAAAAGAGATATTATATAGGTAAATATTATTAAGGAATAGTGTTTAACAATAACCTTATGTCTTTGTTCTTACTTTATCGGTTTGTTGACATATCTTCCGGTTCCGGTTATTACATCTTTAACCAAGTGTTCAGTTTCCCAGTCTTTAAGGTGAAAAGGCTGCACACTATCTCCAAGTTATTGTTTTAATACTCAGTTCGAAACAGTGGACAAAATACATCATTTGTGGGGGGTTAAACATGTATAGTCTTTACAGGACATGATATATCCAAAGTTTTGATTGACTTGAAGTTTACTAAATTGTGTTATCATTCCCAGGTGCAAACTTTTCCTGTTACAAGTTTCATATTCCTAAAGAGGGGAAATACCTATGATGTTTTATTACTTATATTATTAAAGAACAGATGAAATAAAATATATCACGGTGCAAGCAACGTTGGTACACAAATCTTACTTAGTAATCAACTGCGCGTATATATGAGCGATCAGCTCTAGAAGGAATCGACGGATCCTTTATTTTAAGCGACCTTGTTACAGTCACATGATGTAAGAAACAATAGAGAAACATACCTCCAAGCCATTATAATCAATAATTCACCCAGAGCTTGAAATATAACCGGTAGCTATCTCCGAGGAAGTCTCTTACAGAAAGTATATGGTACTTTTTGCTATAGACGTATTTTATATCTTATAAAAAGAATTATTGTCTTTAGTTTTAAAGGTTTTCAGCTGAGAGACATGTACCGGTAGATACCTACCTACCTACCTAAATAAAAAAAAGGTTACTAGTTACATTATCGTACGCAACAAACATCGTAATATAAGAGATAGATTTCGCCATATCTACCGTGAAGTAACTAAAATCAAAAAGATCCTTCGGTTAACTAGCGTTGCTACTTATTTAACCTGGACGTATTAACGAATCATATTTGAAAGTACCCGAAAAACTAAAGTTCAACTCAACTAGCAAATAAGAGCGCAAATGTCCAACCTTGAAAGAGTTTAAATCGTTACAGATATTACTTTCAACACGTTCTCAAACATATTGCCGCTTTTATGACAGCACTTATTACCTTTCGGCTAGGTTAATCATACCAAATCACGTGGTAGAGAATTTGTGTTAGTGATAAAGCTGCAAAATGTGTCAAGTTCGCACTTCGTCAGATTCGTCAGATGACTTTAAGATATTCTTATTTTACAAACCACTTACATGTTTTATCAAGTCCATCAAGTCTTTGACATTAAACATCTTTCACACAGTCTCCATATTTACGATCGAGACTACTGTCGCAAACGCATGATAAATACCGTGTATATGTACGACATGGACTATTGAAAGCCTGTGGGTTCAATATGCACTATTCGTGGGTCGAGATGTAGCTCAGACTCTCAAGTGTCATTGCTGTGGGTCTCCAATCGGCCATATTTCTTTTGCCACTAGTATCTACTATGTTAAGGACGGGCATTTCTTCTATGGTACCTAGATATATCAATATATTCGTTACAATTAATACCAAGGCCATCTATGTTAACCTGACATAATGTTACATTAATAATATTCAATAGTGGATCTTTTACCTCTTCAATATAATCAATAGGGGAGAGTATACCTAGGTATCAATCGCGAACAGTAAAGAATAGGAGAATTTGTACCTGCATCGAGGTATCCGCTTAACTATCTTAGTGGGCGCCGAATTCGCGCCGAGCCGGGTTAGCGGAAGCAAGGAGTTTCCGGAGCGAGACGCTTGGGCACATAGGTCCACACACTTATGTCGTCTCTATATAAATATCGGGCAGCGTTTTGAAAGCTTAACGTGGATCTTATACGGAGTGTTTGTCTCGAATCGAGACTCTCGAATCGTCTTTAGAAACTCATCTTGATACTTACCAGTAAGAAGTTACGCGGTCAGCTGGGTTCCGTTGTGTTAAGTTTCGAAATATTGATATATTCAAACAAAGACTTGCGCGCTACTTTACTAATTCCGGCCATATATCATCATGGCCAAGTAATAAGGCCAAGTAATAAAAAGGCATATCAAATAATGGGTAATGTACAGCTTTAATACACTAGTTACACATAATTGTCATGGTTTTTCTCTTTTTTGATCCTCGAAAATATTTGTGTGGTCCGATTTTGATTACTACCTATGCATACCGATCATCTGGGATCCTTGCACCGAAGAATCCACTTTCATCACTCGCATGAACCATGAACTAGAGGTCCCATCACTGATGGGCCATCAGTTTCGAAACTACAGTATGTACGCGGCTTAAGTGTCTGCACAAGCCTATAATTTGCCGCTTACGAAAGCCGACCGCTAGTCTCTTATAGCGTTAGCTATGACATTAGTTACGATCTGAGATTCCGGCGTCCAACTAGATTAAGCTAACAGCTTTCGCATTTTCACCTTGAAACAGGGTAATGGAAATAAGGGGTTCCTTGCAGTCTACAGTACTATGTACCTACGATTCTACCTAGCTATCTAAGTCTCGTCTAGTTGTGTATTTTAATCGTACCACATTTTGACAGGCTGCACTAAGTGTAAACCATTAATAAATAAAGGTCTCGATCAGCAACTAAACTCCTCGGGATACAATAGTCTCTCGAACAGGTCAGGTCTAAACGGAATCCGCCACATAAAAGTAATGTCCGGCATCATTCCGCTACCTAAACTCAAGTGTCAAGCGAGCCACTAACCCAAGGTGGCGGAACGTTCTAAGCATTGGCCGGCCCATTGCCCCGGGACTTATGAGGTTCAGCCCGCCCGTCAAGTTACATTAAATATTTTGGTAAACATGATATTTCCCCTAGTTCCCTCCGTGAATACTGATTAAAATTGTAGCACTACCCCCGCCGGCCACCTTCGTTGACGTGTTCGTGCGTCGACTTGCAGAGTCCAAAGACCTGCGCCACCACCACTGCCGAGAAAAGATAATTCTGTGGACGTGAGAATCATGACGAGCAAATCTGATATTCAAGTTTCCTCCTTGGCCGCCGGCTTCTCGATAGGCTTTGGTATATTGACAGTTTGGGAGGCCATAAAACAAACGCGTCGAAATCGAAATCCCCTCCGCAGCACATATGTGAGTAACTGCTTCACGATTTGCGAACTATTGCGGCAGATCCACTCTGGACAATGCCACTCTAGAGGCGCACACATCCAACACCTCTGTTCTCCCGATATTCTAACATAATATACTTATAGATTTACATGCTTTGGGGAGAGATCGTAGCAAATTTAGCTATTCTTATTGTTGGTTACCTTTGGATCGATGGACATTTCGGAGACAGCCCGACGTAAGTACCTCCTAACGATTCCCCGAACATGCACTGTTGCAACTTAGCTAAATCGCTATCATCACAGTATACCACTTCTATTTTTTATATTGTTGTTCTGGGTGTTCGAAATCCAGTTACTGATGCAAATCATCATAAATCGAATTGCGGTTATTGCAGAGCGTCAAGACACTATATGGAAGCTCAAATACGGGACTGCCGTCGTTATCACAGCAATCAACATCGCAGTTTTCTGCATTTTTATTCCAGCTCACCTGGTCCCTCCCGTAAGCCAGTTGTGAGTACATTGTAATCTCCTGTTATGAGAAAATTACTAACATGATACTTAAAGATACGTTGATATTAACAAGTACTGGGATAGAATTTCCAAGTGTCTTATCCTTCTTGTTGACGCTGCCCTCAATTATTATTTCTCACGATCAGTTAAAAAGCGGCTTGTTGAGCAGCATGGGTTAGTCAAGTACGCTCCTCTGGCTAAATTTAACGATAAGCTTATGGTTATCTCAATTCTTATGGATGTAAGTGGCAACTGAAAAATGTTCTTCAAAGCCGTACCAAGCTAACTTGTATTTCAATCAAGGTCATGCTCATTTGTTTAATGTCCCACCCGAACCCAATCGTCTTCGTTCAATTCCACCCCGTCGCGTATATGGTGAAACTCAACATCGAAATGTCTATGGCTACCTTAATTACTAAACTCGCTCGAGAGGCCGGACTAGGAGACGAGGAGACAAATGATCACGACGTCTCTCTTTCATACGCAAAGAATCGAAGCCAAGTTGGACGATCCGGCATCCACCATAGTCATAATGATGCCGTGCTGATGAACACATATCACACAACAACCGTAGAAGGCCGAGGATCAGAAGAGGACTTCGAAGGTATGAAGGATATAAACGGAATCCACAGAAGAGTCGATGTTCGGATAGAGAGCACATCGAACTCAGATACTGCGTCCAACCACGACAGAGTTGAGGATGAGATGTCATTAACCAATCATCCCGGACACCCGAGAGGTACCTAATAAGTCGATGGCTCGTCGGATCCTCTTTATGTTGAGCGGCTTACCTCACGCATTTCTTTCTGGCTTACTTACTCCGGATCCTCGTAATACAAGGAAAAACGACGGGAATATGATACATGCTAATTTGCTAATGATAGGTGTAGCAAAGGACATGATGTAAAACGGACAGCGTCCGGCTTTTTCTTTTTTGTTTCATTTCTTAGTATATGTTTCGATATCAAATAGTGTAGAAAACCGATGTTTCGCTCACTATACACATGTTAACAAGTTTAATTACAATGATGATACCCCTAGGCTAAGAATAATGATTAAACAGAGATGTGTGCCGAAATATCCGAATAGTTGACTTGAGTGTTGATAATGAGATAGCTTTCACGAAGAATAACACTATTCTTAAGACTTGGAAATCCATATATCAAATCGATGTCGATACCCTAGATAGGAGAATTGGTTGGGATGAACGAAAGTTAAATGCCACCATCATCTTCCAACTCCTCTACTTCCATGTCGAAGAATAGGGGGAAAGGTTCCATCCTTAAGGCACTTAGACGAAGGTGGTTCGTGCATATGCGCAACTTACACCTGTAAGCAATTCAACAGCTGTGTACAGGTGTTTAGAAAATACCTAAGATGTACTCTGTGATGTACATAAGCGACAACAATGGGTATACCCTGGCGTTGAAATAAACATTAAATATATTGGTGATCACTGATGACAAATAAAGAATATATATAGTCGTGTATTATTAATTAACCTTGATTAGGATATAGTTACTGATGTTTAATTCACAATATGGTCGCACTCTGTCGTCATGCCGTTGATTTCTCATCACCCCTCACTAATACCTTGGGTACATCACGTTGACCTACATATATCTACCTCTCAAGATACCTGTCTGTATTCTCTCCTCTCAGGAATACACCCTTTAAAAAAATCATATACTACCTGTCAACATCAGTGATATATATATATATCAATTTAATAATTCTATTATTTTGACCATGGCCGACAAGCTTTATATCTCCGAAACCCCTGAAGATGTTAAAAATGCCAAGGGCCTCCACCTGATCACGCAGAATACCCCAAACGGGCAAGCCGTACAAATCCTCCTAGAGGAACTTGCCGAGACATATGGCACATCATGGACGACTACACTGATTGATATCTCGACCAATGAGCAGAAGAAAGAATGGTTCCTACGATTGAACCCCAACGGTCGCATTCCGGTGTTGGTTGACAACAATCAGAGCCCCCCTTTCACTGTTCATGAGACGTCAGCTGAATTGTGGTATTTATTGCAATCCTCAGACAAGGACAATAAGTTCGGCTTCGCAGATGGCCTTGAGAGCAATGAAGCGCTGCAGTGGACTTTCTTCTGGCACGGATCCGGAGCCCCTTATCAAGGCCAGGTCAACCACTTCACACGGGTTGCTCCTGAGAAAATTGAATGTAAGTTTTCAAATTAGTATGAAAGCATCAGCAGAGAACTAACACGGCGAAGATGCCATCAACCGCTTCAGGAACGAGACACTGAGAGTTTATGAGGTGCTTGAGATCAGACTCTCCGGAAAGTACACCGGTGAGCCGAGGGAATACCTGGCCGGCAAAGGGAAAGGGAAATATTCCGTGGCAGACATTAAGACCTGGCCTTGGGTTAAAGGGTGGGAAAGGACCGGTTTCACCAAGCAGGAGATTGAGAAATTCCCGCATCTATTACAGTGGATTGACCGCATTGCCCAGCGCTCTGCCGTCCAGAAGGGAATTGGAGCCAAGTACATCAAGTCTTAAGTTATATCGGAACTTACTTCAAGTTGAACAGTAACTACATTATCATCCATTTTCCAAAATCTTAGACATAGTCTCAGATCATCTTCTCTAGTGCCTATGTCTCGGAACCGTGCTGATGATTAGCGCTATTTATGAACACATTTCAGGTGGCTGTCGCATTTAGCGGGGAAGTTCCTTCATAACTCCCTAAAGTACATTCAGGAGGGGAGGGGCAAAACTACCACTTTTTCTAAGGGTAAAGAGTAACTACCTGTTCAAGAAGCCTGGACCATTCATAGTACTTGAACTACGCCTAGACCCTTCTGTGACTGTATATTCTGTGGTAACCATGATCTGATGGCTTTCATCCGTCGCCGTCGCCGATCCCCCAGGTGTTCCACTTTCATCAAATGTAATCCCAATCGTTTGATGTTTCGGAAGATTTAAAGAACCTTCCTCGCGACTTATAGAGCCCCCTTGGCCTCTATCAACGATGATGTGCTCTTCAGAGTCCCATGCTGTGTCGTTCGGCTCAGAAAAGGAGAGATTCTGCCTTTGTCCTGTGGATGCGGCGCGACCTGGCATACTACTGAGCTTGTAACCCCTGGTGTCTCCTTGACTTGTGGCTCTTGATCTACTCGCACTAAGACCTTTTTCGATAAACCTTCTAAATATCGGGTACACCATGGGCATGTTCGTTAAGACGACCGAAACGAAAGATTCACGGACAGACCAGTAGCCTGACTGAGCAGGATCAATATCGCCGAGCTATTTAATCGAGATTTTCAGCGGCTAGCTTCAGCTTATCTAACACTAGTAGGATGAAGGCTTACTGTCAAGATAGAAACACATCTCAGAATACCAAATGCCATTTCAAGAAAACCACCGCTGAACATGATTAGAAGTATAAGCTTCTTTCTCCAGGGAAGATGTGACTTCCACACTACCTAATTAGTGAATTATGTTAGTTCGATTACAATATTAACTATAAGTTGATAGACATACAGGTAATGGTATAGCCATCAGATAGAAATCAGTGAGTGTATTCATAATCATGACAAATATAGTTTGGACAGTTGAAATTGCAGGCATGCAGTTATCTAATGACTTCTTGTTAACATTCTTCAATAGAAACTGTGTACAGGCCGCCCCTGATACTCACTTCCTGGAGAAGGATTGATTTGCCATTGATGGTGGAAAGGAATGCATTTTAAAAAGGCAACGAGTAGGCAAGAGGTATAAGTTACACCAATGATGATGATGCCAGAGCGTATCAGCCGGTGCATGTTGTTAACTCCCTCTCTATTAAGATAGTTAGTATCGGATTATTTCTAGAGTTATCTTCGTTGGCGTACGTTAGACGCGCGTAATATACCAACCAACATGCCTTTAATAGCCAGAGGAGCGTCGTATAGAGTATAAGACCAGCAACATGAGTCTTTGAACCATTCACTCGTAGATACCACTCATTTGACTGCGGGTCAAGGGCTGCACGCTGCTCGTCAGTCATCGCATTATTGGCAAGGCCTTTCCAGCGAGCCACAACAAGATATGCCATGAGCGATTCTGCTGTATGGGCTACCTAAGAACGACATGTCAGTGATGGAACTTGATTAACCCTAATTGCGACTATGAGTAAGGTAACTTACAATAGCCAGAAACATGATGGCATCATCCCAGGCTAGACTACGCCATCCTAAGATCGAAAATCTGCTGTAGTAGCGAAGGATGACAACAAGGTAGGCGGTTCCTTGTAATCCCCAAACCTCTCGGATGAAAGCTTGTTCAGTCTCGCTCGGCATGATAATTTTTCTATAAAACTAGAGTCTCAATGACATCTTGAGGTAGAGTAATCGTTAGTTCGAGAATAACTGATCAAATTTCCTGGGGATGCCGCTCACTTAACTATAGCAACTTATTGCTTAGGGGTTGTTTCCAAGGACACTATGTACTGCATTGCAAGGAAGTGAATGTTTTCTCATAGCTCAAAAGAAATCTAGAACAGGCAGCAGAGATGTCAATTTCAACGGCAAGCTTCATCAGCTGGAAAGTAAAGCTGTTTGATGATCTCGATTTCGGCCGCTGATACTTGTTTGGTGGTCACTTTTCCCCTGCTAGCGGTTGCGATCAATCATAAAGTTTCCCCATGTCAATATCGTGAAACAGCCACTGCAGAAATATGACAAGGAAAGGAAAAGGAGAAATAGCAAAACTAAACGGTATATATTTTCTTCATGGAAATCTGTAGTATTTCCTCTGTTAGAAAGTTCATATATGTATGTCTTATTAATATAAGAGATATAATTCCATTGGACCCAGCTGCGGGGTATTGGCATAAATTCACCGCGTTTCTGGTGTAGGACGAGCATAATAGGAATCTAATGTAATTTTTATAAGGTTAAGGTTACGATCATCTTTCTTTGCAGAATCCATCTCATGGTGGCGTCGCCATGGCTAGGTACCTACTACATTTTCTTCGCAAAGATTCTGTGGCTTGTAAAGTGACACCGTATAAGGGGGGCGAGGATAAACTGGCGCCTTCAAAACGACCCTTGAGGACTAGCTAGGGTATGAGGCTGTCCTACCAATCCGGTGAACATTTGAATAAAGTACTTAAACTTGGATGTAATATCATGCCAAATACCATATTTTCGACGATCCCTAAGATAGGTCAGAATATGTTTATAGCCCCGGTAAAATTACCGCGCTCTCAAAACCTAGACAATGACGCGCTACCTAGAGGTGCAAGTCTGACTTTTGTTTTATCTTCACTAAATCAATTCTTTATTTTAACCTTTTTCTTTGTACTGAACTTGTATAACCTTTTTTGTATTTTTTATCTGTCATTAATGGTATATATTTGTCAACTTTCCCTAATCAAATCCACTTAACACTAAACCTACCGGCCGTCTTGACATCATTTTACGAGTCACCTTCTTACAGTATACAATACCAAGTTGTTAGAAAGCTAGTTTCTTTACGAGCAGTCATATTCATCCCTAAAATCTGTGATATATTTATTCTATCCCCTGTTTATCTTTCGACTTGAGCGCCATGGGCCCCCAAACCGTACGACAAGAGCAACTGCCGCTTAGCAATTCTCCCCCATCCAATTCAGAGCCAGGGGAAATACTTCCCTGTAAACATGATGATACGCGGTTTCCCCGTCTCAAGCGCCCATTGTATAATAACTGCACACAGCATAAAGGCCACTTCCAATCTAAAAAGCGGTCACGTAGCAATTCACCTGATGCCAGTTTACTTCGTATGAAAAACTACAAATCACATTCCGCGCCAAAGTCCCCCCCTATAGGGGTTGTCAGGAGAAGGTCGGGAGAACCGTCCCAAATAATTCCTAGCACGTCTTCACTACAAGTATCCCCGGTCGAGAATATCGACACTCGACCACCTACTGTCGAGGAATTCATTTCCCGAAGAAATCCCAAGATAGCCGCCTGGCTTGATATTGACGATCCGAGACCACCAACTCTAGTAAAATCTTATCCGACATACGCGACCTCAGACTCCATCACAATGGACGGTACTCAGACTACATCCGTTAAACGCAAGGGATATGATTTAATGAATGAAAGATTTCGGTCCCATACTCTCGGTCTTAATTCGATCGAGATACAAGAAAACTACACTAAGGTTCCAGAGTGGGTTCAGAGGCAGCTGAACGAGATACATGCTTGCCCAATAGATGATATTCCCAGCAATATACACGGGATACATAGAAGATATTCGAATGTTGCCATGGAAGGAACATACGAGGCTGAGTATGTCGAGGAACTTATTAAGGCTTTCGACCTCATGCGTGAAAACTGGATTGAGGTTAGAAAGACGAAAGCTTCGCGGGATCACAATAACCCCCCGGGCCTTACGGCTTCTAATGATGGCAAAGAAATTCGAGAACGTAAAGAACTTGAACAATTCGGGACATTGGAACATGCCGTTTCCGCAGATATAGAAGATCTCGAGGCCTCTCTACCCACGAGTCTGCTTAAGTATAACATTAGGGTTCCATTTCTTTCCGAAAATTGCTCCTTACAGAAATGGAGAAGGCCATTGATGATCCCGGTGCCCGATATACTTTTCGGGTATAAATCTTCACGCATACCTGAGATGTCTGATCTGGACGAAAGAGCATCGGATGTATATTCTTGCCAATGTTTCTGGCCTAATAATACTAACCTTTGTTTTCCATACATGGTCCTAGAAATAAAAGGCCACAGGGACTCCATAATCGAAGCCGAGAACCAAGCGATTATTAGTGGCCGGATATCCTTAGATACTACTTGGCCAATACTCGGAAACCAAGATATGGTTTTTCTTATTAGCACAACTCCATACCTTGCTCACATTTCCGTCATGTGGAGAGATATAAGCCAGGCTACGCAACAGCCATATTATAAAGTCAAGTTCCTCACCGGTTTTGCTTTAATGAAACTCGAAGAATTTAAAGGGTTTCGAACATTATTATATCGTATACAATATTGGGCGGAAACGAATAAGCTACAGCAAATTCAACAAGGATTGCGAAAATGGAAAGATGAGCGGCAGAAACTAACACAACGTACATAATCGAAACTAGGTTAATACCTACCTTATGTATTAACTTTGTTTTTATTTTCAAGATATAATTGTCAGGTACCTAGGTACCTAAGGTTAATGGTTTACGAAATAATTGTCAGATTAGTCAGCCATGTCAGGTGACCTGAGCCCCTCTGTTTTCTCGTAATTAGTAATAATTAGTAATTATTCCGTAGTGCATCGCTGGTTCTCACCATCTCACCATCTCACCATCTCAACTCAATCAATCAGATCGTCAGCAATTTTCATTAATATTGCCGCCTTCAACATCCCAATAAGTACCTAACGTATCGGCTGTGTGACAAATATATCTTGCGTGGCGCAAGCGGGCGCAGTCCGCTTTCAAGAATTGGTCTGAGGTTACCTGAGATAATGTCTTTTATGGCATTAGTGACTACCAATGATACCTCTCTAATGCTTGGGTTACATTAAACATTGGGGGGTGCTGTATTACATATGTATTACATACCTAACCTACCTAGGTAGGTAGACCGATCGCCTTCCATTGCCGTGTCGTGTGCCCGCGCCCGCATCCGGGTTAAGATCACGTAGCGTGAGGAGCAGCTACGTATGTTCAGCTCTGAGCGACACGTCGTAAATCGACGCTATGAGAATACATGTCTACTCTCAGTTTTCAGATCAATATTCTGTGAATCATGGCTGAAGATTGCCACTCGGTGAGATTGACATGAGTAGGTACCTACCTAACACAGTGGATTCTGTCGTGTCGGGAATCCTTTACCGCAACCCCATTTCCTTCTTAAAGCCCGCGCGGCATATGTTGCGCTCTAATTTTCCCAATTATCGCAGTTCGCAGTTTCTTGCCGCCCTCCTAGAAACATCATAATCCGAAGTGTTAACACAAACTACTTGGTAAAGATGGCTGATAGTGGACATATGCCCGAGTCGAATGTCGATGTGTACGCCAATATATATATCTACTTTTAGAGTGCCTATATTAACTTGCTTGCTAGGCTTATTATCGGCGCCGGACCAGCAGGGTGAGTTACGCGAAACTTCAATCGAGTAATTCTTTTTCATCTTAGACTTACAGTCGTGGTAACTTAGGTTGATGGCCGCTTGCTGGATGGCACACTGCGGCGTGTCAACTCGTATCATTGATAAAAGGGGCACCAAGATCTTCTGCGGACAAGCAGATGGGCTTCAATGTCGTAGTCTTGAGATATTCGACAGTCTCGGCTTCGCAGATAGGGCATGGAAAGAAGCGAACCATATGATTGAGGTAATATTCCTAGCGTAGTGGATGGATTCTCTGCTAACTTTACGTGGGATAGATATGTATGTGGGTAAGTGTTATCAGCTCTCCCCAAGGGTGCGCGGTGATGTCTAATACTATGCCTAGAATCCTGGGCCCGAAGGCGTGATACGCCGTTCCGATCGTATTCCAGATACAATTGTGGGACTTTCTAGATTCCAGCAGATTACCTTACATCAGGGACGCATTGAACGCTTTTTCCTAGACAATATTAAGAAGTACTCCAAGGACACGATCAGAGTAGAGCGTGGGGTTGTTCCCGAGTCTCTGGAGATCGATGAGCTGAAAGTCAAGGACCAGTCTTCCTACCCAGTTACTGTAAAATTGCGCCACCTCACCGACGAAGAGGCCACGCCTGAACAGCAGATCAGCGGAAGCAAGATCTCAGACGGTCTCTTCCGGAGTAATCTAATGCACGAGGACGATGAGGACGATTTAATTCGGAAGAGCAAGTCACGAGCGGGAACAGGCGAAGTAGTCCATGCGAAGTACGTCATCGGATGTGACGGTGCACGCAGCTGGACTCGCCGTACCTTGGGGTTTGAGTTACAGGGCGAGGCAACGGATTTTATCTGGGGTGTCCTCGACATTATACCCATTACTGATTTTCGTAAGTGCTCAACACAAATTCTACCCCCTACTAGACCTAAGCTACGCGCCTTAACACACTTCTTAACACACTTGACTTAGCTGATATCCGAATGCGATGTGCTATTCATTCGGCTGAGAATGGTAGCTTGATGGTAATCCCTCGCGAAAATAAATTCGTCCGACTTTATATCCAGTTGAAGGAGGTTACTCCGGACGCTTCCGGCCGCGCAGACAGGTCCAAGATCACTCCCGATTCCATTTTGAATGCCGCCAGAAAGATTCTTAGCCCCTATAAAATCGACTATGAATACTGCGACTGGTGGACTGCGTATCAGGTACGGCTAACACCCTCCTACGTACAACTTAATATCGCGCCGGATACACGTATTAATGCTCTGTAGATCGGACAAAGAGTTGGCACACAATTTGACGCTCATGAGCGCGTCTTTCTTGCCGGAGATGCCGTGCACACGCATTCCCCAAAAGCCGGCCAGGGTATGAATGTTTCTATGCACGACACTTACAATCTTGGCTGGAAAGTAGCCCTTGTCGCTAAAGGTATCGCAAAGCCGAGCATTTTAAGCACCTACCAAACTGAGCGGCGCGCCATAGCTCGTGACCTCATTGACTTTGATCATCGCTTTAGCAGGCTATTCTCCGGGAGACCAGCTAAGGATGTCATGGATGCCGAAGGTGTTAGTATGGATGAGTTCAAAGATACCTTTCTGAAAGGTAACCTATTCGCATCCGGCCTGATTGTCAATTATGGGCCTAGTAACCTTGTCATGAAGGCCGTGGATGAGCCAGAAAAGGGTGAGCTAAGCGGTTCGACCCCCACAAGCATCTCGGCCGATACCTTCGCGAAGAAGCAGGCTCTGGCTACCGGCCTCCCTGTTGGGATGCGCTTCAATAGCTTCAAGGTAGTTAACCAGTCCGATGCCCGACCTTGGCACTTTCAGGAGAAGCTCAAGTCAGATGGTCGATTCCGCGTGGTCCTTTTTGCAGGAAATATTTTGAATCCCCTACAGAAGAACCGCGTGGAACAGTTCTGCGAGGCTCTCGGTGCGCCAAATAGCTTTTTCCGTACTTTCAACCCTACCAGCCCACCACTGGACATGGTAATCGAAGTGTTGACAATCCACTCTGCTAAGAGAACTGAAACAGACTTGATAAGAGATTTCCCCGAGATTCTTCATCCTTTCAATCCGCATACCGGGTGGGATTATGATAAAGTGTTTGTGGACGACGCAAGCTACCATGAGGGCGTTGGGGACGCTTATATGAAGTACGGAGTCGACAAGGAGCGAGGATGCGTTGTGGTGGCGAGGCCCGACCAGTACGTCGGCTGGGTCGGTGATCTTGAGGACTTCGATGACCTGCAGAGATATTTTGAGGGATGTCTCGTACTTAGTGCTCATGCATGATTGTTGAGATCTTTACATATTGATATATCGCATATCGTAGACACGGATTGGCCTAAACATCTATGAATATGGGTGCGTGGGGAAACAAGCGTTCATTACTTAGGTACATATATCGTAACTTACCTTGCTAAATTACTCTGATATTAGTTACTTAGATCAATTTTACCTAGCTCGGTAGCTAATCAATTTCCTTGATATGTATTCAATACACAAAGTTGAAATGTAGCTCGTCGTAGTTCTGGCGCTGGTCGTCCGTCATCTGTTCTCGAGTTTCATCCCGCCTCCTATTGCTATGTATCAACAGTGCAAACGCGGCACATGTTAGCACGAAACCTAATACCGTGAAGGCGAGCCCTGTGGAAAAACCGGTGGGATACCGCGGGCTCTCAGTAGTGATAAAGACATTTGAGCTGATGAAATTGGCACAGTTGCCAAACCCGGACATCCAGGCCATACCGACGGCAAGATACTTGCGGCCGCGCAAGTTGGCACTCAGCCATCCCATTAAGATAGACATCTGCGGGAAAGTTCCCGCCGCCATGAAGAAAAGCGCGAGATATCGCACCCCGGCTTCTGGAACATAAGCTACCATGATACTCCATCCGATAGCCTGTGAGCAAATACAAATAAGAAGGAAAGGCACACGTATATCAAGACGCGAGGTAAGCCAGGTAATAACAAAAGTAGAGACGATACCAGTTGCCCATACAGGCATCGTCATAAGTTGTGCGGTAGTTGCCATCCAGCCGAACTCGGTGAGAATTGTCGGCGAGAAAGAAGCTATCGAGGATGCCGTTACGTCGGTGCAGAAAAAACATAGTGTTAGAATATGGATTCTCCAATCAACAAGGACCTTCCAGATAGGAACACTGTCCACAGCTGAGCCCTTAGCTTCAGCGCCGCGAGATTCCTTGAGAAGATATACGAGATGATCGCGCTCCTGAGTTGATAAAAACCAAGATTGCGCATCCTGAGGGAAATTGGGACATAGCCAGACAACGATAACGGAGATGAAGCATGTCATTAGCCCTTCGACGATAAATATCCACCGCCAGCCCTCATAACCTCCGACGCCGTCGAGATTCCGAAGGGCGTAAGCCAGGAGTCCCGAGAAGAACGGCCCAGCGAGAGCGAAATTGAAAAACCAGGCAAAGCGCACAGCTGCCTCGCGTCTTGTGTAGTACATCGATATCATAAGTGTCGCACCGGCCGGAAGAGCGGACTCGAAGACACCTAGCAGAAAACGGACTGTGAGCAGCCCACCATAGCTTCTGGCTAGACCCTGACACACGCCGAGGACGCCTACATGTCTGTTAACATCAAGGGTAACGAGAAGCCGAACCTAAGCATAAAGCGAGTGGTAGCTGACCTAAGAGGAACACCTGTCCACCAAGGAAGATACCAGGGCGTATCTTGTTCAGATTTAGAATCAAGTTCGCTGGGACCTCGGCCAGTACGAAAGGAATATAGAAGATCCACAGTGCTGTATTGTATCCATCGGATGGCATATTCAGGGCCATTTCCAACCCGTTCGGCTGTCCTATACCCAGACTTCGCGCATTTGCGATATTCGTCCGATCCAAGAACATCAGCATATATAGGATTCCCATAATTGGTATGATTAATACATCCCGCTTCCACCGAACCGCACGGTCCAGTTTGCGTACTTCTTCCGTGGTGAGGATACCGGCCTCCCTGTCTGTCGAACTGTCTCTCTTTTCCTCTAGCTTCTGGTCCTTCCGCGGGACAGACGCGAAAGTTGCGGCCATCATCGTGATCTAATGATGGGGCCACGATCCGAAGGATGAAGCCGAGTAGAACCACGGCCTAGTAGCCTTATAATTTTGATAGAGATTAAGGTATTGGAATGAGGCATGAACAGAGAAGAATAGAGGTGGGTAAAATTGCCATATTTCTATTATGTGTATAAGTAAAGACGGATACCAGCCTCGATGCGAAATGTAACCATCCGCGCGACACATATATTAATTAAGTACGTGTAACTTACGTGCAGGACGACTCGTCCGAGCGTGCTCGGCATTTAATATATGCCTAATACAGCACTTCTACCCGACGAGGTTATACGGTAAGTATTGATTAATCACTGATCGACCTTGTAAATGCTTCAAGCTATTCCTTCATCTCTTACGCGTTCAGATCTGATAGAAATGTTTCAATTGGTTATCTTTGGCTGTTCGAATGAAGTTATTTCGTAGGACCTACCTAGAGGATCATACATAGGGCGCGGCATCCCAGCAGTCATCAATGACATCCCGGTACTGTGCTGCGGCCCTGGTTATTACTGAGTTCCTTTTTGAAAAAGCCAAGGTTCTAGATCAGTTCGACAATAGAAAGTCCATACATTCTCCGGTATCTCCGGCCGAGAATTGATACACTGCGCATCCTGGGAAGCAGGCTTTAGCTCATCTAGTTAGTCAGGAACCATACATGAATGACAATAGTCTGAAGCTTTCACATAAGAACCATAAGAACCATAATGAGTTGATGGATATCATACCCAATATAAAGATTAGAAATATCTCGCGCTTATAAACTTGGAAGAGTTTATAAACAAACCGAGCCGCATTTCCTATAGATAGTATACTTATAACCTCTTACAATTACCATCCGTTGTTGCTATGTATTTTCTTGCTCGGTGAGCAGCAAGTCAACAGTCAGTGGGCAGCGCGTCTTGGTGTAATCAACGATCTCCCTACGCTCGGCTTATACTTACCATTCCCAGATAATACTAAAATTACAGGATACCTAGCTTAGTCAAAGACGTGAAGTTACTTGAGCGATCCGTGCCGCGCTTTTGCATCCGAGCCAGCTATCGAAACCAATGGGTCGGGGATCGACTATGTAGATGGCACTTTATCGGCCGGTAGGGGCCGAGTGTTCAATATCTACCTGCACTGAGTTCGTCAAAGTCATCATAATGTAAGAGTACTACACTATGCACATTATTTGAGCAGATCATATCTTTCTCTACAGTTATAATATAACTTACTTCGTAGGTAACTATCTTAAAACAGGTGGACGCCCGCATCCCCCGAATTAAGAATATGGTGGTTTGTTGCTGGGTTAGGTACCTATAAATCTAACGTGCCACTTGCTCACTGTGCCGCTACGCACACGCGGGCATACATAGATGCGGCACAGCATGATCTGTAAGGTAGTTTGATATCTGATAGATCCATACCTAAGACAATAGCTGCGTACACTGAATGGTGTTGGAGGCGCCTAAACCCGCACGCCTCATAATAGACACGCTCTTAGCTGGGTCACCATTCTGTAATATGCCTGGTCGTCCCCGTACTAACCTGTGGAAGTCATATTCGGCCTTTTTGATATCTGCTTCAAGATCATGCTGCCAAATCCAATGCAACCTCTGGTTCGCATTTTCAACAATCTTATGCATATCATCTTCGATCGTTGGAGCCTGCCATGTGTAAATCTGTCCGGCTTCGGCACTCGTTTGGACGACTTTCTGCGCCCTTGGCCGTCTAATCGCGTCATATATCTGAAACGCGGCCTCAATCTCATCGGAAGTCTTAACCAGAGCAAGTAGATGAGAGAGGACGGCAGCATCCTCTAATCCCTGACCGGCTCCAGCAGCCTGGTGAGGACTGCAAGCATGCGCAACATCACCTAGTAAGCACACCCGTCCTTTGTAGAATGTGGATGTCTGGGGATGATGCCATGTCGGCCACCTCAGAGGTCTAGCGTAGTCTAGGAGTTTTGGTAGTCTATGGTCGAACCCCTCTAGATCTTCCAGCATCTCCTCCTTCGTACAAGGTACCGCGTTATCCCCAAAAGTCCAAGGGCAAGGCTTTGAAACGAAGAATACAAAATTCGCTTCTCTGCCCTGTGAAATAGGATAGACGACCACGGCTTTCCTCTTAGCCATGAAAAATTTCGCATCACCGGCGTGGTTTCCCAAGATTTTCTTTGCCTCTTGCATTGGTATGATGCCTCTATAGATATACATACCACAGAACGTCGGTTGGACTTCTTCGGGCGCAATGCCACCCAAAACGGTTCGGCGAGTAATCCCTTTCACTCCGTCGCAACCCACAACTGCGTCGACTGCTTCTACTGTGCCATCCTGAAATCTTATCAAGACTTTACTGTCTACTTGCTCAACTGAGTATGCTCGCTTCCCGAACTTGACGATCCCTTCAGGGATAAAGCTTTCCATGATATGTAACAAGTCTCGGCGGTGGGCACTACTCCGCGTAAAGTAAGGAGCGCCGATGAGACCTCGGGTCCACCCCCGCTTTTCACCGAAGCCTTCTTCGGCGTACAACGCATCAAAGATGCTATGCTCGAACTCCGGCTTCTCGTTTTGCGTCTTCACCTTTTCATATCTCTCTCGGAACCTCGGATCAATCACATCCATGGCATTCAAGGAGTTCGGCCCCAAGCCAATGCCAGCGCCTACCGTTGAGAAACGATCTGCAGCTTCGTAAATGGTAACTGGAACATTGCGCTTTATCAGTCCAATAGCAAGGGCTAAACCACCTATACCAGCGCCAAGGATAGCAATAGTAGGAGAAGTCGGGTTTAGCAATTCCATCATCGAATCTGTTATCATATCTCTTCGCATCCTAGAATTCGGTCTGGTGGGAACGTTGAGGTAAAGATGATAGAAAATGTAATTTTCCTAGAGCATACTAGAAATCATAATCGCTATATAAGGAGGGGCTGACAAGTCGTCAATGACTCTGTATCCTAATCGATACTAGTAAACAAGTTTATTAATTAATTAACTGCGTTTCCTTGCGAATGAGGTTACAGTATCGCGATCTTCTTTCATTTTTCGGATTGCAGGGTGTTGTGGTCTTCCCAATGAGATGGCATTTCGTAGTAGAACGCTTTCGGACTCGGGGGGAGCTCGGCTTCGACAACAGACCATCTTTCCCAACTCGAGGAACCAGGTTTTACACCAAAAAGAAACGTAGATCCGTCCCTTCTCTCTAGCTTCATACCGTAAAGGGAAGAAAAAGCATCATGAAGTTACAGCAGATAATATTTATCACATCCGATTTACACGGCAACTTTGGAGCACATCCATGACCTACAGACGAACCTAACGGGGTGTATTGCGCCAAAATACGCCTTGCGGCAGTGTCATATGTGGGGTACCAACATGTATATAAAGCTAGATCCTCCCTCCTGTAACTTAGCCATTACAACATCAACATCGAATACATACAATATTGTGATAGGCAGTTTTAGGCCACCCGCTGGCCCACTAACGGGAGTCAAGTTCCGATAGATACAGCCCTGTAAAGCCGTACGGGGGTAATTAATAAACATCCTAGAATGTCGAAGAGCCAGTAAAAAGCTGCGACAAGCGACAAGCGAGAAGTAGAGGAATGTAATAAGAACACGCGTATATTGCTCTGTTATCATACAGATCCTAGCATAAGACAGTGGATATTTCGTCTTGCCTATCTCCTTATAAAGGTCAATGACAGGTCAGTGGCTTAAGCCTTAGACGGATGCTTGGCTCATTATTACGAAAGACTGTTGCATATACATAAAGACTAATGCCATGCATCCATCGTGATCATGTCGCACATAAAATAGACGTCCAATACCTATGTGCTATATCATGCAAGTTGCTTGCGGGGAAACCTACAACGTAGCCGGAATTATGACACCCGTCCCCGGATTTAAACGAGATGAGTAAAGCTCGGGCTTTGGATTTGTTAAACACGCATCTTTCTCTACCTCTTAACTAGTCCAAGCTTGGATAAGTGCTAAAGAGAGGAATAGAATGGCATCACTTGTAAGCACTTAGTCATTAACGGTTGATGTTTATAGCTCAAGAATCTTAAGGTGATATTACAAGTCATCATTCTCACCTTAGTGATATTACTACTTCTTCTGACCAGTAAATACGCTGCCAATATCAATAGCTTTACAAGCAGTTCAGGCAGATTGCATTAGCAAAGGTACAATACCTCGTGTAAAGTAAAGTAGGGCTTCTAGGATTTTGGATTCGGATTGGCATACATTGAAAGCAGCTTAGTTTTTTAGTCAGTCGAATATTCCGCCAGCTATGTACAGGGGGAACTACCTATCGAGTCCGGGGTCCAGTATTTTGTGCACGGCTCATCATCATTGAGTAGCACTGATCTCTATCTGCCCACTTACAACTCAATATTCCCCAACGCTCTATTCACGAACTCTCATTCAGCCCTACTCTCTTTCTCTCATATCTTTAAAAATCGACATCACAACAATACAGTTATTTTAACAATTTGCTTAATAGATTGATGGTGTCGCTTCAGGTGACAACTAATAAGTCCCATAGTCATAGACATATCATGAAGGGAATGATACGACTAGTCTCCGAAATAACGGACAACCATTCCTCCCCCGTCATCGATTAACAATTACTGGAACATCTAATTTTTTTTCACTTGCCGAGGTCAGATTCATTGTAGAGAGATTATTCTATTCGAATCCAGACATCCAGACCGTAGTAGTCACTCGTTCGTGTTTACCCCTGTGGGATTCAGCAATTCATGTCTACAGTAAGTAGTTCTGCAGTAACTTTCCTGACAAGAGTTATATGCGCCACTTCTGTCATCCTTAGCCACTAGCTCTTGCTGACTACCAGGTCTAGCTCTAAGGGGAATTCGGAGCTATCGGAACGGACGAGAAATTATATTTCCAGGTGTGTAGGTGTTGGGGTGGCCACGGTCTCAAGCTATAATATGCTTACGTTCCTCGTAGGCACACATATCCGCTTCCATTTGCCTCGTTCCAGAACCCGTCCAAGGCCTGATAGGAATATTAAAACTCGCATACCGATCGAGTTAAACTCGGAATTCTATTAGGCCGGTCTTATTGTGGCTGTACACCCCTGGCTAGACAACTGAGCGTAGGTACATGTCTGTCACCGGGCTTCTACTTCGCGTCCATACAGCCCGCTTGTTTACGACACTATCATAACTGGTTGCTCTTAGGAAAGCTTTGCCGAAATCCCTGTATATCTTACTCGACATTACTTTTTTTTGCCAACGGTAGCAAATGTCTCAGATCGACCCCAGTGGGTCTTCTCCGGACACAAACGGCACTGGCCAAGGGATATCGCTAACCGCTCCGGCTTCGGGCAAGCCGGCGGCGCAGCGTAAACCTACCAAGCGTGAGCGTGTTGCCCTAGCTTGCCAAAGGTGAGTTAGATCAGGGACACCTCTAATATACCATCAATCGCTGATTACCTCATTCTAAAGATGTAAAACAAGGAAGCAAAAGGTAAGAATAAGCCACAATAACTCGCAGTATCATTTCGTCCCATTCTATGAATAAGCCTCGTCTAACACTTTCTCGTCATAGTGTGATGGTCAGCGGCCGGCTTGTGCCTCATGTGCCCGATTATCATTAAAATGCGGTATGTTGCTACCTCATATGTACGCTCACCTGCAATCTAATTCATCGTCAGTGTACATTGTCCCACTTGTTCCAGCAGCGGGCGAGAAGAAGATTTACATCAGGGCCCTTGAGAATCGTATCGCTGAGCTTGAGGCATATCTCACGTCGATTGGCCACCGTGATGTCGAAAATGGCCATCTAGGACGCTTGGGGCTCTCAACATCGTCATCTCAAAATGCCACAGTAACACCAGTTAATCAACATAACCAGGCGCCGGCACCAGTGCTTGAACAAGTCCCACGGGATGATGAGGACGATTCCAATGATATCTTACTCGCTGTTAGGGACTTATCGCTTTCCGCGTCTGGTCACTATATTGGGGCATCTTCAAACATCACCATAGGGCGGGTGCTCAGTTCGTTTGTACATAGCCAGAAATCTTCGATCTCGGCTTCTCATGAAGGATCAATAATCCAAATCGAAGATAACCCAGCACCAAAATCCATTTACTCAACAACTGCGGGCGATATCATTGGCGTTCCTTTTCTAAGTCCTCAGGTTGCAGCGAGACTTCTTCATGGTTACTTCCGCCATATAGCTACAAGATACCCTGTGCTACATTCAACTCAGGTGGTGGAGCTTCATAATAACAGGGATAATCTCACAGATGAATACGAGCAAGCTATTCTACATCTTGTATATGCGGTTAGTGGGAGATGGCTAGAGTCAGCTGGTGAAATGGGCCATTTTTTCAGTGACCACCATTATGACCTTGCTTTTGAAGAGTTGGAACCCATGCTTCGTCTTCGCGACTCTCGGACTATTAATTACTTATTACTCATGGCGTTGTATTGCACAAGAGCTCCTCGAGATCCGGGAGCCTGGACATATGTGGGAGCTGCTGTTAGATTGTGTATAGAACTAGGATTGCATCGACGACAACGAAGGCAACAGCCCAGCGTCGAGGGTGAAATGGATAAGCGCCGATTTTGGACGGCATATTTTCTTGATCGGGATATTTCCATCGCTGTTGGACGTCCACCTAGTATATCGGACCGCGATATCGATGCGGAATTACCCCTTGACATTAACGAGGACATCATTAACGATGAAGTTATCCGTCAAGCTGCGACGCGTGTTAGCAATATTCCTGCCAACCCCCCTAATACGCTAACATCTTTCATCCATCGGACAAGACTCAAACAAATCGAGTCGGAAATCCAACATGACATCTACAGAGTTGATCGACCAAGCGATGTCTCCGATGATACTATAAATGCGTTCCTCGATAGGCTAAATGCATGGAAATCCGCCATCCCTTTCGACACGACGCACTACGTGCACCGGCAAGAAAACGCATACGAAGGCGCTGAGTTATATACGCTTCACTATTACCGTTGCGTTCGGTTCTTATTATATCCCCAGCTAGCTAAAAACCCGGTGAACGTGCTCTACTTAAAGACGTGCGCCGATGCTTGCATAGGGATCATCACAGATTATCGACGGTTGCATCACGCCTTTCCAATAGGCTTCTCGGCTTTGTCGATACAATCCGTCTTCTTAGCAGGTGAGCATAATTCACCCATCGGCCATACGCAAGCGAGCATACTGACATGCAACAGGCCTAACCTTGATCTATTGCGCATGGCTGGCTCCTTCAGACTTTATAAGTGTCGAGGGCTCATTGACCGACTGTCAGATTCTTTTGTATATCGTCACAGAACGTTACCCATCCGCCAGAAAATACCGGGACGTGTTCGAGCGCATTAAATCAGCGATAATGGGTATCATTGCTCAGGGTAAGCACGAGCCGCGGAATCCCGTCCATATAGATCCAAACGTCCAGAAACGATTCGCGAACTTTGAAGGCCAATGGGCCCCTGGAATGGGTGCGGACTTCTCTTATATGGTCAATACTATGACAGGCAATGTAGCGACGGAGCCTCCATTTAACTTAGGACTGGATCCAGCGACGGTAGCATTAGCCGGGCAATCCGAACAGCCTACATCAGATTTGGGTCAGTATGGGGCCGTCTGGCCTGATATGCAGCAGACGATGTCTCATGAACTTGGTGATATGAACGGACTCGGTGGGATCTATCAATAAACATGCGTTAGTATTCACTGCCACGCTATGAAGGTAAACTATTAGGAGATATAAGTGTACCATATACCATCATGTTATCGTTTATGTTATTCTATACCAAAGGGCTATGACCTATATCATACAGGAAAGAATGGAGTCTCCATAATTCAAGGGGAAGAAAGATAATGTCTTAAATCCTACATTGGGTACCATTCGCGTTGGAGGTTCTCGAGACACTTATATGCTCGCCTAGTCCGCAACGTGTAGACTCCATAGGCATCCGATACCCGGCTACGGATTACCTATTCTGTGCACGAATTACTATGCTCCACTAAGTGATCTCAAGTGTGAGCATAAGCATCCTACAAGGTGAACACGACCGGCTGGACAGGCTATCGACCCAGTCAAACTACCAACCGTGCCGGACTACTTTACTGTCAGCATCGGATTGAGCCTCCCGATGATGATACCCTACGCCAGAACCACGCCAGATAATGAACGGCATACCACACACCATCCCTACCATATTTCAGACTTCATTAAAATTACGACGAGACCAATTAAAATACCAATTCCAGTCTAGTCCCTATCTAGTATGCCGAAAAGCTTACGTCTTTGATACATCTGCCTCCCGAGGATTCTATTTCGATATGTCTAGAAATTGAGATAAATAGCCGATATATTTCATGTTGACGCCTCACCACGCAAGTGTGGGGTGGGAATGGAGGGGCGACCTTTCAGACATCGACGCCTCTCACGTATCTCACCTTCTATGAGAGATGAGTAACTTGTAGTTTAATTTATATTTTAATAATTGTTATTCAAGATCTAACTGTTTAGATGAAGTATGACTATTTCATCGCTTAGGTACACTTGGCATTTAAACGAGATATATTATACGAATGACGTTTAGGTTACTTTTACAATCCTTCCGTTATGCAACGGCATAGGCATGTAATCGCAATAGTCTTACGTATATAAATTTCCGCATTACAAATCGTGTATTTAGTGTGGCTGCGTGAGTGCCTGAGTAGACCGGTGACTCAGATCCCGAACGGTTTCTACTTTATAAAGGGGTAAGCTTATCTCCTCCATGTCTGTAAAATCTGTGCAAACGGGTAGTTCAGTCAATAAAGCTACTTTTATTTATGTATTAATACCTTAGAACCTTCGTATGATCCCCTATAATATATTGACGAATCCTCCCTATTCATTCTTAGGAAGCGGAGTATAATCTCCAGTACTCTCTATCTTACCCTCATGTCCCACGGCTTTAGCGAAGTCCGCCAGGAATAACCATCTGGACTTCTTTACCCAGTCCTTCTCCAAGAAATTGTTAGCAGGCTTCGGGAAGAAGTCTATCACGCCAAGCAGAAACTGGTCGTGAGCCGGGACGAAAAAGATGTCCTCGTGCGCATCGAACTCTTGTAGCCCCTTGATCGTCTCTGTCGCCAATGACGCATCTTCGTGGAATGAACCCTCTGCTGGGAGGTAGAACGGCTCATCTTTACCTTCACGAAGAACTTTGTGGAATAGTTCGCCGGGACATGGTGCTGCAGTCACGGGACTGAACGGGTGTGGCGAGATGGAATCCGGCAAGGGGTGCCAGTGGCTGGGTCGCAGCTCGCCGTCGTGATGCACTCCGTCTCCACCCATTAGGATGAAGCTATCCGGGTTGCTGGTCACGCGTGCGAAGCCACAAATGTGGCCGATGCAATGTCCTGGAGTATCGAGGAAGTAGAATGAACCATCGCCAAAATAGTCGATGGCCGAGAACTTCCCAACCTTTATATTCGAGTTGGAAAAGTCGAGCTCTTTCACCTCGCGGCCCGCATAGTCGGACTCGAGGAGATACGGGGAGTTTGGGTCAGCCGGGTATCCTGGGAAGACAGCTTTCTTGGTTCCGGGACCGACGATCAGCGTAGTGCTTGGCTCGAACGTGGACGGGTTTCCCGTGTGGTCGAAGTGCGAATGGGACCAAATTACAGCTTCGATACTTTTAGTATCGACTCCTTGCTCATCAAGTATTTCGCGGACGTGCTTCGGTACTGTTACGGTAACCCCCATAGTCTCGAAATTTTCTCGTGTTGCCGCTGGCAGATTTTCAAGGTCCTTCCTAATACCGAGGTCGAACACGAGGGTCCGTTTCGAAACTGGATGCTGAATCAAGAAGGCATAACAAGGCCCCGCGAGATATTCATGGCCTTCGATTTTGGGCCCGAAGAAGAAGGAAGGGCTGAGACCGCGGATTGTACCACTAGTATTCAAGATGGAGACATTGACGGTAGATGTCGAAGCGGGTATGTTGAGATCAGGAACCTTTGCCATTGTTGCTATATTATTCGTATATCATTAATGGCTTTGCTCTGTTCTACTACTGAAACGAACTTGAGAATATTTTTAATGATTTACTTGATTCTAATATTAACAATAATTTGGAGTAGTACCGAGGTAGGTCTCTATATGGCCTTTATTTCGCTCACCCAATATTAATCATCTGTCATTTGTAAGCTACCTACTTCGACTAATTATTAAGCGGTTAAGGCAAAAGGAGATATCACAACGAAAGACTCTCATTTGTCAGCGCGGAACAATTATACGGTATTGAAGGCCGACTTGAATTAATGTAGGCATACCTAGGTACCTACCTCTACTCCAGATACTTCCCCTAATCTGGATTTACCAAGACTCCATTGTAACACAAACTCGCCCACATGAAAAGGTGACATCATTTTTTGGAGACGTTCATATGTAATATGGTTAGTATTAGTGCACGTGCACATCAGGGGTGTTTCTCTTTCGGGGGAAATCGGGGGGAGCCCGCAAAAGAGGGGAAAGGTTTACCGTCTATAAAACATTTCGGAGTATAGGCTATAAATGCCGGAATAAGACTATCTTTGTCTAGTCAGGCAGAGTCACGCTTCAAATTAATGCACATAAATAAGAAGTAGGCAGCTGTATAAATATTTTCATAACCTATTTGTATAAGATATCTTTGCCGTATTTAAAATAATTCACCATACCATATCATACTGTAATTAAGGCTCGTCGACATGCTCCGTAATAGCCAACTTCTTTTCTGATCCCGGAACACGAGTTTCCAATTCCTTCAAAGCTTCGGCTACTATAGTAGTCTTAAAGGCCTTGAAGTTTCGAACAGACACCCGGTTAGCAAATAGTTCGTCAATTTCTTCCAGTGTTCTCCCTTTCGTCTCCGGAACGCAAATGTAAAAGAACACCAAGCAGCATAGATTTGAACCAGCCCATATGTAAGCATATTTAGCACCCTGATGATTTATGTTAGTCACGTAGTCCCTATACGGTAGGAGAGTGGAAACCATAGTTGTAAAAACTACTTACCCAGTTAAGATCCTCTGGGTTGATAAAATATGGTGAACAAAATCCCGTGAGCCATGCTAGGAAGTAACCCAAACCGATAGCCGATCCAACAGACCAAGATCTTAACCTAGTGCTCACTATCTCCGTAGCCGTAGGGTATGTTGCGTCTCCGACAAAAGCATTATAAGAGAATTGATACAGTGCCGTAAACGCAATGACGCAGTTTCGAGCGGAAAGTGTTCCATAGGCAACGGTTGCGGAGACCGCCATTCCCAACATTGCAAGCCCCTGGGCCACAGCGCCTGTCATCAAAATAGTTCGTCTACCCATGACGTGGCGCATCAGGTACATGCCGAAGTTAACACCAATGAAACCCAGGCAGGTATTCATGACTGAATACTTGAAGGCGTCGTCTACTGATAACCCGGCAACAATCATAAAATAAGTTGAGTAGCTGATGATAAACCATGAACCGGCTCCTGTCTGCGTAGCAATGATGCCGTAGCAGAGAAGTGTGCGTCTTAGCTCGGTTCCTGTAGTTTCATCGATTAGTGTCTCTTACGTACTGACAGAAGAAGTAATACGAATGCCTACCTTTAAACATGTCTAGTGGCCCAATCGTTCTAGCTGCATGTTTTTCCTCTTCAATACCTTTTACCATCTCAACCCATTCGAGTTCGAACGCTTCCGGAGACAGTGAATCCCCTCTCAGCGTCTTCAACGACTCTCTAGCTGCCTCCATATTTCCTTTGTACAATAGATATCGAGGGGATTCAGGTACGAGGAAGAGGCCTAAGGCTAGGAACGTCGGTACGATGAAGAGAGTTCCAAGTGGTATTTGGTAAGATGCTTTATCCAAACGGCTCTTCGTAGCGTTCGTTACAGCTGCCCCTATTATGCTGCCAATATTGACCCATTCTGAGAAGAGTGCCACCATGACAGCCCGAAGGTGGGCCGGAGCTGCTTCAGCAGTCTGTTAAATGTCAATATACTACAAAAAGCGAATATGAAGATATCCAAAATGATCTAATGTAGAGAATAGAACCGAAAACCGATATGGAACGTTGAAAGTATTAACACATACTACAAATATGTTAGTCGTCTCGAGAAAAGGGGGGTGAACCGCTACATAAAAGAAATTCGACACTTCTCTTGATGAAACACTTGTACATACCGTAAATATTTGAGAAAGTGACCAGAAACCCGTTAGCTAGTCCGAGAATAAGTCGGCCGATATAAACTGCTACTTTATCTGCGGTTGAGATCTGGATAATGCATGCGATCGCATTCAAAACGCACGCAAGCCACAGCGCAACCTTTCGACCGAAGAAATGGGCGAACGCTCCAGATACAAGTGAGGATACAAAAGCACCTAACGTTAAGAGTGACCCAATGAGCCTTTGGAAGGTTCCCTGTATATCTTAGTTATTATGATGAAAACTACGAGATTCTAAGTAGGTGGCTTGCCTCAATTGCGTATCCGGCTGGTTGGCTCGGATCCTTATATCCAAATACTTCTAAGAAGCCTGGCATCGCCTGCAGAGATCCAATTGCTGCCGAGTCTAGCCCGTACTGCATGTTTGCTATGGCCACGATAGCACATACAGCTAAACATTTTCGATTCGCCCAGAGGGATGTCTCGGCTATCTTCACGACGGCCGTCATGATTCTACTGACTCTGAGCAAGAGACGAAAGACAAATGTAGACCTATAGCACCCCAAATTGAGAAAGGGGAGTAGGTAAGAGAAAAGCTATGCTGCCACCTTGCATTTTAATAACCCGGTACAGTTACTATCCAGGGTCCGAGAGCTACCCCAACTTTTCAATAATAGCTATATACCCCGTGTGGAGGTGAAGCACTACCGCGGCGGAAAACGACACGATCTTCGAATTTTCCCTGTTATTTATCAAGCGCTTACATATTAGTTCTCCCCGCACTTCGGTACTTAACTTCAGGTCGTCGACAGCCCTTCTAGATCAGTTAGTGTCGTTCCTGGCTATAATGCCGTACCAATGGTTCCTCTGACCTCGAGAGGGCTTACCGACGCGGCTTTCGATAGCTCTAAATAGAACTATTCCATTCATGATATCAGCTTGCCGATTGGAGACATCTCTAAATTCTAAGAAACCAACGTAGATACAATAGAGAGAGATTAGTACACGGAGAGGTGGCGACCTCACCCTTGGATTAGCGAGGGCTAGTAAGAAATCCATTCATATGCTTTTTACTTTTATCAAATACTCACCGCCTAGTTTACTTAAAATCCTAGAGCAATGGGTAATTCAGTGCATAAAGGAGTCAGAGCTTGCTGTCGCTTGATAAAGGGGTTGCGATTTGACGTGCTAGTATTCTATACGAATCACTAATCGTACAGTATGGATATTTACTTACATGAAAGACTTGACCTAGTCAAGACCATCTTCATTCATGTAGTATGTCATTCTAGAGAAACGAAATATCATGGTGACATGAAGTTCTGTTCCTGTCGTTGCAAGGAGAGATACGGACTTTGAGGTACGTACCTGTTGGTACACTTGATACCTATGCAGGTGTTACGGTTAATTACATTTATTAGCCTTTAAATCCGTTGCTACACCATAAAAGCAACATTACGTAATGAAACGATTAGATGCATTCCCATTTCGGCCCCACCACATTGTCGACACCTTGCAATTGACATGGGCCCAAAAACGAAATAATAATAAAAAATCCCACCAAATAACATTTACCACAAGTCAGCAAACTTCAGTTTCGCGTATCACGAACGACGTAATTGATGCGCCAAACCACGTACTGCGGCAAGCCGTAACCATCCGGCATCTAACGAGTAGTTAATTGGTAAAAATAATTTACATTCGACTTGACCGATCGACCTCTTTTAGGCCTACCCGGAGCCACTCTCCGGCCAGAATTTATATGCGACGATGAGGTTCTCCATCCTTTCCGTGGGCCTCTTGGCCCTCCTCACCCCGTTGACTGCAGCGTGGACGAAAGAAGACCGCGAGATCTTCCGCCTGCGCGACGAGATCTCCCAGTACGAGGGCGCCAACGTCACCTTTTACGACTTTCTTGGTGTCTCACCGCGCGCTACCCAAGACGAGATCAACAAGGCTTACCGCAAGAAGTCTCGCGCCCTACATCCGGACAAAGTCAAGCAACAGCTATCGGCCGAACGTGCTAAGCAGGCTAAGTCAAAGGGCAAGGGGAAGAAGCCCGGCGTCCATGTCGCGAAACAGCCTACACAGTCCGAAATCAAGGCCGCTGTGAAAGCCGCCGGCGACCGTCAAGCCCGTCTATCTATCATTGCCAACATTCTCCGAGGTTCTGGTCGTGCCCGTTATGATCATTTCATGTCTAACGGGTTCCCCGTATGGAAGGGCACTGAATACTACTACAGCCGTTACCGGCCGGGACTAGGCACCGTGCTATTCGGGTGTCTCCTCGTAGGCGGCGGTGGCTTCCACTACATAGCCCTATACATGAGTTGGAAACGGCAACGTGAATTTGTCGAGCGGTATATCAACTTCGCGAGGCAGGCCGCTTGGGGTGACAACCTTGAAATCCCAGGTGTCGACACACCCGCCACTGCTACTCCGCCTCCTCAAGCACCCCCGGCAGACGACGACCAGCAACCCCCGATGGCAATGAACCGCAAGCAGCGGCGGTTACAGGAGCGGGACCAACGCAAGGAATCGACCAAGGGAGGAAGACGCCAGCTACGCGGTAGGGGACGCCCCGGGCAGCAGGCGAGTGGAAGCGCAACACCAATACCGCAAACTCAAGGAACCGGCCCAACGGGCGCTAAGAAGCGTGTCGTGGCTGAGAATGGTAAAATCCTAGTTGTCGACTCTCTAGGCGACGTGTACCTCGAGCAAGAGGACGCAGACGGCAATGTGGAGGAATTCCTTCTTGACGTAAGTCTAATCCATTCATCCTTCCCATATACCCGATAACTAACCCGTATATATATAACAGCTCAACGAATTCCCCCAGCCTACAGTCAAGGATACCGCACTCGTTAAGCTTCCTATCTGGGCCTACTCAGCCACTCTAGGCCGAGTCTTCGGTTCCCGTAAGCCCACCGACGACCTAGACGACCAAGTTGACGAGGATGACGAGAGGCAAGGCGCCGATGATCTCGTAGACGACTCCTCATCCGACCAGCCGCAGCGAACACCCTCCACGGATTCGGCCGAAGACTTCGAGCTCCTAGGGACTAGCGTCGAGGACCTACCCGATAAGCCGAAGGTCACGGGTAGCCAAGCGCAGCAGAGCAACAAGGCCAAGAAGAGGAACAAGAAACGCTAGAAACGGGACTTGGGAAGCCGTGGCGGACCGGGAGAAGGGGTTGAGGAGTCTTGGATGCTTTTACGAGTATGACAGGGTGGGCGTATATATAAACGTGTCCTCCCGACACTATGGTGTATGTAGCAACCCGTGTAGCGGATCATAAAAGTGAATGTATTCAATTCAGAAAACATGCGCTCGAGATTTTCCAGTCCGGTGATAGGCGGCGACAGCTCAAAGTTTATAACATTTAGGAGTTGCTTATTTAGGCATAACTAATAATCATATCTTGAACAACTTAGGAAATATATCATCAGGTTAAGTTGGCACTAATTCGGCATCGATTTAGACCATTCTTACAATATAGTTGACAGAGACTCTACCTCGACACGATATCTACTAATCAATCTAGAACAATATGAGAATAGGGATAAAAGTAGTTCATTTCCATTCAAACTATCTATATTGAGGCTTTACATCGGATGGTATGAAATAGTAATCGACCAAAAAAGCCAAGCAAAGAAATAGGGGCTAGCGGGTCATTGCGCCTACCGAGGTTCGAGTGCCCCGAGAGCACAATGAGAAAGAAAGGGGATCTACCAGGGCAAGAAGAAAGACAGCTTATAGATATACATGTGTGCTATAGATTTGGGGCGGGATACACACATACCTCGAGTTGTAAGTTGAACTTTCCGAGTGACTCTGGAAGTCAAGAATGGTTAGCCATACACTATGCAAATAAGGGGACAGGAAAGAGAGATATAAAGGCTATGAAAGGGGAGATATCCTCAACTCCGTCCCTTGACATGAATTGAAATATGTGCAGTCCAATCTGGATATTCTCGCCCGTGTGCAATTCTCTCAGTCCATAATATCCCCTTTGCCTTCCACGTACGATATCCACTGGTCTCCCCGCGTGATATCTACCTAGTCAAAGTAAACTATGCTGATCTGTTCTGTGCTAACCTGATGAAGGATATATACATTCAAAGTAGCACTATAGGTGCATATCATCCATCTGTTGAAAGACTCCGTATTGGTTCTCCATGGATTGCTGCTTTCTCATCCAGTCGTTATCGTAGACGGGGTCCGTCGCTGGACGGTAGTTGGGGCCACCAATAGCGGTACCAAAATGACTGTAAACATCTTTAGGTCTTTCCATAGACTCCTCGTACTGTTGCCTTGCAGACTCTTCATATTCGCGCCGAGCTAAAGCCTCGTAGCCAGACATCATGTAGGGTTCCACGTCACATGTGGCGACCCATCGCCCGTCTCCGGTCTGAACTGGCGTCAGGGGTGTACCATCCAGAGACATCATGGTATTTTTCTGCTCCTCTTCGGCCATTCTTCTCTCGTAGCGCAGTTGAGCGAGGAGCTGTTCTTGTTCGACCGTCGTGCTAGTCCAAGCAACGGCTGGGTTCTCATGGGAACCAGCAGGGGGACAGATTCGCCATAGCTCGATCAAACGCATCTTTTGATTATCCTCGGCTGTCTTGAAGAGTTGCATTTGCGCTGCAGAAAGCGCAGTATGATCGATACCATATGAGTTTAGAATGGACTCTATAGAAAACTGCTGTGTTTGTGGCGGCTCTGATGATCGTCTCTGGAGTTCCGCTTGTGAGTCGTCTTGGTGGGCGATATGGGCAGAATGGTGGTAGTGTTGGGAAATGGAATATGTTATTCCTGGCTCTTGCACTCTCGGTGTTTCTTGAGGAGCCTGGGCTGGCCGAGGTTGTAATGTTAGGTTACGAGAGAACAGCGCAGCGAGGTCATCGCTGGTTTGCATGTTTGGTTGCGAGTAAGTCATTTTCTGTAAGTATAGGGTTAGAGATGTCCAGTAACTTAAAGACTAAGAGTAGATATTCACCGCGCCTAGAAAGATGTTGAAGTTGATATACCGAAGTTGTCGCTTGTTGTAAAGTGCAAATAAAATAGCTGTGTCCGAAGAGATGAGGGTGTCGGTCAGAATATAGAGTATGGGGGAAAATAGAGAAGCGTTTGTGGTAAAGTAAGAACTGCGAGAATTCTATCTTATATTGACTATGCTATATACTGAGTGGTGGTAGAGGTTCTTGGGCATTAATAAGATTCAAAACAATCACTTCGAGGATGGACAATAAAGTCCTTTTTGTTTCGTTTTAGAACCTTTGCTTTGATGCTCGATGAGCAGTGGACAAGCGGTCAGTGTCAATGAAACTAAGCCCCTGAAAGAGGTCTGATGCCGTAGAAGAGCAGGGGGATAAGAGAGATGAGTCGAGGTAGAAAAGACGGATCAATAATATCAATGGTGGATGGCGTCGCAATACAATAGCTTACAATGATGTGAGCTTCGTTCAAGAGTTAGCAGTGTCGCACATGAGCGATAGTAGACTGACGAAGAAGGCGTTGATGAAATAGTTGTCACGAGTGAAGAAAGATAGGTAATGTAAAGAATAAAAAGGGATGGTGTTTGATGTTGATGTTGATGATGACAACGCATTGGAGACCCGCCGGGTGATAGCGGATTGTCCGAGGAGAGTTCGAGGCACACTGACACAAATAGGGAAAGATGGAGGGGGAGGGGGAGGGGTAACGTGCATCTTGGCTGCTTGGATATCTCAGGTACTGGGTACATTATACCACATCTAACGATTTCTTTGGCTGATTGTAAAGTTAGCGAGGAGACGTGAGGGGTGATGAGGGGTGACGAGGGGTGACGAGGGGCTATTTTAGTGGACTATAGGTCGCTAGGTCGTGCCCATTGGCGCCCAAAGCTACCCAAGACTCCGCTAAAACCCAATCGCCATTTACTAACGTGCGTTTAGAAGGTACATGTGCACATGCATGTAAGTCGCCATTGGAAAGAATTGAATCAGGTGAGCTGCTCGAGGGCGAATCTACGAATTACACAACAATGAAACTGAGAATGAATACTTTAGACACGTGGGCTTAATACAAAGATAGGTACCTGGTTTTTATAAGTTTATCAAAAGAAAATAAAGGGGTTTCATGTTGGACCTGCATTGCCCGAGTTTACGAGGGATATTGTCAGACGATCTTTTTGCCTCGCCATTTTTCGAAATAAGAAGTTCGTCCGTGCGCAGCTCTGGAGCGTTTTTATTGGGTGCATCTTCGAATTTTCACGTGCTTTTCCAGATCCCCACTTCCATTTTTTTCTCGAAATACGTATTTTTTTTTTGCCCGACTTTTAGGTAATAAATAGGTACATAAGTAGCCTGGCTAGCCATGGTTACCAATTACGTAGCCGCATTACATGTTTTACAAAAGCCTGGGTTCGAATCCCACATGCTCCTTTTTGATTTTTTTATTGTCTTTTTATCTTTTATTTTTTAAAGGAATTCTAGTAAAGCTTAATATTCGAGGTTGTCTCCGGCAGCAGCGGCACGTGATTCGTAAACTCGGGCTATTGTGGTGCCCCGCAGGGGTGCCCTCATGTCATGTTATTGTGTCGAATTTGCCCGAGTTTACGAGGGGTTATTGTGTCGAATTTTTTCCATGGCCCAAATAGGAAAGTAACTCAATGGGCAGTATCTGGCACGTGCGCAATTATGTAAACTCGGGCATATTGTGCAGCCCGCAGGGCTGCCTCCAGTCTAAGTACTCTCTTTATAAATCTACAACCTCAACAATTCCTAACAAGATAGCGGTACTCATTATTCCTCATACATGTATGCTTCGAGTTCGGTACCTCAGGTACCTATGTATTATAGCTTAAGTTCTCTTCCCTTTTTATAGAATATAATCTAGCACGTTATTCTTATAATAAACTAACGCAACCTGTACTACTGTAGGGCATCTAAGAAGTTACTTGATTTCAGACGAGACCAATAATAGTTAGTGTAAGCATTGAGGCGCTCTATCATGTCCTCACCTTATCATTATCCTCAAGATATCTTCCTCGGTGCAATGGGATAGGACGTAGCCGTTTATAGCATGCTCCCCGAGAATTTAAACCATCTTCTTAGATCAAGATATATCCGGCGTAGCGTTCGGAGATAGCTTCATAGTGAATGTAATGATGTCAATGAACCTATAAGCATCTAAAGTTGGCTAAAATATCAATCCAGTGATTTAATTGGCTATCAATCATGTTGCCTGTTTTCATCTAACCTAGGGTAGGTATATGTAATGTCTTCTCGGGTTCGATATCTAAACACTGGAGCCTTCTGACGTCAAAGTAACCGAACTCATACGCTATCGAGCTATGAAAGGCTTAAGAGGCGTAAGACTTTCCATGCCAGAGCTAGATAGCTGTACTTGTGTTGAAATCATGATTAATCTTATCCATGTTTATTATAAAATAACATTGTCTAGTTATAAAAGCCTTAAATATTTCCATCAAGTCTTGATTGTAAGAGTTATCAAACGTAAATCGCAAGACACTTTATATTCCAGCTCTATCAATTCAATACTCAATCCTATATAATCCGACCTATCATGGCGCCAAAGGTCCTTGTTGTCTTAACCTCCTATGGAGAAATCCTGGATTCTGCCGGAAAGCCGATTCAGAAGACTGGGTGGTACTTGGTATGTTACCCGGCTCTAGATATACGGCTGACCAAGCAACGCTGGTCTTATAGTGCTGAACTTGAGTTAACACTTTTCAAACTAGCCTGAGTTTGCCCATCCATACGAAATCCTCTCCAAAAGATGCGAGCTCGTAGTCGCCTCGCCAAAAGGTGGCGTCGCGCCCCTAGACCCAAACTCGTTACAACCATGGATCCAAGACGACTCATCTTCGGCCGATTTCTTCGACAACAAAAAGGCTCTCTGGGAGAACACCGCTAAGATCTCAGACTTCATAGGCCGTGCTGACGAGTTCGACGCCATCTTCTACCCAGGTGGGCACGGCCCTATGTTTGACCTCGCGACAGACAAGGACTCGATCGCCCTTGTGAACGAGTTCTGGGCTAAGGGTAAGGTCACAGCCGCGGTCTGCCACGGCCCTGCTGCATTCGTTAACGTCACACTCCCCAATGGAGAGAATATCCTAAAGGGCAAAGATGTTAGCGCCTTTACCAATGCAGAGGAAGATGCTACGGGTATGTCCAAGTATATGCCATTTATGCTGGAGGATAAAATAAAGGAGGATGGTGCTAGCTTCCATAAGGCTTCTGAGTTATGGGCTCCGACAGTGTGTGTTTCTGGCAAGCTGATCACCGGCCAGAATCCCAGCTCAGCCAAGGGAGTTGGAGAAGCTATTGCAACTGCTTTAGGTAAGTTTCTAATATGCTTATACCTAACTACGCCAACTGACTAAGTAAATTTAGGTGTTTAGGATAAATGTCGACTTGGATCATATGTAAATGGGGCGACTTTCGGTCTCCAATGCGAACAACGTATTTACTAAACAATTTGGATAGTCTAACATATATCGGGGATTTAATTCGCAGGCCTTTCGATTCACTTCTAATCTATGTTATAAGAGTATGGCATTTAACTTAAGTTTGTATAATCATACTTAAAAAAGTGTTATTACATGGTAATTTAAGTATTAACCACAAGTTAAACTTACCATTTTATTTCGAAGATGACTATTATAACAAAGGTTATAAAGGGCTTAAAATATAATTAAAATTATTAATAATTTTTTAAGGTTTTAAAATCTTTAGTTTTCCCTTTTTTTTTAAGAAAAGATTTTAATTTATTTATAAATAATTTAAAATATGTATTTTTTAATTTAGTTAAGTTTTTATTAATGTATTAATTCCGTTTATATATAATTATATAATTATATAATATTTTTTATTTAATAAATTTTAAAATAATTATTTTATATTTTTTATTAATTGTTATTTTTAATTAATAGTTTTTTAACATTATTATTTGTGTAATATTATTTTTTTTTTTTTTAAGTTTGTTTTTAAGTTAAAGTTTTAAATAAAAGATATAATTTTTTTGGTAAAATTCGAAGGTTTACCGGCTTTTTTAAGTTTTATTAATGAAATGTTAAAATTATTTATTTAACGTTTTTATTATTAAAATAATTAAAAAGTTTTTAAGTTTAATATTTTTTGGTTAGTTAACTTTTTTATTTAATTAAATATTTTATATTTTTTTAAATTTATATAAAATTTTTAATTTTATTTATATAATATTTTTTAAACTTTATTAAAATTATTTTTTATAAAATTTAATTAAGATTAAGTTATATTTAATTATTAACGCGGTAAGGTTTAATAAATAAAATATAAAATAAGTTATAAATTTTTTACTTTTTAAATAAATGGAATTTAATAGTAATAAAAAAGATTATTTTTTAAATTTTAAAAAGGTTTAATATTTTTTTATTTAATTTTTTAATAAATTATTTTATTTTAATATTTTTATTATTTAATATGATTAATTAACTTTTTTTAAATTTTGGTACTTTTTTTTTTTTTTTATTAATTTAATTTTTTATATGTTAACAACTTTTTTTTAAATATTACCGTGTTTTAGTATAAATTTACTTTATTTAATATATATATAATTAATTATTTAAATTTCGAGAAATGTTGGTAAATAAATTATAAGTTATAAAATAAAAATTATAATTTATATAAAACAATATTATATATAATAATGTTAATTTTAAGTTATTATATATAAATTTTATTATTAATAATAAATTTTTTTAATTAATTATTTTATAATTAATAAACGTTTGGAAATAAATTTTAAAGATTTAATTAAATTGTTTTATTTAATTATTGGTTTAAAAATAAAAAGTTATATTTATTTATCATTTAATATTTATAAATTTAAAAAAGTTTTGTTATAAATAAGTAATAAATTTAAAATTTTGGTTAAAAATAATATTTAAAAAAATTTTATATAATTTCCAATAAAATTTAATAAAAATTTTAATTAAATTTATAATTTTTTTTTTTATTTTAAAAAATATAAAATGTATTATTTTAATAAACGGATTAATTATAATTTAAATAAAATCGTAACTATTAAATAAAAGTAAATTAATAATAAAGTTTATGGTAATAATATATTATAATATATAATATAATTTTATAAATTAAAATAAATTATATAAAATATATTAATTTATTTTATTACGTTAATATTTTAAATATTTTTTTATAAAATTTTATATAATAATTTTAATATTAAACCATTAAAAGTTTTATATAATAAATTTTAAAATCTTATTTATTTTTATATATTTTACTATTAAAATATTATATTTTAATTTTATAACTTTTTTTTAAAATATTTAAAATATTTATAAACATTTTTTTTTATATAAAAAATTATTTCGTAATTTAAAATTATCGCTTAAATTATCTTTTTTTTTTATATATAATAAGTTATTTTTTTTTAATTTTTTAATTTATTTTATAAATTTAAGCAATTATTTTAAAATTAAAAAGTTATTTAAACAATTTAATATAAAAATAACCGTTATTAAATATATTATATTAAAATTAAATAAATGTAAAAAATATTTTTTTTATAATATTAATATAACCGGTTAATATTTAACTTCTTTTTTTTTAAACTAGTATTATAATAATTTAAATAAAATATTAACTTTTTTATTTTATTTTTTAAAGTAATAATTAATAATAAATTAATATAATAAAAATTATTATATTTATTTTATTTATCTTTTATTTAAAATTTTAATAATTATAAAGTAAAATAAATTTTAATAATTAAAAAATATTTTAATTTAATATTATACTTTTTTAAAATAATGTTTTTATTAATTAAAAAAATCGATAATTATAAAAATTTTTTTATTATATATTTTATAATTTATTTCTGTTAAAGTTAATTTTTAAAAATAAAAGGTTATAAGTTAAAATTTTGTTTTTTTATTTTTTTAAAAAAAAATAACTTTAATAATAAAATTTAAAATATTAATTTTAAGGAAAATTTATAATTTAAGATTAAAATGAATAAAAATTAAAATTAACGTAAATTTAACTTTTAAATTTTCGAAAGTTTTATTTATTTTTAATATTTATTTTTAATTTTTTTTATTTTTTTTATTAATTTTTATAATAAATTTAATTATTATTAAAAATTTTTTAATAAATTGTTTATAAAAATTTACAAAACTTATAAACTATTATAATTTTTTAAAATTAATTGGTGGTTTTTATTTTATAATATATTTAATTTTATTTTTAAATATAAAAATATTTTAAAAATTAATAATATAATTTAAAAATTTTACTTTTTAAATTATTTATTTATATTTATATAAGGTAATTATAAAATAATATACGGTAAATTTTTTTAAAACTTCTTTAATTATTTTATTATATTTTCTTTAAATAATAATATATATAAATAAATTATTAATATATATAAATAATTTATTATTTATTATATTTTTAAAAATATTATTTATTATAAATTAAAAAGTAATAAATATATTATTTAATTTAAAAAGTATAATAAAATATTTATAAAATTTATATTTATATTTAAATATTATTTTCCATTTATTATTTTATTAAATATAAATTAAATTAAATTTAGTCTTTAAATTTATTTTAATAAATTATTATAAAATTTAAAATTAATCTTACATTTTTAATATAAATAAAATAAAATAATATATAAATATTATTATTATATTTAATTTTTAATAGTTTATTATTAAATAAAATAAATTTTTAAAATTAAGTTTTAATATAAAAAATATTAGAAATATATAAAAAAAAGTAAATTTATAAATATATCTTATATTAAACTTTTTTTTACTTATGGCGTAAAAAAGGCTTTATAAAAGCGTTTTTTTTTTATTAAATCAATAATATAATTTTATAATTAATATTTAAAAAAACGTTTTTTAACCTTTTTATTTATTATAAATATAAATTTTTTAAATTCTTTAAATATTTTTAAAAAAAAGTTATTATAATTATATTATATTAATATAATATATTTAATAATAACCTTTTTTATATAATAATATTAACAATATTTAAATAAAAAATATATTTTATTTAAATTTAAAAAGATATTTACAAATTAATAAATTTTTAACTATTATTATAAAAAAATAAAATTATATTTATTATTTATAATATTAAATTTAAAATTTAAATAAATATAATATTTTATTTAATATTTAAATATTAAAAAATTTATATAATAATAACTTTCTTTTTTTATATAAATAATATTAAAAAATATAATTATTTTTAACGTATTTTTTTTTATTTTAAAAAGATTTTATAATTTAACTTTAAATATTAATATAATAAATATAATTACTTTTATATTAAATAATACTTTTATAAAAAACTTTTATTTATTAAACATTAATATTATTTTTATTAAAAATTTTTTTTTTAAATAAAGTTTTTTTTGTTTTTTCTTTTATAATTTATTAAATTTTTCAATTAATTATTTAATCGCGGTAAATTAATATAAATAAATACTTTATTTTTATTTTAATATTTTATAAAATATAATATAAAAGGTTTTTAAAAATTTAAATTATTATCGTTAATTTTGATAATAAAATAAAATTAGTTAATTTTTTTTATTATTACATTTATTTTAACTTTTTTTATAAATAAAAAAATTGGTTACTTATTATTACTATATTTTTATTTAATTAAAAACATTTTACAATCCAAAAATATTAATAATTTTTTATTATTAATATTTTTTTTAACAAAATAAGTAAAAATATTATAAATATTACGTTTATACTGTTAATATATTTTTTTATTTTTTTTACGCTAATTAATATTTATTTAATTAATTCTTTAAAAAGTTTTTTTATTTAAAACCCATCGGTTATTTTTAAAATCAAACTTTAATTTATTAATAAATTTAAACCAATTTTTACTTTTTAAAAATCAATTTTAATTTAAATTAAAGTAAGTTTTTTTATTATAGTTTTATTAACTTAACTTTAAATATTTTGTTATTAAAATAAACTTTTTTTTTACTATTAAAAATTTTAAATTAATTAATATATTTTTATAAATTTAATTAGTTTTTTAAATTGCGGCGAAAAATTTTTTATTATTATCGGAAATTTTACTTTATTTAAAATATATTAATTTAATAATTTCATTAAAAAAGGTTTTAGTAATATAGTTTTAAAAAATAATTTTAAACCATTAAATAATTTTATTAAAGTTTAAAAATTTGGTAATATATTAAATTACGTTTTTTATATATTTAAGTTTATATATTTTTTTTAAGTTTTTATATTTTTTTAAAAGATTTTTAAATTGTTTTTATAAGGTTAATACGTAATTAACCCATTAATTTATAAAATAAAACCGTTTAATTTAATTAAAATATTATTAATGTTATAATTAAACTTTATTTATAAATAATGATTTTATTTAATTAATACAAATGTAATTTTTAAAAAAGTTTTCCGTATAAATTTTTAAATATAATTTAACTTTTATTTACTAAATTTAAAATTTAATAAAGTTTTTATTATTATATATAAATGGCTTATTTAAATATATTAAATTAATAATTGCAAAAACGGGTTTAATAAATTTTTTTAACGTTTATAATAATTGTTTTTTAATATTATTTATGCGTTAAAATTTCGGGTTTTATTTAAACTTATTAAGTCTTAAAAATAAAAGCTTGTAAAATGGTTTTTAAAGTGGATTTTACAATCTTTAATTGTTATTATTATTATTAAAGTTTTTTAAGTTTTTTCCCGGAACTTTTGTTAATATATAAAATAACTTTAATTTTTATTTATTTTTTTTTAATATGATAAAAGGTTTGGTATATACTTTTTTAAATTAAATATAAATATCTTTTAAAATTTATTTAATTTAAACGTTTTATAATATTTATATTAATAAAATACCTTTAATTTTGATTTTTAAATTAAAATATTTAAATAAAAGTATTTTTATTATTATTAATTAATAATTTTAAAAAGGTTAATTAAAAAAAAGTTTTAATATTATTTTTTTTTTAATATTTTATAAAATCAAGTTTATAAAAATAAGTTAATTAATTGTTAATTTTAAAATAAATTTAATTAATATGGTTTTAATATAAATTTAAAGTTTTTTTAATTGTTTTTAAAAGTATTTATTTATATATATTAAATTAATATATTTTTAAATTAAAAAATTATTAATTTAATTTTCTTTTTAAATGGTTTAAATTATTACTTTTTTTAATAAATTTTTTTAAGATTTTTATTAAGTTTAAAGGTTTAAAAAAGTTTTATATTATTTTTAAACAACATTTTTTAATTTAATAATTATTATTTGTTTTATTTTATTATTATTAAAAAAGTATGTAATTATTTTTTAAACTTTTTAAAAAAATATTAAACTAAATTATTTAATTTATTATTTAAATTAAATAATTTGTTTAATTAAAGTTATTATATTAATTTAATATATTTACATTATAATATTATATATTATTTATAAGGTTTAATATTATTAATTAAATTAATTTTAATTATCTTTATAATTTTCATTTATTAAACGTACAAAAAATTAAAAAGATTTATAAGTTTTTTTTATTTATTTATATAATTAAATTAACCAATTAAATAAATTAATAATAATAAAATTAATAATATTAATTTTAAATACGTTTTATATAATTATTTTATAATTTTACAATTTATATAAAACAAAAATATAATTATTATTAAAATATATTAAACTTATATTATTAATTTAAATTAAAGATAATTTTAAAATATTAAATTAAACTGGGAAATATTTCCGATATTTATTTCGAAAATAATTTTTAAAAAAATCTTAATTAAAAATTAATTTAATTATATATTTACAAAATATAAAATTTTTAAATTCTTTTATAAATTCTTTTTTTAATTAAATAAAAAAAAATTTTTTTTTAAAAATATAAAATTTAATATAAAAAAATATTTTAATTTAATTTTTTTTTTAATAAATAATAATAATAAAAAAAATAGTTAAAATAAGAAAAAGATTATTAATAAAAAAAAATAATAAAAAGTTTTTTTTAAATTTTATTAAACTTTAATTTAAAGTTTTAATATAAAATAAAATAAATAATAATTTAAAATATATATACCATTTTAAAATATTAAATTTTTTTAAAATAATAAAAAATTATTTATAATAAAAGTTATAAAAAGTTTAAAATATAATTAAGATTATTAATAATTTTTTAAGGTTTTAAAATCTTTAATTTTTTTTTTTTTTTTAAAAGGAAATTTTAACCTATTTATAAATAATTTAAAATATATATTTTTCGGTTTAGCCAAATCTTTATTAATATATTAGTTTTATTTATATATAATTACATAATCGTATAATATTTTTTATCTAATAAATCTTAAAATAGTTATTTTATATCTTTTATTAGTTATTATCTTTAACTAATAATCTTTTGGCATTACTGTCCGTATGACAACTATCATATCCGCACTTATAAGTAACTAGCTTTTAAAGAGAGGTAGGTACCGTAGGTATTGTATTTGCGTGAGATCTAATAGTTGCGTGAATAATGTTCTTTACTAAGAACATAGTGGTGTTGCCTAGTAACCCTGGCTGACGTGGTTGAACTTTCTATCGTATCATAAGTTAGGCATACGTATAGTATCTTTAGATTTATTAGTTACCCAATGGTTTAATTTCCAAGCTGTCAGGATTCTAGATGAGACATCTAGAACAAAGGACATGTTCAGTATGTATAGACATAGATCCCCGTAGCTAGGCTAGAGTTCCTCGCGGAACAACGAAGGTGTTACCATACTGTTTAGTTCCACCTCGTGACACAAGCAAGCTGAAGAGTAAAGGTATAGATACCCCTTTCTTATCGGGAAAACTTTAACTACTAACCAGACGGATAATTTGCGTACCACTATAGACAAGTAGACATTTTGAGCTTTACATGAATTAATTCTTTTGGAAATGGTCATATCCAGGGCTTCCGTCTGTGATCCCTGATGATATATATCCTCAAATCGTATGAGGGGTGTTGGACAATACGCTACATACATAAAACGGATTTGACGGACTATCTAGTATAAACCGATCGAACGAAAAGATGAAATGTTTATATCACGACGCCTGCTCCTTCTCCCAAGCGGCGCGTTTGCGGTAGATGTCATGGCGGAAGGTTTGCTTCAGCGATTCTATAGCATCAGCGTCTAAGGTAACCGTAGCCTGGATAGCGCCAACACCGCACAGGTTGTTCTTACGATCAACGAACCAGGCAAAGGTCATACCGCCTCCCCAGGTGAGGGTATGATCGCCGTACCAGCCATCGACGTCTTGCAATGTGAGCAGGCCGCCAAGCCCGTGTCCCGATAATGCATCGACTGTAGTGCCGACACGGAAGAAGACGCCCATGGGGCTGACCAGTGCGGCTCGATGGCTCTCGGTCGCTTCCGGACTGAGATGGTGTTCAAACATGTCGTTGACCGTTTCCGGTTTGAGGATCTTTCCGTCATTGGCTAGTAGCGAGTGTAGTACTTTGACGTAGTCCGGAGCTGTCATGAATAAACCGTGACCTCCAAAGTCGCCCTTTGTGTTCTTGTTCATGTCGCCGCCACCGCCTAGCACGGCGCGACCGAGAGCCTCTGGATCATCGGGGTTTAAATCGACAAGGCGCGTGCGTAGATCCTCTCGGGTCACCGGGTAGAATTGGGCGTCCGAAATCCCGAGTGGGCTAAAAATGCGCTCCTGCATACGTTCGAGCAGCGTCTTGCCAGTCACACGCTCCACAATGCGGCCAGCCCAGTCGAGCCCTGACCCGTATAACCAGCCAGAACCAGGTTGGAAGCTTAACGGGTAATCGAATAACTCTTCGACCGTCTTCTTGCCGCTTTCATCGGATGCTTTGGTCTCCGCGCGGGACTTCTCGCGCCAGCGAGCGATGAGGGGATTGAGGAAATGGTAGGCGAGACCAGAGCTGTGAGTTAATAACATCTCAAGTGTGATAGGGCGGATCTGTGGCTCAAGCAGAGGCGTCTCGCCATCTTCAGAGAACCCGGTAAGGACCTGTTTTGCGGCAAGGTCAGGCGCGACGGATGAAAGGTCGCCGGTAAGTGATAGAAGCCCATCCTCTACACACTGTAAAGCAGTGATGGCAGTGATCAGCTTACTGGCCGAAGCGAGGAATAGCACGTCGTCAAGTTTGTGAGGTCGCTTCTCTCCAGATAGCAACGTACGCTCTCCTATTGTCTTTTCGAAGGTGAAGTGGCCTTCGGCGTCGGTGGCGCATATGATAGCACCACGGATCGTGCCAGCATCGATGGAGGCTTGGAAGCTGGTATCAATATTTCCGTCGGCCATAGTAAGTGAACCGTAACTAAACTATAACACAAAACAAAGTGATTCCAATTATATACAGATATATGTATACACAGAAGACATACACACTGAGAGACCAAGAGGGGAACGTAGGGAAATAATATTTCTGAAGGATTATATATTCGAGCAGCCTACGTCTAAGTAGCACGTTTATGTACCTAGTGTAGGTGTCCCTATGGGGTTCTGGCCATGGGTCGCATGGGTACATGATCCTTGCTTTTGATCTCCATTTTAGCCTGTAGGTCTAGGCATGAATAGGTAGGTAGGTATGAATTAGAATGTGTCATTGTGAGTAGGAACAGCCGTCTAAATTTGGGTATGCCCCCCTTCGGTGCCGTGAAGATGAGTTGCCGTCGGTGTTATCGGTATTTTCGGTGTTCCCGGTTCTCGAAATGTCCGAGGTTAGTATGTAGATCCCGTAGCTACAGTGACTCATGCGGTGACTCGGGCATTCAGGTAGTTACTGCAAATATAAACAATAGCTTAGTTAGATTGTGGATTTTCGGCTTTATTCGTGATAGCTATATACGTATGATTAAGCCTTATTAGTCACGATAGAAAGATCTGATAATTCAGACAATCCTGCCCGTCCTTGAGCTTGATGAGTGATGACCCATCTAGAAGTAGTTCAAAGATATCTGTGCAAAATGACACTAGAGGAATGTGGAGTAAGAACTTTCGTATTGATGATCACCTCTACTTACTACTCAAGCTCAAGCAAAGACCTTGCGATTGGGTCCCCATAAGTTCAAGTTTGTGCTCAAGGAAATGGCTTTTTGACGACACTTTCTAAGCTTTCTTCAAAACAACTTCAGGCAACGGCTGTATCAGAGTGATTCGAGATAAACCCTCTACGATATGTGACTTAGGTGGTTTCATAAATCACACTGTACTATGCATCTCAGGCTCCTTTTCGGACACCCTGCTGCTAAATTTCCGCTTGTATGCTCTGTTAGCTTAAAAGTGACGCAGTTTAGTAGGAGGTATGTTTCCTATCATCAACATCAAGCCGACCTCGTCCAACACATATCCTATTTCCAGCAGCTTACATAACGAATAAGAGACTTGTATCTGTAAAAATCAGTACGCAATTTGATTCATGGGGTTCGAGGAACTTACCGAGAGGGTGGCTGCAAGACAACTGTGGCTTTTGGGAATACTTGGTTTCTAGCACGTCGCGAATACTATTGAGTAGTTCCACGTAGCTCTGCTTAGGGTCCTGCTTAAGAGCTGTGATAAAAGCATAAGACATCGCCCCGGTTGCCTGAGATGCAATAGTCGCGTCCGCACTACATTACTGTTAATTACCTACGATATTGTTAGATTTCGACTATACTGTGACTTACGATGTCTGATCATCCTTGCTGCCTGACCACATGATGACGTCTGCGGGCGAGGTCTATGAAACCAATGGTTAGTACTGGTTTCGCTGGGTTTACTCGGAAAATCATAGTCTTTGGGTATTCCTTACCTTGGTTTCAATGGTCTTTTTATACCCGTCATCTCCTCTGAACGCAGTCTTGGCAAGGCCAAAGATGGCGCTGGCAGCTCCTGCTGCATCGCCCTGAGCATAAGAAGAGAACGCCTTAAGCAGCCCTTGCCCAGCTTCGGCTGCAAGATTAGGCTCCTTTAGAACACCCTTAGTTGAGTAGATGTACGGTAAATCTAGAACCGAACCGGAGTGACATGAGTCAAAGATTGCCGTTAACCTCACACCTGCTTGAAGAGGCTTAACGACTATATGATGGAGCTGATCATCAACAATGTGGCCGGCGGTTTCGTAGTCGACGGGGTAAATAACCTCGTCGTAGCCGTCTTCCTCGTCTCCATCTGTGATTTGAAATGAACAATTTATTCGTGTTTGGAGTTGCTTTTAAGACTATCTTACCTTCGTCTTTTGTCTGTCCGCCATGACCTGAGTAATGTAAGAACAATGCATCATTAGGACGAGCACCAGAAACAAGCCATTCCATAGCTCGAAGCATGTTCGTCTTGGTCGGCACCATGATAGGGTCTTGTTGGTCGTCAGTCAAGATTATCATGTCCTCTCTCTTATAGTTGTAGCGCTCGATAAGAAACTGGGAAACGTTCTTCGTATCGTTGATGCAACCACGTAGTTCACCCTTCTGGCCGAAATAGTTGATGCCGATCAACAATGCCTTACGTTTACCGGTACAATTGGAATACTGGAAAGTATAACCATCAGGTGCGCCGTGACCGAATTGCTGTGGAGCACTTGGCGGAGGAGGGCCGGCTCGGTGCTGGCCCCCGTAACCTTGAACGGGAGGGCCGCCGGAGTGAACGGGATATCCATACGGATCTAACCCGTGCGGTGGGGGATAAGAAGGCGGCGGATAGCGGTTAGATCCTTGGCTATACGAAGACGGCGGGTGATTTGAAGAGGAATGCTGGTTATACCCGTGCTGCTGAGGAGGCGGAGGTCCAGACGGAGGGGCATATTGGTTGTAGCCATGTTGCTGGGGAGGCGGACCGGGAGGAGCCCCATATTGATTATGACCCGAGGGAGGACCAGAAGGCGGACCATACTGATTATACCCTTGAGGAGGCTGGTTGTATCCTTGAGGAGGCTGGTTGTATCCTTGAGGTGGTTGATTGTATCCTTGAGGTGGTTGATTGTATCCTTGGGGTGGTTGATTATATCCCTGATGAGGCTGATTATATCCTTGATGAGGAGGAGGTTGGTTATATCCTCCGCCGTAATTTTGGTCGTGACCCCAACCGGACATTTTACAAGTTGATCAAAGATGAGCGATTAGGATTGGTTAAGAGATGGCGAGGTTTACTATTCGTTTGAAGAGGAACTATAGTCGAGAAATATCAGGATGTAGAATAAGCAGACAACCTTGGAAGTGAGTATCTATCCTATGATTCTGTGTGGGTCCGGGAGATGTGGGATGTGGGATGTGAGATTTGGGGCTGAGAATGATAAAACAGGAGAAGGACTTAAGGGAATTACATAGGGCTGACGGGTAACACGGCAGTGACGGTACACGCTAATGGTGGGGTGGTAACACGAAAAGGGAGACTATAGTCTTGGCGGGGTCGAAGGAGGGGCAATGGAGGGGCAAAAAAGGAGGCCGCCCGCCATGGCGCCTATGCGGCTAACCATTTTCAACACAGGTAAATTATAGGTGTAGGTAGGTACCTAAGGCACCTAAATGTTAGGCCTCTCCTATTCACAATCACTTACATGACTTTACTACCCGAGTGCACATATATATTGTTGAATCATTTTCTGTGTAGTAAAGTGCGGTGCAGGTTTCAGCCAAACAAGGGTTAAGACCCAGTCACCTCGGTCACGGGCTTGCAGATTATTAGATTGCCTAGCCGTCTGATCAGTTCCAAATATATCAGGTAGACATATCTCACGGGAAGAAGGCGATTAGTTGAATGACACACAGTTGTTCCCAGTTGTCTCGCACATCATCGACCTTAAAGTAGAATATATCTACCTTCATCTTCTTAGCAAGATACAAGATAAGTCCAGCAGCAAAAGCAAAAGAATATTAACACAATGTCTTTCTTTAATAAGTTGGCCAGTAAGCTCGACGAGCTAAACCTCGGCGGTTCCGAAAAGCCGCGGGAGCGGGAAGGATATCCAAGTAAGCAGTTTTTATTTATTTCTCATTCTTCACTACATGTAGTCCGTCGTCTATATTCAACATAAATTCAAATTGACTAATACTAACCGCCATCTTAGGCCATCAAAATAATCCACCTCCTTCTCAGCAATACGGCAGCAGCCACGGCCGGGAGCCATATCCGTCGAACCCGCCAGACCCTCAATACGGCGGTGCTGGTGGTTACCCGCCTCAGCACGGAAGCAATTATAACACTCCTCCGCCTGGAAATTATCACACCCCTCCACCGCCTGGTAATTATAGCAGCCCCCCGCCGCCTGTTCCGGGTGCCGGCCCTACTTATTCGCCACCATCGGATAAGCCGCCAATCCCGGCCGGCTGGGTACCGCAATTTGACCAGCAGTACCAACGCTGGTATTACTACGAGCAGGCAACCGGCCGTTCGCAATGGGAAGCACCCGGTTACCATGCTGGAGGCGGCCAGACCGGAGGAGACAGAGGATGGGGATCGCACGGCGAATCTAACTATTCGTCTCATGACGCACCGGGTTATGGCGCACCGAGTCATGGTTATCCCCAAGATTCGCAAGGTTATAGCTCTTATGGAGGCCACGGTGAACAGGGCGGATACGGAGATCAAAGCTACGGGAATCGGCCGGAAGAAGATTACAACAGACAAGGAGGCGAAGAGAAGAAGAAGAAAAAGGACAATAGCGGTCTCTTAATGGGTGCTGCCGGTGGTCTAGCTGTAGGTGCTATCGGCGGCGCATTGATAGCCAACGCTCTCGGTAAGCCTCTCTAACCATAACTCCCTTCGGCCACATTATAGCTCCTTGTGTGAATTATCATGCTAACATCCGTACAGATGACTCGGATGATGAACATCATCAAGCCGCACCGGCTATAGCTCCGGCTCCGGCTCCGGTCTACGCAGCCCCACCTCCCGCCCCTGTTTACGAGCCGGTCTATGAACCAACGTACAATGCAGAGGGTGAGTATGTGGATGCCAGCGACCGAGAATCCGTACGTTCTGCCCGTGAAGATTACGAGGAAGCCCTTGCCAAGGCGCAAGATTCCGACGCCAGCAGTAGCGATTTCGAAGAGCTCGAAGAGGCTCGGGAGGAGTACCAGGAGGAGTACGAGGAGGCGTATGAAGATTAGTAGATCGTATCGAAGCTTAGAACTGGTCTTACTTGGGTGTAAAAATACCTAAAGGGGATGTCAAGGTAACTATGCATTAAGCTAGTGAAGTTGCACTTCTTGTGCGGTTTAGGACAATCACCTATACTTCTATGTTATGACCCTAGTTAATGACTAACGAGCCTCTTAGCGCTGAAGAAAGCTTTCCGATGTGTCTATTTACCTAGAGATATAACAGTAAAAATCATTTGTAACAGACTTTATCTATTTCCTCGATTAAGCTCGCTCACTTACAGCAGAGGCTCCTGTTATAGGTTTCCTCATTGATATAGCTAACAAGTATACACTAGGTACCTAAGGTAGCGCTGTGCTAACTCGTACCCCGAAATAAGCACTACATATTGTAGTAAAATACCCCTACTTCATCATCTTCTAAATCGTATTATTTTCACGAGGCAGTGACTTCAATACCCTTCAAGTTGCCTTCATCGCGCCATTCTTGCAACTCCCGGATGTACTCCACAAGACCCGCGCTGTAGGGCGACGCTCGCGCCCGCTTCATCTGCTCCTCGGGGCTAGCCGTCAGATCGACCGCCTTCCCTTCGTTGTTGATATAGCTCGGTGTGCAGACCGTCACGGTCGCGAACCGAGCCGCCCCCTGCATGATCTTCATGCTCCAGGCTTCCTGCGCGGCCTCTTCGACCTCCACCGTAACACCACTCTTGTCCAGACCGCCTGCTTTCTGGTGAGCCGCGGCCGCTACGTATGAGATGAGCTTACACTGCACATCGAGCACGTGTGAGTGGTTAACGCTAACGCCGGACTGCAGGGGGGAAAGCCAGAACAGATTTGGGAACCCGTGGTTTGCGTAGCCGTGAAGCGTGGCAATACCTTTGTCCGCCCAAGACTCCGCAACGGTCTTTCCACCACGGCCACGCACCTCGAGGCCGGCGCGAATCGATGGGTCTGCTCCATCTGCACTTGGTCCGCGATACCCCGTGCTGAACACGATGACATCAAGGGGGATCTCTTGGCCGTTAGCGACGAGGCCCTCTGGCGTTATGCTGTCGGCTCCCTTGCCGTCCGTGTCGACTAGGTGAACATTAGGCTTGTTAAAGGATTGTAAGTACGTGTCGCTGAAAGTCGGCCGCTTGCACCAGACTGGATACCACGGCGTAAGCTTCTCAGCTGTTTCTTTGTCCTTAACGATCTCGGCGATCCGTGCTCGTAGTCGCGCTGCATTTGGCGCGTCTCGAGCTAGAAATTGACCAATAACCTCGGGTATCTTCTCCGGCGACACAAACGCAAACTCCGGATCGCCAATTAGGCCCGCGTAAGCAACCTGTCGAGACCACTCATCGTTGACCAAGTCCGGGGTACCAGGCGGAGCACAATTAGATATGTTCGCTGCTAGATTCTGCCGGCGAGCCTCGTGCCAACCGGGCTGACCAGCGATCTTCTTCCATTCCTCTGGGTCGGTGGGTTTCTGGTCACGACCGTAAACCGCAGCGGGAGTCCGTTGGAATACATATAACTCCTTTGCATGTTCGGCCAGGCATGGCACTACTTGAATCGCTGTCGCACCGGTTCCAACAACACCCACCCTTTTATTTTTCAACTTCGATAAGTCTGGGAAGACTTCCTCCTGTGTACCGCCGCTGACGTCGTAGTTCCACCGCGCTGTGTGGAAAACATCGCCCTTAAACCCCTCGATCCCGACGCCGGAGAGCTTCGGTACTTGGGGCTTACTCAGTAACCCAGCAGTTACCCAAACAAATTCTGCCTTTGCTTGAAAAGTCGTCTTTTCATCCCCCCTTGGTCCCCTTCCAGTAGTGATATCACAATTCCACAAGCGAGCATTGTCATCCCATTCAATCTTGTCGAGTTTAGACCTGAACAAAATCTTATCCTCGAGATTCCACCTCTTCACAACCTGCTGCAGATAGTTCCTGATCTCAATTCCAGAAGAGTATTTCTGAGAGGGTACGAATCCTGTCTCCTCCAACAGTGGCAGGTAAACATAAGATTCGACGTCGCAATGTAGACCCGGATACCTATTCCAATACCACGTTCCACCGATGCCGCCAGCTGTCTCTATAATCCGAATCTGGTCCGCTGAGAAACCGGCCTCGATAAGTCGGACAGCAGCCCCGATACCGCCTATTCCTGCACCTGCTATGAGAAACTTAGGAGAGTCGCCAGGCTTAAGGGGCGACGGTAGCGCGTCCAAAGCTGCATGGTCAGCCCAGAAATCGTCAGCGAGGTGACGCAACTGATCGGAGTCGCTCTGTGCCAGTGTCTGAAACTGGGCAGCCCCTTCAGGTCGGATACGTTTTTGGGCTTCCGCGCTGTATTTCTCTTGGATGCGAGCAAATTCCTCCATTGTAAAGATCGTCCTAAGTAATGATTATACCAGTGTGCCTTATTATCTGTTGAGGGGAGCTTGTTGTCTCGTCAGAGAAGACCTCTTTGAATGAAATAGGTGAATCTGAATGCAATAGAACGACTAGCTCGCCGATGTAGGGTATTTTATGCACATTCTCATCCCAGCTCTTCTATTTCTAATGCAGCTAGGAAAGTTGAGCTCAACGCACGACATACCCCGATTGGCCAATCAACTTATTGTAGCTATATCAGTCCATGCAAGGGAAACAGACCATCCGTAGCCTATACACTAGCAGTAATAAACGCGATAGCCCGCGTATGGATGATCAATCTTCAACCTATAGGAGTTAAGAACCAAGGGTGGGCTAAGGGATAGCTTGATGAATATTTACATTCTCTTGGCGAGATGTTCTAGCCACCTTTCTTGAATACCCCTCACGAGGCCCTGAATAATAACCCCAAATAATACGTACATGGACATTACCGTATTCGCGTAGGACGAGAAATCGTATTCGTGTTACGCATTGGAGTTGACATGGCCAGGTTATATCTTAGGACCCCCTAGACGAAATCCGAATACTCCGCAAATTCAATGATGGTCTCGAAAACAACGGTGAGGAAGATCCTAGTAATACTATATAGGACTAGCTGGGATATCTATCTCAAATCCTACTCGGCCACGCAAATGAGGGGGGAGCCCACAATAGGCGACAGCAACACCAGCGTCAGGGGAATTGTCGCACATGTTGATATATATCGTACCATCAACTACCTAAAATACATCTATAGCACTGTAGCACATGGCCATTGTAACTCCATGCCACGTAAAACCATTCGATTATTAAGAATTATACGCACTATTCGAAAAGATGGGTGTTGTAAATGTGCCGGATTTCGATGACCTCCCCAAAGTCCCAGATATGCCCCAAGGATGCGCCTGGGGCATCTTCGACAAGGACGGCAAGAAAGACCTTTTAGGCACCCTAAACCTCGTAACGACATCTGTTACAAAGGCCGCTTTCAGCGAGGCGAGAGATGGCATATCCATCTCCTTAAAGTAAGTCTATGTTTACTGCGTCGCCATCGTTAGGTTAGGTTAGGTACCTATGGATTATGGATTTAGCTTATACGAAGCCACGCAGTTGGCCTCTCAATGCTATGGCTTTCCCGGTGCCGGGGAGAATAGCCCCCGTACATAAGCAAATGACTTTACAGGAAGCGGGATTATCCGAGGGGATAGGTTGGGATGATGAGATCCATTTCAACACGCAACTGAGTAGTCAGTGGGATAGTCTCGTCCACTGGCATCATCAGCCATCCGGGTTGGCCTATAACGGCATTACTGTTAATAAGGAGGCACTTGCCGCATCGCATACCTCTTCAAACACCACACCTACATTAGACCACTGGCATGCGGCAGGTGGACTGGTAACGAGGGGTGTTCTCATCGACTTCAAGGAGTGGACAGAGAAGCGTGCTAAAGCAGAGGGAAAAACCGGGGAACAAGCGGTCTTCTACCCCCTTGACGGTCATCGCATCACGGTTGAAGAAATCGAGGCTGTGGCTAAGGATCAAGGTGTCGAGTTCCGACAAGGTGATGTTCTCATCGTCCGTACGGGGCTCACTGAGATACTACAGGCACCAAGTCCCGAAGACTTTGCAAAACTGCAAAACGGGACAATTGCCGGCGTACATGGTGTTCTCGAAACTGCCAAATGGCTATGGAATAAGCATTTTGCTGCTGTGGCGGGTGATTCCTGGGGCTTTGAGGCACTGATGCCTCTTAAAGAGGATGGGACGGTGGGTAGCCCAATGGACCTATGTAAGTTTACAAAGACCTGTGATGTTATCACACTTTCATATACCACTCTTGATAATAATAAGAAATTCACTCACATTGCTTGCAGTCCTCCATCCTTGGTTGCTATCGATGTTCGGTATGCCAATCGGCGAACTCTGGGATCTCAAGGCGCTCTCTGAGCACTGCAAGGCTTCTGGACGATATAGCTTCCTTCTTACATCAGCACCCTTGAACATTCCCGGGTTAATTGGGTCTCCACCGAACGCCTTGGCCATTTTCTAGGCCAAATGTGAGCAGCAACACACTAGATTGTACATAATAGAATGCGCCAGTCTCTCGAATGAATATAATAATGTTTTGCCGCGTGGGTTGCCATTTTCTAAGGCCCAGAATACTCTTACTTCAGTAGTCTATAAGACGATCATCATAACATAATTAAATAGGTATGATTAAACCCATCCTTTAAGTCGCATTGTTTGCTATTAAAATTAAACGACAGTATTTGGGTCACCGAATACAAGTATGGCAGGTGGTATTTGATCGCTCAGCGCGTCCGAGAACAGAAGAGCAACGTTGAATATCACACGTGTGGATTACTGTACCGTTATTTAGTAAGCTATGCAAACTTCAGGCTTGATGAATACTCCGACTTTAGGTATTCCGTAGTCTAGGTCAAATATCTTATAAGCTTCTATTTTTTAATATTCCGTCTATCGTTTTATTAAGCTACCTTTTAAATCCTAAACACGAGCAACAGCTGCAAAGTCAGACATATATCATGAGACTCTATCTTCTCATTGCTGCTACATTCTTCGGGACGTCCTTCGCAGAGTAAGCATGAATATAGTTTCCACCTAGATATATGACTTACACATAACACCATTTAGCGACTGTCTCCCTGCGAAAAGTGGTTATGGATGTGCTATAGCGGACTACTATCCGGACTGTTCCGTCTGTGTGTTGAACTGTGTTGGTGGAAGTTGCAATTTTAATGGAGCGGGCTCACAGGTGACTTGCTCTGGATGTCCGTCATAAGTTATATCTCCTATACATTGAGACGCTATGTAAAGCTACCTCAGGCAAAATTGTACAAAGGCTATGGTGTATATACCGAGACCGTGAGGCCTCTAAAATACACAATATTGGCCTTGTGTATGAAAACGTTCCCGTTAGATAGTTCATAGAAATAAAACCCGCTGATAAGTTAAGTGAGATTCTCTAAGACAATTTACTCGATTTACAACTAAAGCGAGAGATTGAAGTCCTTCAGAACAAGATTTCCTATCTACAAGGCGACGAGTAATCAGCTGGAGACATCTTAGAGCCTAGTACGGTAGCAATGTCCATGCGGATTGTCTTAGCCACATCCAAGTTTGCTGCCTCTATTTGTGGTTCAGGAATCTGGTTTTGAGTTGTACCATCACCCTCATCCTTTATTCTGGGCACGGATGCCTCGAATTGATCAAGGAGTACTTCCATAGAAGCATCTTGGACTAGCCCAATAGACTCGACTGGTAGATGGTGAGAGATCTCGTATGCACGGCCATAGTGTATTCTTGCAGTCCGTGGAAGTGCTGTTGATGGGTGATCAGATTTCATCCGTATGGGGGCAAGTACCATCCCCGTTTCGTTATCCATGGGATGAGGTGGTTCTTTGCTTGAATGAAGAATTCCAAACAGCTCTTGATCCGGCTGATCTCCACAGCCCCGTCGAGAGTACCTGCATGTAACGAGTATGTCAGCTAAGAGTCATCACGCAAACTGAGAACTAATCTTAGCAGGGAGTTCCGTTCACTTACGTGTGGATTCCGAGACAGAGACATCTGTCTACTCCTTGACGGACAACAACAAAACGCCGAATAAGGACCGGGCCTCTTAGAAATTCTCTATTCCAACTTGATTCATTGAAGCTTTCTACTAATTCGTCATCTGCCGTGATTGGTGCCTCGCTTGTCACGTGGGTTCTATTTATCCATTTCTTCTTCGAGAAGCTTGAGGCCGGAAGAGGGCGCATAAGATCTTTGGGGGGTACTAATCTTTCCCGCTTACCCTCCCCTAGATCTCTAGAAACCTCCGGGGGTAGCATTGAGAAATAATATTCCCAATGAAAGTAGCGAAAATGCCAAGTAACCCACATGTCTTTGGGATACGTTATAGCAACTTGCCTGGAATGTTGAGCTCGGAGTTTGATTTTACAAAGCAAACAAACGACTTGAGTAGAATCATTTGGTATATCATCACAGTACTGAACCATTTTCTCTAAGGGAAGGCTCCAAATTTGGTCAAGTCGCTTGCCTCTATTCTCAAAAGTTTCCTCCCTAGCCTTCTTCTTGAGCGTCGAAATTGGTTCGAGAGGAAGATTTCCAAAATCAATCTTTCCGACTTCTCGGTTATCTTGTAAAGTCAAAATCGAGGTGATCTGCGCTGAAAATATCTGACCAGGCCGGAAAAATAATTCCGGAGCGCTCTGTTTATCGAAACCGGGACACCTGGTTGGGTTGAAATAATGAGGACATATCACGGCTGCAAGTTCAATGTCTTTCGCCCAGATTGTATCATGTAATCTTCCCTCTTTGGCGCAAACTGGATCTATTGCCACACGACATCTAGGATCATAACCAGTACTGTAATCTCTATTAGAAAGCTCCCAAGGAGGACAGTAAGGCAAACATACTTGTAGTAACAGGCCAGAGATACAAGGCAATTAATAGCTGCTAGCATCGTGGCCAATGTTCCCTTTAGATCTCGAACCTGATTCATGAATCAGTATTGAGCCAATATTCCATATGTCCGAGTAGGTGTCACCTTATCAGGCATCTGAGTAGCCCATTTCCCTTTCTTGTAGACATCTTTAAAAATCTTACCCGAACCGCCCTGTCGTAGACTCTCTTCATAAGTCTCGTATTGAGTAAGAAATTTCTCAATCGCCTCATTTGAGGAGTTAATCGTGAACAGAAGGGCGTTAATAGTTGCCTGTGCAAGCTGATTTGCCGCTCGAAGTTGGTCGACTTGGATGAGAACCTTATGAACCACATGAAGCTGTGAAATAAGCTCCTGGTAATCGCTCGAAGCCCCCTTCGTGTCCGATAGAGATTTACCAAGCGTATACGCCAGTTGCGCGCCCGCCAGGATGTCACCGACTGAGAATCCAAATGACATGACGAAAGCGATTGCAGTAACCCGCCTAGTAGTTTTCAACAGGGCTATTGTGACTATACCCCTGACTTATAAAATTGCGATTTGAATACGTCCGAGTTATTGAGAGTCTCTGCATATCTTGAAGCTGGAGGCCTGGTTATATGTTGGCGATGCTTAGGTTGGGCACCTATTGAGCATAGCCATTGCACAGCCAGTATTTTCAAGCCTGGTGGTCAGCACGCATGCTTTATGCGAGCCTCGTAGCAGCCAATCATATGGAAACTGTAGCTGCATGCAGATTAAGAATACACCGAAGAAAATCTCACATTGTGATACTAGGCGAGGCATTATTTGAAGTTCTCGGGAATGCTGTGGTTAAACTATTAATTCTACAATACACAAAGCAATAACTAAATCTTTCATGTTTATTATTATTGTGCTTCCTTTAAAGCATCGACATTTAAACCAAAGCCCTAAAAAGTATCCTCAATTTTGCTTTTTACCTTTTCTATTTTCCGAGAAAGGCTTTGATTAAGAAAGCCATTAATCCTGAAAGCAGTGCGCAGCGTGTATATATTCCCCGAGTAACCAGAGCTCTCCCTCAAGATTCTTTCATAGCAGATACCATCATATGACCTAGCTCTTTGGCCTGGGTGGTTGAAAAATAAAGGCTTTAGTATATAATCACTTCTAAAGCATTACTCTTTTTGTTCTTCGAACAAGCCTATTGTAATTGGATGCGAGTTTCGTTTCCCTTGTTAGGTATTCTAAGCAATTGTTTAAGATAGTTCAAAAAAGGCCTTGTCTCAGATCAAGAACCCTCCTTTTTTTAACTTCCTTTAGTCTTCCTTCTGCTATATTTCAGCTTCCATCACCTACTTGATTCGTCAAGCAATCTTGACCTGGTCTAAAACCCGGGTTTACGTATCTACGCCATCAAACTTACTTTCGCAAAAATGCCTCGAGAAGCTTCCACACCAAGAAGCTGCGGCAATATTTATAATACGCCAGAGGAAGGAGAAATTATAGATCCTGAGCCATGCGCTGCCTATCTTCCTCCCGGGGTAACAGAAGACATTTATAGAAGCGTTCGCAATACTCCACCTCCAGGGATTGTACGAGCATACCCACCACAACCTATAAGTTATGCTGCATACCGGAAGGCACTCGACAGAAATGTTCGTGTCATAACTAACGATGATGTATCTGTATTTGGTGACATCGCCCACTACGTCGAGTATGGATTAGACTCCGCGGGACGACGCATTGAGCTATATTTAACCTGTCACATATCGCAGACCGCATTAGACGTGATGTCAAGAACACCCCGCTCGAGGGATCCCCAGGGCATGTCGCTATCGGAGCCTATGGCAGTCTTGCCTTGTGGTCACTTTTTCGGCTTCAGGGGTATTGATGATTGGACTCGAACTCGTTATAACGATAATGTCAGCCCAGACTGCCCTTTATGCCGCTTTCCTCTCATCTACCCCCAGTGTGGCCACGAAATAAGGATACGACCCTACGACCCGCGCTTCACCCGTGACGGACAGCTCCCGTTAACTATTCCTGAAGGGGGTTCTGTTCCTGAATACTGCCTAAGATGTCGTGTTGACTATCTCAAGTTGATAGGCCAGCAGGTAGCCTATCAAATATATCCCAATGATATACCCTTTTCCGCGTTCATACAACCGAATCGATGCGGGCCGGTCCATTTCGAAAATAAAAGGATTGGGCTGCAAGAATATTTACTAGATATGGCCTTCATGGCTGAAAGTGACTTCTCCCACTGGTAACTTATGGTACCTACCTAGGTACTGACAGACATTTAAGACATAAATGTCTGTCCGACATATATATAATGTAATAGAATAAAAGCTATTACGAAAATACCTTTTAGTGGTGTAGCGGTTTGTTCAACAGGTACTTACCTCCCAGTCTAATGGATATTGCTACATGTGGTTTGATGCGGTTAATTGGCGATTGCGGCCTTATTATCAACTCCCTATGATGAAGAAACCAGAAACGCACCTAAATATGCTAACTGCTGTTGCATGTTTGTTTTCAAGGACTAGAAGGGAAATGTTTTGAAAATCCATTTAACTATCTCTTATGTAGAATTATATAACTGGAGGCAGCCCTGCGGGCTGCACAATATGCCCGAGTTTACATAATTGCGCACGTGCCATATACTGCCCATTGAGTTACTTTCCTATTTGG